TATAGAACATTTTATTTACTCTAGATAAAATAGGGAAAATAGTATTGGGTTGTCCGGAAAATAATGCAGGATTTTGGTATTAAACAAAAAAAAAGAAACTAGTTACTTTAAAGCAATGTTCTTTAATCAAAATAATTTCCCATACTCTCAATACATTTCTCCCAACGTGTTGGTAACTTATTAATTCCGTCTGAGTAGAATTCAGAATTTTTAGAATTGATAAAGTCAATAAATGCATTTTCCAGTTCCGTTTGATTTTTGAATATTATGTGTTGTAAGTAGTGGTCCAGGTGTCTAAAAAAATGGTAGTCAGTAGGCGAGAGGTCCGGAGAGTAGGGTGGGTGAGGCAAAGTTTCATAGCCAAGCTCCAATAATTTTTGTGACGTTACACGTGACACATGTGGTCGAGCGTTGTCATGCAACAAAATGGGCCCTTTCCGATTGACCAAAGAGGGCTTCATTACTGCCAATTTCTGATGCATGGTATTAATTTGGTTACAGTATGATTCAGCATTGATGGTTTCGCCAGGATTTAAGAAGCTGTAGTGTATTAAACCAAATGAAGCCCACCATACCGTAACCATTACCTTTTTTTGATGAGTTGGGGGCTTTGGAAAATGTATTGGAGCTTCTCCTTTGTCGAGCCACTGTCCAGAACGTCTAGTGTTATCGTAGAGAATCCACTTTTCGTCACATGTAACAATTCTGGCCAGAAATGGGTCATTTTTGTTTCGACAAAGAAGTGATGCACAAACATCAAAGCGCTGATTTTTTTGGCGATCGTTTAATGAGTGTGGAACCCAATTTTCGAGTTTTTTCACTTTTCCAATCGCCTTGAGGTGGTCAGCGACGGTCGTTTTACTGACTTTGAGTTGCTCTGCAAGTTCTCGAACAGTTGTTTTGGGGTTTTCTTCCACCACTGATCGCAGAACATCATCATTAAGAGAGGAAGGCCTTCCACGACCTTCTTCATCTTCAAGGCTGAAATCTCCCTCCCGAAATTTTTTAAACCACCTTTGCACAGTGCACTCATTAACACAACCCTCGCCCCAGACTTGGTTAATGTTTCTAGCCGTTTGGGCTCCGCTTCGGCCGAGTTTAAACTCGTAAAAGAAAATCGTACGAAATTCTCGCTTTGACATTATAAGGATGACTGAATTATTTCCAAGTAGCGGAATGCTACAGAGGTAAACAAACCATACAAATGAGTAATCCTGTAAACGTAAACAGAATATTTTATATAGATTTTTTTTAATGAAAACTTAAAATCCTGCATTATTTTCCGGACAACCCAATACTAGACGTTGATTAAATAAATAAGCCATTTGATTTCCAATAAATGTTACACAATTACAAAATAACAAAAATGTGAAAACAACGAAGAAAACAATATAAAAAAGAAAAAGTATATTTTTATGTTTCCTTTATAATAATATATAGTATATATACATATTTATTATTATTATTTATGAGAATGCCAGAATAAAATAAAAAAAGTTTATTTTTAAAATGTTTATATTTATGCAAATAACAAATAATGGTCAAACGTTCGAAAAAGTTACATCGTTGTAATAAAGTAACTTTTGAACTCCACTTACTTTTGTCCATGATATAATAAATTATTCCTTTTAAAAAAAACTTTCATCGCGAGTCGCGCCTTATAAAGTGTGTGGGTAACAATGACAAAAACATTTTTCATCCGAAAAGAATTATAGGTGGTTTGACGTAGTGATAGGTATGACACTTGAGGATGATAAAGCGTATTGGTACTCCGCATACATAAAAACTTTTGTTTCCCGATATTGTCCAACACCTAAAGAAAACAAACACACACATTACAACTGTTTGTTTTTTTAGGGAAAGTTTGATGGAATATAACATTCATAATCAGTAACTGGTCGACGTTGCTGTGCAGACCGTGAGAGTAAGGAATGTTTAACCGAATTCATATTCATGAATGGCCAAACACGAACCGGAGAGAGGGCCATTTAGCAAGTTATACAATCTTAATTTCATAACTCAAACTGGATCTGATGAACGGGAAAATCAATGTGGTTTAACCTGAAAGCACCAACATCCAAATAATTTATGGATAATTAATCGTATGATGATTAATTTATTGGCGCTCAATACAGTAAAAACGTTTATCTCGTAAACCTACATTTCTTCTAAATATCACATTGAGGTATATAATTCTAAAAATGTGTTTTTTTCTCAAAGAATTAATAATTATACAACTTTGGCTCATGAAGATACAATTTTAAACACAAGCACTAAATTTTATGCCATAACTTATGAAATAGTGCAAAAAGTTAAAGCACTTATTTGAACCAACTGTGATAGTATAAAATTAAATTCAATAATAAAATTGGAGGAACAGTGTTCTCGAGGTTAAAAAACAATGATATGAGATCTAACCTAATGGATATTTGGTATAAGGTGTAACAATTGTTAAAAAGTGTATTGCCAAAACAACCAATATCTGGGTAAGAGGATAAGACAGCTTAAATATGATTACAAAAAAAGGACATAACTGGTATTGCACATTCAAAACATTGCCATGATAATAGTCATACATTCATTTTTAGCAACACAAAAATAATGGAAACAGAAAATTCCCTTTGCAGGAGGTTACTTAGAAAAATGATGTATACATAGTATACAGTGAATCAATTTTTATAGTCCACGCATTTAATTCGGAAACGATTAGCTTTAGCAAAAAATGGTCTTATATAAACCTCAAGTTAATTTTGGCTAGGAATCGCGTGGTGGTAACAAATTTAACTTAACTTTCTCATCTGGCTGGTATTTTAAATGAGAATCCCTCATTTTTATTGTAAATTTTGCGTTTGTAGAGCATATTTTATGCCACTGTTACTGAAAGGAAAATTTTGACATGATCGACTATTTCTGAGTTACGCCCGACGGAAGAGGCGTGATGGGGTATGCTTTTTGTAACAAGATGGCCCTAGATGAGAAAGTTACGTTAAATCTGTTACGCCACGCGATTCCTAGCCAAATTAACTTGGGGTTTGTATAAGACCATTTTTTGCTAAAGTTAATCGTTTCCGAATTAAATGACGACTATAGAAGTTGTCACACACTGTATATACTCAAAGACAAAACACTAGACACTCGTACTTTCTAGTTTCTTTGGAACTATATATATTTTTATTGTTATTAATTACAATATCCTTATTTTAATGTAAACCAAATTAAACAAGATCAGAAATTCATGAATTTTAATCAAAATTATTTAATTATGGTAGTTTGAAAGGAAATTCAGCAAAACTTAATGTGTTATTAAAAGCAAAACTAGATAATAAATTTTTAGTTAATTTTATTCTTCTAGTTTGAAAGAAAATTCATCAAAACACCGGAAAATCATTTAGTGATAGATTAAAATTTAACCAACAATTTATTACCTAATTTTGCTCCTAATAACCTGCTAGAATTACTTCATCTGGCTTCTGGAGAGTTTTAAGCCTACTAGGTATCGAGTAAATCGCGATCGAATTTTGTCTTGAGAAACAGAACCCCATTTTTCATCAAGAGTGGTTTGTTGGAGGCGGCGAACGGTGTCTAATCAATCCATCTTTTTCATGTCCCATAAGTGTTCTGTAGTATTAAGGTCAGGAGAACGTGTTGGCCAATTCATTGTGTAATCCCTATTTCCTCCAAATAATGGGTGACAACCGAGCCACATGCTGTCGAGCATTATCGTGCATTATGACGACGTCGTCTTCAATGATTGGAGTGAATAGGGCCATGCCTTCCAGAAGAACTTCCTCAATGTACCTTAGTGCTCTCAAAGATCCGTTCTGCATGATAATCAGTTAGTTACGGCCATTGGCGTTGATTCCATCCCTTAGAATAACGTACTTTGAAAGTAATGCATGGCACAAGTAGCAAAACGTTCTCCACTTCTTCTCCACACATAGGCCTAGTCACCCCCCTCAAACCAAACTGGCGCTCGTCTGTGATGGGAACAGCCCCCATTGTTCGAGTGTCTATGTGAGATACCGATTTGCGAATAGTCCTTTCTACTCAATGCCTCTCCACTCCACTAGCAGAGACGTGGGAGATCTAGAGACTAGGCTATTCTCACGATGCCTTCGACTGTTTTAGAGCGGACCCTTACATTACAGACCGTTTGGAATTGACTGCCTATCGAGGAAGTGATGATATAGACCATCACGGATAGTAGAGCGCGGCACAAACAGGACTTTTTTTACGAGGGTTCGCAACAGCAGAAGTTATATCACCCCCGGAGTGAGATATATACCCAGATATTTATAATGGTTCACAATCCATAGTTTGTCTAACCCCCTTTACCGTAACCATCCCTAACCATTTATAAGTATGTCGGGTTCGAATGCAGGGCCGCTGGATTCGAACCCAGGACCTTCACCTTACAGTGATGAGCGCCGTGTCAACGCCTAAACCATTGAGGCCACAGACGCCCCCAACGATCTTGACTTAAAACTGTTTTTTAGAGAAAAACTTAATAATTAAATTTTTACTTAAATTTATTGATAATAAAGAAAACGATTTTGAAACAACAATTAACTCATTCACTAGTTGGCTCTGCAAAATATGAAATTGGACTGGTTTTCTTTATTTTTAATCTAAAGTGTTTAAAAGGAATAGTAACACTCCACGAAAGTGATCAGCAAGTTATTATTGTTGTTGTTGATTTGTCTGCGAGTCGGTAAACTCATGTTGCGGTTCAGGGTCACTTATTGGGTCTGAGTTCTTCACTGAAGACGGCGCAATGCAAAAACGCGTTTGAAAAACTTAAAAAAGACCGCGATTGGAGACAGACCCAGTAAGTCACCCTTTTCCGCTTCCACATATTATTGTTTTTAAATTTTAAGCCAACTTAATCTTTATACCTAGTTATTAAGGAAAATAAATAAATACAAGTGTCCGGTTTTTGTCTTTGAGAGTATTTTCATTCGATTTTGTATATATTTTAATAAAAAATTTATTTGTTTTAGCGGCCGAGAAAGGGTCGTCAGCGAAGAAACAGGGCCGGATTCGACAACTTTGAGCTTGACTTTATTTAACGTGGAGACTGAAGACTTCGGCCCTTATGCTTGTCAGTCTAACAACTCTTTAGGCCTGGCGCAGGCTTATTTCAGATTATACGGTAAGGGAAATTGCAATCTGTAAACGCTGATAACAACCTCCTTACGACCTATTAACCTGGTGTTTTTGCAAATATGGCAGTAGCAGAATTTCGCCTTTTACACCTGCCGTACAAATTTACAACACTATTGTTTATGTTTAATAAATCTCATCTCGTTTTTTTAATAATATATTGTTCTATTATCAAGTCAATAAATTGAAATTAAATCGTAATTTTAAGTTATACAGTTATTGTTCTTGCAGACTACATTTTACAAAGGCTTTCTTTTCGAAGTCATTATCAACGTCAATGGTTGATTAGGTGGCAGGGAGAAGGCAACTGTTTGTTAGGCTAAAGACAGACCATTAGTAAATCAATGATTTGTTTTATTGTGGGCAAGGCTGGTGGAGCACTTTAACTGGATCTCTAAAGGTGTTCAGAGACAAAGGTATTGCGGAACAAAGGGTAACTTCAGCAATATACCATCGCCCACTATATAAACGACGTGATTTATATCAAACTGTAGTGTGCTACCGGCGCTTTTCGATGTAAAGCTGAATTTTCAGTAAAATAATTCTTTACGATATATTAATTTTTTTATGATAGCCTTCAATCTCTATGAATCATTTAGGTATATTAAGTTTAAAAATTAATTATCACGTTGGCTCATATATTATATAAGCATATTTAATGTGCAAGTTATAACTAAAGCCCGAATTTATACGCAATAAAAACCCTAAATATGCATAACATTTGCACTAAAAATATTAAACTAATTAAACATTAAGAATGTTAGAGACATCACCCGACTAATAATTTATTTTTTTTTAATCTAAACATTTTTTTTCTAGTACATATTCATATTGAAAGAAAATAGAACAATAAAAATTAAGTTAAACAACAAATTATAAATTTAAAATATTCACAATAAATAGTAAAGCTTAATTAAGTTCATGATTTGAATTAAAATTGACTGTGAAATACATTTCAAAATTAGTTTCTGAAAAACTAAAGCGTTTATCCCTCAAAAAATATTTGTATTTCGAAAAGAACTTTGCTATGTCAACATAGGTGAAGGTAGCATACTTGTAGGAACTTAACAAAATAATTGGATCGTCGATTCCCTGCATAAAACTTAATTGTTTCCGAGTAAGATTTCATTAATTTACCCTTGTCCGGTCAATCTGCTATTTTTGTTTAAAAAATTTCTTTTTTAAGAAAAAGAATTCCACTTTTGTCATTTTTTTAGGTTTATTAGGTTGAAAATGTGAATAGGACTGACAATACCCAATTACTTCAGAAAAATTAATTTTTCTGGAAAGGGAAAACCTGCACCCAGAAGTTCTGGAAATGGAGGGGGCTCAAATGACATGTCGATGAATTATTTGTTCGTTTTATTTACGTCTTCGTTCCTGGAAAGTTAACTGAAATCCGAATAAAATTTTACGCTCCTGTCTTTTTCATCCCACGTTATTAGTTGTCTAGTTAATTTTTATTTTTCTAAGCAATCGAAAATCTTTCAAATTTGAAATATACTTCAAATGTACAAAAATACGCAGATTAAAATTAAACCACGGAGGTATGATTCGGATAATGATCACCATGATCGTAAGTGTTAACAAAAAGAATTTACAATCACATACAAATCCGGGCTCTAGTTATAATGGACTGTAAATTTCTCTGGATTGGGTTTTGGGTGTAAAATTAAAAGGATATTTGCATAAATACAATTTCTCCCTTGAGTCTTTATATTGTCAAGAATGAGAATGTAAACAGCCTGGTTGTATAACTAAAGTAGCTTGATTGAAGGTATTATTTTCCAAAGTCCTCAATTTCTTATGAGCAAATTCGGAGTAAAACAATTTAGAAATTCAGAGAGGAGTCAGTAAACTTTGCAGATTATTGCATACCCGCCATCCGCAAATGAGCTATGAAGAGTAAACCAAATTAATGAAGCCGCAAGCCCAGATTGAATTCGGTGAGAAAATGTATAAATCTGAAAATTGGCAAACAAGTTATCTAAATTGCCAAGTTAATCACTCTTCTTATCTGGAAAAAGCACTTGTTGAGAACAAACATTCATCCGACTCCATCTAATCTACAATTATGCTCACAGCTTAATATTATTTTTTATTTATTTTTGTAAATCCGTTGTTGCCTCTATGTTATAAGTAACAAATTTAAAAAAAATAAATGATCAATTTTTAATTAATTTAAGTGATTTGTAATACTTCTTTTACAAATTTACATTCGTACAGTAAGTATTGTAAAAAAATTAAAATCTTAATTTTCATAAGAGAATAAAACAATAATAAACGATATAATAAATAATATATAATTTATATTATATATTAATTTATATTGTATATTAATTTATATTTATATATTTATTCTATTTATTAATTTATATATATAAATTTAATAAATAATAAATTATTAACAATGGGCTCAGTCAAGAAATTGTGTTAAGCAAACAGAAAACTTCAACCAGTTTCACGGCGCTATCATTATGCTAAACCTTCATGACTTCCTTGTGCTACGTTATGAGCTCTGATAGTTACATATGTTAATATTAAAGTTTTTAAAAAACACTCAATTAATTATACACAATTTTTTCGAAATGAAAAATTTGTGTCACAGGCGGGATTCAAACCCACGACTTTCGGCTCAATACGCCGCTGCTCTACCACTTGAGCTGCCGTGACTTCGCTGCTTATAATTGCTGACTTTGCTTATAATTAGAATAAAATCGGGTAGTCGAAATGAGAAGTTTGTGGCATGGGCGATCGATGTCACGGTAGCTCAAGCAATAGAGCAGCGGCGTATTGAGCCGAAAGTCATGGGTTCGAATCCCGCCTGTGACACAAATTTTTCATTTCGAAAAATTTGTGTATAATTAATTGAGTATTTATATATTTAATAGGAGCTGATAAAATTTAGTATTTTTAAAAAACATTAATAATTAATTTCTAAGAATAGTCTCTTTCTAATTCACTCTCTCTCTCTCTCTCCCCTCTCCCCCTCCCTCACCCTCTCTCTCAAAAGTGGTCAAAATTAGCGTATCTCTAAGCACTAGTAATTAGTAATGAGGTTGACAGTCATGTTAAACACACAATTTCACGGCGATCTCATTATGCTAAACCATCATGAACGGCAGCTCTTGCAAAACTATAGATCTGTTCGCCGTGATATGATTATATACCATTATATTACTAACACGCTCTCTCCGATATTCACACACACCATACACAACCTCTCCTTCTTTCTATTTTTCTGCTTCTCTCTTTCTTGCTCATTTCTCTCCTTCGCCCCTCCTTCTCACACACTCTCTCTCTTTCTATCTCTCTCTCTCTCTCTCTCTCTTTCTCTCTTTCTCTCTCTACTCTCAAAAGTGGTCGAAAATATCGTACTTCTAAGAACTGGGAGTAGTAATGAGGTTGGCTGTATTTCTTATAATTCATGTTCAAACAATTTAACGGCGCTCTCATTATGCTATACCATCATGAACGGCAGCTCTTGCAAAACTGTAGAACTTTTCGCCGTTGTTAGTACTATATTAGAGTCACCATCTCCTTTATATTGGCAGACACCCTCTTCTTCTTTCTATTTTTCTCTTTCTCTCTTTCCTTCTCATCTTTCTCCTCCGCCCCTCCTTTTCTCTCTCCTCTCTATTTCCAACCCTTCTTCTGAAGGAATGGTGGTGCAAAAATATTGATCTGGAAATTTGATAGAATAAAACATCTCTGCTCCCTGTGGAAGTTAAAAATTAGCATATCTACTAGATGCATTCCTCTCTCTAAGCATTCCTCTCTCTAAGCATAGATCCTTGTTCGCTCATAAAATGCTGCTTGATGGAAAACCTGTTGATTAGTCAACATGGTAACAACTAAACATAACACATCTCCAAATTAAATTTCAGTGAACACATCAAAAATCTTGTCATCACAGGTAAAGCTGCAACAAGAGTGCTTTTTCCTGTGCTTTAGAATGAGTGTACAAGGTCTTGTTAAACCATTATTACTATGGTCCATCAAGGTGTTACACATGCCAGTCAAATTCAAATGGTTAAAATAAATTGTTTAACTTGCTATTAAATATGCTAGTAATTTCAGACTACTGGATTACACAGAATTACTAACTTGGATTTAGGAGGCAATCCATAGAGGTCACACATTTTTGTGGAGTGTCCATAAACTTAATCGGCAGGTCCATTGGAGTCTATTCACATAAGCCTACTGGATACACAAACATATAGAACACTTAAACATACCTGAAAATTTAAGTTTTGGTTTCAATTCTAGTCCAAACTTTATTAAAGTTGTGAGTAGTGGTCTAGAATGAAGTATTTTAGAAAAACACCTTTTTAATTTTTTGCCATTTCAATCATTATTTAGGCCATCTTCAGGGCTTGGATGACTTACAAAACATATATTGAATGATAAAATACAATGCAGATGTAAATATAAATTTTGAACAAGTTTTTCATACACAAAATGAGGTGCTATTCTTGTGGTGTCATATTGGTTGTTACACCAACATTATAAAACAAATAAACCATTGAACTTCCTTTCCAAAATTTTAAATAAACCCCAAATCACAAATCCAATCCAGAAAATCCCCACTCTCGACTTCGAGTTAAAGTAAACCAAAGAAAGTTACGCAGATTTACCGTGTCCCCCACCCTGTCACAATCATATAAAAACTGTATAATACAAATTCATGTTTCATAACAATTTCACACAATGCATTCTGGACTGCTCTTCACGACTTCAACAAATTGTTGAACAACTGGTCACTAAAGGTCACACATTTCTAGTCTATAGCTTGATTCATAATCTGTTGATATTGCTCACATTACAATTAATTAAGGTTTTTAGTGGAGATAAAAAAGTCAATGGCACGAGCGGAATTCGAACCCAAGATCTTCGGCTAGAAACGCCGCTGCTCTACCGCTTGAGCTATTGACTTCTATATATAGCTATCAATAGCTCAAGCGGTAGAGCAGCGGTGTATCTAGCCGAAGATCTTGGGTTCGAATCCCGCCCGTGCCATTGATTTCTTTATCTCAACTAAAAACCTTAATTAATTGTAATATAATAATTGGTCAAGCAGACCACGAAATTAGTGAATTGCTCACATTTGTCATTAGTTGCTATCTCTAAATATTTACTTATGTAATTGTACTTATCTGTCTATACTTATTACTTCCCAATTAATGTTACTTCCATAAAGCAGGAATAGACTGCGAATCCTAACAGGATTCCTGACAGGACACTGTAGATTAAATGGACATCTAAAGAAAATTGGAATAATCCAAGATGGCACATGTAGATTCTGCAAAGAAGCAGAAGAGACACCAACACACTTACTAACAAACTGCGGAGCTACACTAGCCCGCAGGAGGAAGTGTTTTGGGATGTACAATGTGACCATAGAAGAACTACAACCACTGAAACCGGGCCTATTAATCAAGTTTCTTGATGAAATAGGACTCACCGATGTGCTTTAGGCAGAGCACAGGGGATACAATAGCTCTTAAAGGGCACCATACCCTAAAATTTTACATCTACATCTACATCTACATCTACATCTACTTCCATATTAGCCTTGATTCCTTAGTATATCGTTTTTGGTATATTTTGCTCTACATTTTTCCTTTCAAGATGAAAACAGATTTTCAAACGCCCATGTTATTCCATGTTTACTGAATGTTTCGCTCATGGATGATATGATCATTTCACCTTGATTATAATTATTGTTATAATGTACCTACATTCTTGTAAATAAAAATGTATTCATTCATTCATAAAATGAAGTTTAATATAAAAGTGTATGTATTATCATTTCGCTAATAAATTAACTAATTAAATCAGTTGGACATTGTGGCATCAAATCCTCCCCCTTTCATGCTTGAGTAGCACTCCCCCAAATTTCAAACCAAAACAGCATTAGGCAGAGCAATTAGACTTTATTTGAGTAAATGTCAGACCCTTTGTTTACATACTACTGATTGTCTTGTCATTAATTATGCTTCTTTACACACGTTTGCTGGCTATTAGTCTGTTTCCCTTGATAAGTCTTGACTGACAAAGTAAAATCTACTTGTCATTAAATTGTTTTGCTTTCAAATTGGAAATATTCACTAATAAATCGAAAATTACAATGAAAATTTTAATTTATTGTGAACATTTGGAATAAATTTACAGAAACAGTCTATGTGTGTATATTTCAATTTTAAAAATTTAAGTTTTTTTTTGTTTCAGAAATCAAAACGTCCACTACAACAACTACAACTACCACGACTACAGTTAAACCACCTGAGCCAACAACAATAGGTAAAGCAATTGTATCTAATATTAAATATTAATAAATTTTGTATCTGAAGTTTTTACAGTTAATTTTTAAAATAAAAAATAGAGAAAACCTGTTTTGAAACTTGTTGTGTCTTACTGAGCAAATACTAAAACAAAAACTAAACATGTATACCTCCCAGTATTACTTTATTAATACAAGTAATAAATACAATAAATAATAAATTTATGTCAAATTTTTTGTCAATGTGAATGGTTGTTATAATTCAAATTAAAATACTGAAGAGTCCTTACTGAAAAGATGCTTTTTATATATTAAAAAAATATATATTAAATTGTTCACTGCTAAAAATGGTTATTGCTAAAACTTTTAAATTACCTAACTTTTTACAGAACAAGGTAGACATGGTGAAAAATTTAATAAATGTGCAAAACAAGATGCTCTTTGTCATCATTTCCACAAGGTATTTTGGACAGAATTCGTTCCAAAAACGCATTATGCAGATCCTGAGTTTTATTTGGAGCAATTAAAGTGAAGTTTGACATCATGCAACTGGCTTTGTGAATAAAAAGTGTTTTGTGTCAACAATTGAGCTACAGCCCATGCCAGTTACCCGGGGAATTGAACAATTAGCTTTCATAAGTAACAATCCCCCCACCATAATCGGCATTTAGCCATAATTAATGGAAATAATAAATTAATTATATTTTGAGCGTTTGAACTCATTAATCATCCCAGTATTAATCTCAGAAAATAAAATTCACTTTCAGAGCAACAGTATTAATTATATACATAATTTTTTTTTTCAGAAACGACGCATTGGCCAGTTTATACATCACATGATCCACCACATGAAGGTATTTATTTGAAAAAGATACTCAACTTGTTAAGAAATAGAATTTTAAATTTTAATCAAACCATATTCATTTACAGACTATACCAATGCAGAGATAGACGACTATGAAAATGAGCTTGAAGAAAAAGGAGTTGGAGCCAGGAGTAGTCATATTTCTCAAAGTGTTTCCCTCCAGCCAAAATTAATAATTCTCATTATTTCCCTACTGGCGTATTTTTTTAGGTGACATAAATAAAACAAAGACAAAAAAAGAAGAAATATCCTCTGATGAAAAGAAATCATACTATTGGATTATAAACATCTTTTTCCTTTCCATTTTAGCATAAAAATATTACATTATTTTTTTATTTGTTTAAGATGTAATTCAGATAGTTTGTAAAATATATATGTACAAATTACCCGATTACCAAATTTTAGTAAATGGTTTATATGATGTACAAAATCATTTCTAATTAGTATAGATATATTGTATATAATTATTGCATTGTTACAATAATGAAATTATAGCTATTTAAATATGACTATGTATCTTAGGCGCTTGTAATATCATTTTTACTTACTTTTCATGTTAAGTAGAACTGATTCATACTTTTCCCAGGGAAAACTATTTCTAAGAGTTTTTGTTATTTATAGTACAAAATAATGTTGTTAGATAACTTATTAAAAAAACAATTAGATTTATGAAAGATTAATGTGCATGATCGATGTGAATACAAGTAAATATCAAACATATTTACATTATACCTAAATGTACCTGTTAATTTAATAAATTGTTATTAATGTTGATCAAATTAGTAAGGTAAAATTCTGTTTATAAGAATTTTCTATGTTGAGCACCAATAAAAAATGTTATTTCATCTAACATTAATTTTGCTGTTGGCTTCTACTATAGTTACAGGTTTTTATTAAAGGTTATTTAGAGATCGTGAGATGCGGATCTCTAAATAATCATTAATTAACAGTCACTAAATACATTTCTATTAAAGTTAGGTATTTCAAGACTGCAGGCCAACCCGAGCAAGTCCTGGCCAAATCAATTCTGCACTGTGAAAATACACGTGTATTTTTGCCTTTTCACACTTTAGCCGGTGATTCCGAACAAAAGAGATTGCGCATTTATTTTGTAATGAAATACAAACAATTGATTAGAAAAACAAATACATACATAAAGGCAATGTAGCAGACTTTATGATCAAACAATGACTGTAAAAATATAGGAGTTATATTAAATTATTAAATTGGTTCCAATGTTTAAAAACAAATCTGAATAGTACAAACATTATTTCATATATAAATTAGTTTCATTATTAATTATATAATATAAAGTATTCAAGTTTACAGGGAATATTATAAAATTCATAGAAAATTTCTTGAAAAATATAAGTTTTAGAGTCAGGTGCAGTGGTACTCTCTCAGGCGATTTTGCCCAAGAAAACAGGGTGCCGCAAGGTTGAGTATTAAGTGCTATGTTGTTTTGCATTGCCATTAATAGTCTTACAGTGTGTCAATTTCCTAGTTGAAGTAATGTTGTATGCTGACGACAGTTTTATTTTGTATCAGTAAAAATATTGAAACCCTTCAACACTATATGCAAAATGCATTAAATAATGTAAGTGGTTATTAGAAAATGGCTTTAAAATTTCGAAGTTGAAAACTGTAGCTGTCTTTTTTGCCCAAAGACGACCTACTACATTACCGGCCCTGCACATTCTAGGAAACAAAGTTAATTTTGCTGACACTGCTCAATATCTAGGTCTAACTTTTGATAGGACTGTAAATTGGCTGGCTTACCTTAAAAGTTTTAGAGCAAATTGCCTTCAAAATATGAATTTGCTAAAGACTATAAGTTCAACTTCATGGGGAGCTGACCATGCGAGCCTTTTAAGATTATGTAAAAGTATAATACGATCTAGAATCGATTATGGCTGCAATGCATATGGTTCAGCAACAGAAAATAAGCTCAACTGTTTAAACCCAATCCAAAACATTTGTTTACGATTGGCTACAGGGGCCGATAAATAGCCTACTGGTTGAAGCTGGAGAAATGCCATTAGCGTACAGGCGACAGTTTCTTGACACTAATTTTTTTGTTAAAATCATATCATCTCCACTACATCCTTTGAATGATTTATTTCCAAATAAAAACATCATCTCCCTTGAAAACTGTGATATAGCAAAAAGAAACTGTACGCACTTCCTTATTTTTACACAGTCAAACCAACACCATTCCAGCATTACAAACTATCTCTGTCTCTGCATCGCCTCCCTGGCTCTCACCAAAAGCTAATTGTCAGCTACAACTCGCTAAACTCAAAAAAGAAACACCCCACCGTATGTATACAAACAGAAATTTTTAGAAATCCTAGTGAACCTTCCACATGCTACCTTAGCATTTACTGATGGGTCGAAAGCTCAAATGGAGTAGAAACTGCTTTTATGCCCAATGATAGGAAATATCTTTTCTCTCTTTCTCCAATGTGCAGCAATTTTAGTGCTGAGCTAATGGCAATACATAAATATATAAATATAATCTGCCCAAGAATTAAAATGTTATTAATATGTTCTCACTCATTCTCTGACTTGTCATCACTGAATGATCCATGGCATTAAAAGGTCTTTCTCAGAGAGGTATTGGGGTTGTTTTCTTGTGGGTTCCTGGTCACAGTGGCATTGCTGGAAATGAGATTGCAGATAGGGCAGCCAGAGAGGCAGCTATATCAGAGCAGTTAGTAAGAGAAGTTCCAGGCAACGATTTTATTTCAAATATAAAATCAGAAATCTGGTCTAGATGGGAAAAAACTGGCACGATATTGGGGAAAATAAGCTTAGAGAAATAAAAACTAACGGTTAAACCTTGGCCGAGTTCAATCAGGACTACCGTAGGGAGAGGTGATTCTCCCAAGATTACAAATTGGCCACTGAAGGATTACTAAGTCATCTAATGGCTACAGAACCACCCCCTGTCTGTCCTTGTTGCAATGAGATTATTACAACAAAACACATTCTTCTGCACTGTCCAACGGCTGACCCTCTGGGGCCATGGCCCTTCCAGTTCACACAGTGGGGAGGCTGCATTGGTGGATGTTTTAAGGCAGCTATGGAAAAAAAAAAAGAAAAAAAAAAGACCGTCGAAATAAGAGGTGGATTAATGCTTTCTCATTGGCAGCTTTATAGCGCACTACACTTATGTAGAGTAGAGTGCTGTGTGTTTAGTTACCCTCTGAAGGTGGAAACTCAGGTGGCCACGTCTCACAACCACAAAATGTTCAAAATTTCCACCAGGAACTTTCAAAAAGGATAAAAATATTTAGTTACAATACAGCCATCATTTAAGTTTGAAAGGTAGTGACCAACTGATTTCCTGATCACCATTTGGCCCATTCTTCATCGACTGGCTGTGTGAAATAGCACACTCAGTTCGGTCTTGTCCTGATCAGAGAAACCCTCTTTGGCTCAGTTCAGCTCAGCCTGCAATGTGTAAAGCACCTTCACAGTTTACTTTTTATTTTTCCAAGTTCAAAATATCAGGGGTCAAAATGTTTCGTAACGTTTCTTTTATTTTGAGCTATTTCCTATTTTTTTAATGGAAAACTGAATTAATAATCCATCATGTACAAGGCACTTGGGGTGTGTTAAGGTAGTTTAAGGATTTGTATTTTTTTTTTTTTTTTTCTATTAAACAAATTATATTATTTTATTTAACACAACTTACCTTGAAAGTTATTAACATGTTATATTATAGTTTTATCGGAAAACAAGCCTTAACCATAAGGCAAAAAGTATGCAATACACAGCAGACAAAAATTGTACCTTGATCGATTAATCCATGTTTGTTTAGTGCTCATAATCGACCATATTAATTATTCCAATTAATTATTCTTTTTGTATTGTATCTTAAGGTGATTAATAATACTGGAAGAATTTCCATTATACTGCTTACTTTTAACATCAATTCCATCTTGCCACACATCAATAATGACGGATAATATTAGTATGAAACAGTTAAGGTTCAAAAGAATATTTATTTACAAAATTTGAACAAGAACATAGAGCACAATATTGGATTGTGTTAACAATTCACTGGGCTTTATTACCAACACAAAATAATGGTGACTAGACTTAAAAATAAGTGATCTATTTACAAATTATGTATTATTATGGTCCTGGTTTTGTAAATAATAACAGAAAGTGAGTAGAAAGAATTGGTAGAAAAGAAATACAAAAAAAACTGAAACTGGATAAAATTATAACCAATATACTGTAGTCTTTATCTAAAAAAACATCTATCACAGCTAATATTGCAATAACTCAGCCTGTTAACTAAAAAAATATTCTGAGTTTAAAACATTATTTAGATCAAAATCACCTTTCTTAGGTAACTGTTTAAGTAGTGAATTCAGTCTTTCTTGTGTTAAATTAACTAATGATGGATCTTCAAACATTTCATCCCTGAAGAAAAAAAATGGTAATAATAATGAATAATATAATAATATAAAATGTTTACAACTTACTTCTCTAAGCATCTGAATTTTTGTAACATGTACTCAGATAGATTATTCAAAATAGGTTGGGAATGAAGAGCAACAAATTGCTCTCGGCAAATCTAAAATGACATTGTATTAATATCAAAACTCGATCATTTGCAAAATTGATAAAATTACCTTGTTCATTTGAGGTAGTGTTTTAGGATGGGTCCAATAACAGTCATGAACAGAAACAAAAGTAATGCCAGCTCTTTCACAAAACAAAGAAGTCAACATCATGTGACAAGAATCAAGTGAATGTATAAAATTTGGAGGAAAAGCATTTCTCTGCTTTATGACATTTGGTCTCCTAAAATTGAATTACAAAATAAATCTAAAATTTTAGATTGATTTTATACCTCTTTTTTAATGTACTGTGACTGCACTTCACTAAATTAATCACTCAATCAATCAATTAACCAAATTTGACTAAGTTGTTATGATGGTTCTAGGTGATGTGTTGTCATGTCTTTCTCATAAGATTACATAAGTTTCAATGAATGAAAATTCTGTCTATTGGACGCAAAAATACCACTTGGTTCCAGTGTGAGAGGACTGATTACATTTCCAGGGTGAGAAAAGTTTGTGCAAAGCTGGGTGTATAGGGACATTCAAAAATTGAACGTAGTCGGTTCCAATGTGAGAGCAGCCTATGTGTATATGTTACAGGTAATTAGTCTATATGAGTATGTAATGAGTGTTTTTAGTTAAAGAGCATAATTCCAATTTTTCTACACAATTTACCTAGAAAAAATGAAGTGATTAATATGTATAATAACTGAGTGTGGTTCGTTAAAGTGTCTAATTTATTGCAAACTTTAGAATTTATGATTTCTGAACCGCATTTTGTGGTACAGTTGCACCAGACAAACCCTACACCATCCCCAAAGTCAGTCAAGTTGGTTAGGCTTGTTTTGCCATAGAAGTTCTCTTATGGTATAAGAGCATTACACCAAATTTGTTGAACAACTATTTCTTATTTAAGCATTTCTTTTCATTTGTGTGTAATGGCCACTGAATGTCTGCTTTCAGATTTCATTATGTTACTTTTTTATGCCCTTTGTTTAGTAGATGCATAATTGCATGTTGTATGCTAGGATTTTTGTACTTTTTCATTGTTAATGTTCCTTTCATGTGCTTCACTATTTTATTTCTGTTTGTTTGTGTGTGCATTATGATCTGCTGTACTATATTTGAGTTTTAGATTTTAGTATGGTTATAATAAAAGAAATGCTGTTGTGTTCGATGACCATAGTTAATGTAATCTTAAAGCTTAAGCTATTAAACAATACTCACTCAAACATATCTAACGGAAAATATTCCTGAAAGTTTGATGAGGATGACTTCTTCAGATGTATCTTGTCTTTATGCTTAGCATAAGGCTGAACAACAGGTAAACCAAGGGGTGTAACGTATTCAACATTTTGACCACAAAATTGTGATATATATTTTGCTGTTTCAGTAAGCCAATCCTTCAACAAAGAAAACATGGAAAGTTAATAAATTAAAACTTATGAATTAAATTTTAAAAATCAAAACAACCTGTATCTCTCTTGCTGAAGTGAACATCTCTCTCAAACTGATGAATGTCTTTGTAACAAGGTAAGTTGACGCAGTCCAGACATGTTCTTTAGGAAACTCTTCAATATCTATAAAGAAATAATGTTCAATAGGTATTCACTAAAAATACAATTTTTTGTAAATTACCTTTTAGCTGTTTTGCAATTTGAAGACGAGCACCAAATCTCGTCACACCATAGACAGTAGTCATAACTGTCTGTTTAATTACTTTCCTCTTTACATACCCCTCTAAAACTTGAGCAATTTGAACACCTTCTTTTGCATCTTTAATTCTTTCCCTTTCAACCTAAATTAAAAATAAATAGCAATCACTTGATAAGCCTTGGCAGATTTGGAAAATTAAGTTAATTGGAAAATTATCAGAACCTTTTTGTTTCTTTTACTGTACGTTAAATAATTATAAATACAAAACAAATGCTTACAATAGCAGCAACACAGCTGTACACATCCTGAGGGACTTCAGCAGGTGATAAGTTAACACTGTATGCACCGACAGAATCCCTGCCGAGGGCGGCATAATGCTGAAGCCCGTTACAAGAGCCGTCTTGATGCACAGGAAAATGAGAAATATAGTTTTCTGGGCCAGTCTCATTGGCAAGGGCATTTCTAATTTCCATGCAGCATGCGAGGGTTTGACAAGGCTCTTCTGAGTCCATCCACCATTTCTCTCCCTTCAGAAGAAACAATTAATTAAGTATAAGCTTTGTCACTTTATTAACGAAATACCTCTAGAGGATTGTTTGCACTGTCTAGTATTTTGGGTAAAATCTCGTCGGCGTACTTCAATCGTTCAGCATTTGAATCTCTCTTTTTCAAACCAGTTAAATTTACAAGATGTATCTTAAAACAACAGCAATGTAGAAATAGTTTGGTTGAATATATCACTTTGTAATACCTTCAACCAGCCAAGACCATCAGGACCTAACGGTTCACCTTTAGCAAACTTAAGGATCGAACGAGCCAAATCAGAACCTAAGTGGTTTAAATGTGGTGGACATGGGTAAACCCTTCCTCTGAAATCCATGTTGTGAGGTAACCAAAAAACTTTGTCTCTAAACTGTATAATTCAAAATGTTACTTTATTTGTTACAAATTATAATAAGTTTTTGTTTTTTTTAGTCAAAACTATACTTACATGGTTAGCAAGAGACAATCGGTACAAAGCATCACACCAAAGAGAATACATTTCTGCTCTTTTACGCCTCACGACCATCCTCTTCCTAAACGCATGAAACCGTTCTGTACTATTAATAGATGAAACTGGTTTTGGTAACGGTAGTGCAGCAGGTGGTTCAGGAATTTCCAGTTTCGAAGACCCACCATTATTGAATATATTTATGATAATATCAAGCACCTAAAATATAAAATATAACTGTGATACACAGGTTTATATAACTGCAGAGAATTTTGAAAATTTCTGTTTAACTGTTAAAATCCATCACCTAACTTGGACACCCTACATACCTCACCTTCAGGCCAAAATGAGATTTTTGGTTTTTTAATATCCTTAAGGTATAAATGTACACAAGCATTGATTTTTTTTAGTTCAAATTTGTTTTTAAAAAAAGTTAGCAGTCTCTGGGACGGCTGTGGCATGAGGGGCTGGTTTTTAAAAGGTTAAAGCGTCAAGAGGCAGTCCACCTGGCAAAAAGGTTGTAGACACTAGGTATAGGATATAGAAATTTAATAGAAAATCTAATACAGTGGCTATATGTACGTTACTAGTGATATTAAGTGCTCAAATGGATCTGGACGAGATAAATTAGCCATAAAATAAAAAAATACAAAAAAATTCACCTCATTTGCTAACATGTTCGAGATTTTGTTCCAGGACAAAGTGGTCCAAAACATGTATTGATTGCATGGGAAAAATGAAACTGCGGCCAGAACACGACCATAACTCATTGAAATGAGGTACACTTAGTACCACTGGCACTTTACATGTTAAAGAAGTGTATTAAATGGATTTAATGGCTCATTAATACTATTTATTCAAAAACACTTGCAAATTTAGTTTTCAAATTTATAGTACAAACGTAAAGATTCACTTATTTTTCATGTTAATGGATTTGTTGGGGACCAGGCTAGCTGAGTGGTTAGCTTGTCAAATTCCCAGCTCGAAAACTCACTTTCGTTGGTTCAATTTTCACTGTCATCTCAAAATTGTGAGACCTCTCCCCCACCCCCCATAATAAAAATACTGTTCATATCATGCACTCTAAGCGAATGAGAAACATAAGACCATTTAAAAAACAAATAAATAAATACATTTGGCCAATATGGCTGCTATAGATGTCAAACTTTAAAACTCAAATATAGTAATTGTTGATAGTTTTTGGAATGTTAACAGTGTAAATTTATAAGATACTCAGATGTCCTGCCCATGTAACAAAATGAATACAATGTCCTGACTGAAGAAATTGATACTTCTTCACCGACTTTCAAAATCTGAATATGGGAACTGTTAATAGCATTTATGGCTCGGGCTGAATGATGAATGGCCGGGTTTGCATAATATTTTTACCAACAGTTCGATGACGGAAAGAGGAGTCAGTTGAGCATTTTATAATCCAGTTAACAATCATGAATGCTTGAGTAAATTGCTTCAAGATTGCAAGGTATTTTCAACAGAGCTATACACCATATCAAACTCTCTTAGTTTCTTAAGTTCTACTACGAGAAATAAATGCATAATAATCATCGATAGTTTAAGTTCCCTGATAAAGTAAAAGAATCTGAACTTAAATGCTTCTGACTACATCGAATTTTTGAAATCCTGAAAAAAATAAATTACCTAAAACAATAGATAAGAAAGTCATTATAGCTTGGATAAGAGCTCATGCAGATTTAACAAAGTAATGAAAAAGTGGATCAATTGGCAAAAGAAACTGCTTCACAGGGTAAAAGATCGTTTGTTACTCTCAACTATAGTTCAACAGTTAAATTAAAAATACAGTTTTACAACAAATAGGTGTAGGAATTCTATTAAAGGGAGGTTCTACAAATCCATTCAGCTTATATGGTGAGTGCTGGTTTAAGGGCAAACCAGTAAAAATATGCAAAATTATATGTACGCTACACTCTAACTATGCAATTAGCAATGAGTATTTCAACAAAAATATCATTAATTGAAATATGAGTGACTATGTCTCAGAGTTTCATGCAAACACCTTATTCTGTTATGCCTCAAACATATCAATGAAAGAGAAAGATTATTCAATTCCATATTTCAACATCTAGCTCTACCTCTCAGTTATAAAACTATCCTTAGTTCAAATAATTTGCAAGTTTACCAATCAATTGTAAAACCTGTGAGAGATATTAAACGACAAGTATAAAATATAAATAACAAAATAAAACATAAATTATAAAAATGGTACTTAGTTATGGCTATTTAGGCTAATGCAAAAAAAAAAGTTATGCAAAGAATTGTCTTCTTTCTCTGACAACTTTATAAATGTTGTAACCATTTTAGCTGCTACAAATCCTGCCTAACAGTTTGATAAATAAACATAAAGTATGTAATTGTTCAAAAATTATTTTTTTAAAGCTTTTAATTCAACCAGCAAACACATGGGAAGCGAGTAGAACGAAATTTTCCACATGCTAATACATAAATATTATTGTTTTGATTTATTTTAAGTTTTAAAATTGTTTGAGTTAAAATGCTTTACGAAAGTTGGCCTTCTATGTTCATTGAAGTAGTTTTGGTTTTCATCCTGAGGATAGGATTTGTGTTGGTGCATATTGGATGCGTGCCTTCTTCCAGTGTTAATCTTCTTGTGATGCAGCATTTGATTAATATGGCCGTATCTACACTGGTCTTCTTTGTCATTGGATTTCCCATCGCTGTTGGTAACGATAATCTAGTGGTTGAGGTATCAAAAGTTATGCAAGGATCGATCAATGTGGATGACCTTATTTTCAACTGGAAAATCATAGTTGTATCAGATGCAATTATATCTACAACAATATGTGGCAAGGCACATATGGCAGGGGGAGTTTTAATGTCAATGCTGGTTTCCGGTTGCATTCAACCAACAATTATGTACTTCCTTTGGAGGAAGATACGGTTTTTCAATGCTGGAGGAGATAACTTAATATTTTACTCTTATGGACACACAGTTGTAATGCATGTCTTTCCAGGTGCATTTTGTTTGGGCTGTATACTATTATATGGTAAAAGAGTAATCAGGATATCTGATATAGATTTATGTTCAATTTCCTTTAATTCGCATTCAACAACTATAATAGGATATGCTTTTATAATAACATCAATGGTAATTGAACCTACATTAATAGCAAAGAAAAATGTAACAACTATTTTTGTAAACAATATTTTGGCGGTAACAATTGGAGTGATGACAACTTCAATTTTAAACTCTGTGTTCAGACAGAACTCAAACTTCTTCAATTACTGGCAAGTTGTATGCACTTTTCAAGGAGCTCTTTCAAGTTTGGTAATAATAAGTGCCGGATTAGACATGATGAAGCCGTATCAGACGTTGATGATAGCCCCAGTAGGGCCATTGCTACACTTCATATATTCCAAACTGATATTTTGCACAATTTTCGAAGATTATTGTAAAATTGTAGGCATACACGGCATCTGCGCGGCCATCGGAGCTTACTTATCCTGTATTCAGTTTGAGCCGAAACTTCAAGAAGATTCGACATTGGACCGTCTCATGCGAAGAAGCATCATCACGACCATAATATTCTTTTGTGGTTTTATTATTGCCTTAGTTATCCAGCTAATATTAAAATACACCAACCTTTTACGAAACAACACAGAGAAGTTGATACACATGAAAGCACCTAAAGGAAACAAAAACAAGTGTCCGTACATACTTCCAAACAAAAACAAACAACTGATAGAGCCACAAGTTCATATTCTGCACACATTAAAAAATCAATTATTCAACGAAAAGGCGAACCTTTTTTAAGGATTCATCAATTCTGTGAAGAGACATAAGGGTAAATGTATCCAATAATTTCACAGTACAATTATTTTATTTTTAAAAACGTGTTTTTTTTATTTATTTTTTAATTTAAAAAAAATCTTTATTGTATTATAAGCCAAAAATCTATCTAAATCAACTATTGTACCAATTTTAAACTGATTGTGACTAACATGACCACTAAAAATCAGGAATACGAATCATTAACAGAATAACAGAAATATTTCCAAGTGTTTCTTTGAAAACATTGAATGTTCTTATCTATCAAAATGACAAGCAACATATTAGGATTTCATAAAAAATGTTTATTATGAACAAATTTGTTTCAATAACAGCTGATAAACTTTAGCATAAAGTTTTATAGCAACAAGAATGTTTGTAAAGACTGTATTAACATATTATCATAAAAAATAATATTTTTATCATTATTTTTTCTTCAGTAGGTTGTTTTTAAATTTATTTTTTATCATATTACATCTTTATTATATTCCATAGACAAGAAAATTTAATTGAGTTTTTCAGCAATGTAAAATAATAAAAAATATTTTTATAAATTTGTGTTTTTTATTGTCTCCATCTATGAAATATAATAAAGAAGATTTTTTTTAATTTTGTTAAAGTTAGATAAGTACTAGATGTAAATAAGTTAAAGTTGTTAAAGTTAACTTTGAGAATTATAAAAAAATTATATGTCCCAATTTCAGCAAAAGATATTTAAAACTTTTGAGTACAAAAATGAAATATATGCACATCTATCAAAATCATCTTTGATTGAAGATATTTATTGAAAATATTGCATATAATGAATGGTGTGTAATGTATGTGTATTAAAATATAGTTGTGCCTAATTTTCACAAATAATTTTATTAACTCCCACAGATCTCTTGAAAATTCACTTGAATTTAATGGCATAATTTAATCTGTTATATCCTTCACAATTTCATAAGAATACACGATGGATTTACATTTACCGTATGCTTCGCAGCGAAAATTGTCAATTTTGCCAAAATGCACTTGCCAATATTGTTTTGGTAACAGTTAGTGTTGGCACGACGGTATTTGGCCTCTAAGCAATAAGAGATTAGTCGGCATAAGCGCATTGCTACTTATTCTTGTGTAGGAGAAGGTGAGGTTTTAGAATTTAATGAACCAAAGAGTATATTCTTCAACATTTATTTTAACCCACTTCCGTTTTTTTAAATGTACCCAAACAACACAAAATCTTAATCAGTCTAAAACATCAGAAACAATTTAAATCTGGGAAGAATGTATTAACAAAGAGACCCTTGGGGGGGGGGGGTTAACAAATAACGCTCGTCACGATTAGCATCCACAGCATGTTCTGGTCTCACTTTCAATTTATAAATCATCCCTTTTTATACCAGTTTCTCTACCGGAGTAGGGGGTGGAAAGAAAACTCAAAAGTCGGGTGAGTTCCTACGCCAAGGGTGGATCTGGTTGACACAACCCCAATTTACCTGTCCCATGTCACTACATGTTTTTCAGCTTGTGACAACCCTTCAGTACTAAATTACTCGTTAGTTATTTATTTGATCAGTTGTCCCACCATTGCAACCATGTTTTCTAGGTTCTTGGGAAACAACCGGTGGCTCCCGTCTGAATCTGCAACACCCTTCAGCGTTCTTATTTATTTGACCAACTGTGTAATTATTACAGGATTACGAGGAACTTCACATCGCTCCTGCCTGTGCTGTATACCTTTGACCAACTCCATAATTATTGCAGAGTAATGTTTCCCCGAATGGTGAGGAACGTCTCATGGTTCCCATCTGAGTGATCGCCCTTTCTGATTTAAAGCCTTTTTTTTTATATGGTCAATTAAACTTTTTTTTTCTTAGTTTAACAAATACAACTTATTCTAAGATGGAGGCCAGCTTAAACCAGTATGGAAGGAAAAAGTGAAGTTAACAAGAGATTAAAAATTTTCCGGCACTCATTCATGTTTAACTTTATGTTCTTTCTGGAAAACGATGTAGGAAAGTCGGCAAATCGCCCTTGTGTTTTTAAAATCAGTGTCTCTTCGAATCACCTGCACACGCTGACCCATTGCTTTGTACAAAGATTTATAACTATGCATTGCTGATTTAATGAGTGGGTTTAGTCTATTCCCAATGATTTATATTGAGTTATGTGACAATTGAGTAACATTGAGTTAACAAAACAGCTCTATAGTTTTGAAGAAACTGATTTGTTGGCATGCTTTTTTCCTGATATTGTTAATTTTTAATAATAAAAGTCATTTACCGGTGTGTTGACTTTCCATGGCACCATGCTCAACTGATTAAGTGCATCCAAGCAGGGATATATTTGTGGCAGTGGAGAATTCTTCAATCTATCCAATTGTTGTATCGCTTCGTGAGGAAGTCTAAAATAAAAATAGTTACAGTATAAACAGGGGAAAGATAAACCTTGTACTGCAGTTTATTACCTTATCAATGAAGTCTTAGGAATGATGTATCCTCCGCTGCTACGAGTCGACCAAGGAATCGGTGGTGCCATCATTGGTACATCTGTCACACTGAACTTTAAATAAGGAAGACGAGCGGCCCTAAAAATTTTCGAAAGAATCGGGTGTGGTTTCACTTCTTCTTTTATTGCAAAACCATGATATCGGAATACAGTGTAAAAAGCAGGTAACAAATGCCTGTTTTAAAATTAAAAAATATAATTTTGAAAATAAACTGATTATTTTAATACAAAGTAATTTTACATACTCTTGATTTGAATTCATTTTCATGACATTGACATCAATTTTAATGTCTTTCAATATAATACTGTATAGAAATTGGCCAACTCCTATTAAAACACTTGCCGGCCAGGCGTCAACATCTTTATCCTGAATGTAAAATAACAGTTTTGTAACATTAAAATTTCATTTATATTTTACTATCTTACAATAGTCGGCCCTTCCTGATGCTTGTATTTCAACATCTGCCAGCACATACGTGAATTTACGTATTTATATTTACTAGGGTTCATATACCAATCGAAATACTTGTTGTACAAATGTTTCGTTTGTTCCAAAACTCCATCGGCCTTTTTCTGTTTTACTTCACACCTTAAATAGATTTTATCATTAACAAAAAGTTTTTAACAATTTTAAAATGTTATTCTTCTAGTTACCTTATACGAACTTTATTTCCCAATTCCCTATAAAGATGGACAGATGAAGGACTATAAGTTTCAGAACCTTCTGCTAATTTTCTAATTTCCTAAATTAAAAAATAAAACGTAAATGCATTGGTTGAAAAATCCATAATATAATACTTACTTCCAAAATTATTTCTTTATATTGATTTTGGTCCAAATAGACTAAATAAGGGTAAATGTTTAATTGTCTGAATGACTTGTGCATAAATTTGTGTTGTGTATTTAATGTTGCTAAATCTCGTTTTAAAGATGAAGTTATAATCTTGTCCCACAGTGCAGTCATTTCATTCAATTTTTTCCTCTGGCCAAAAAAAAATAATAATAATTAATTTATTTACTCAAAAGTATTTATTCAAAAAATCCTCTCACATAATAAGTCAATGTTTCTGATGGTTCGGCCTCCTTTTCAATAGACTTGATTTCAACAAATGTGTTTGTTTCCATTTTCACTTGTGTATCAAACAAATTATTTACATCATTTAATGTAAATAACCCTTCAGCAGGAGAATTCATTAAAGAAGTCTAAAACAAAACAAAATATTAATTTTTTTTTTAATCATAAGGGATTTATTGGCAAAACTTTTTGTTCTAGCTTACATCACATTCATTTAAAGCATTAACGAGAGTATTTGAATAAAAAACATCAGGCAATTCGATATTAGGTGAATAATTAGGACGAATCACCCTGATTGCTTGTAATATAACTTCTCTTGAATTCTTTTTCCAAACACATTTATTAAATATATTATCCAATGTTATTCCCTAAAAATGAAATCAGTTAATTGATAATGCATGAAATTAAACACAGCAGTAGTACCATTGAGGTCATGTCTTTAAAGCAGGATAGCAACAGTTCATGTTTATCCCGTTTTGCTGATCTTGCAATGGCTTCAAACCTATGGGCAAAGGACATTTCCGATGGTCTCATGTTCTTTGAATCCAATATCGACCAAACCTCCATAAGTTTATCAAGATTTCCCTACAATTGAAGATTGAAATGACTTCAAGGATCAAAAACTTTGAAGCTATTGTTGAAAAACTAACCCCTCTTGCATAGCCTTCCATTAACATGTTCATCACTTGAACATCATTTATGGGAACAATACTTTTCTCTAAATAGTATGATAACGTTGACCAACATCTATTCATAAATCCACAATTGATCTATAAAAAAAATATATATTTTTTTTTTTTAACTCAGTAAAACAATTTTTTTCTATTTAATACTTACACACATATTTATGTATGATAATAAAGAATAGTTAAAACTTGTTTCTTTTCCAGCTTTGTTTAACTCCATATATTTGATTTTGTTAAGTTTATCACGGATAAGTTTCAGTTTCCTATGTTGCAAAATAAAATCAAAAGTAATCAAATTTTCATAACAACAATAATAATAATAAAAAGTTTATACACTGACTTTGAATTTTTAACACTAGTATTAACATTGTTTTCAATGAGGGACGTCTGAACCAGTTCAGCATTAATGGGCATCGCTTCGATCAGAAATTCTTGGCCTCTTTGACCTTCTTCTTCCATTTCTTTGAGTTCTTCCAGCATTTCCTTTGCTTCGGAATTAGATGAAGAGTTTGTTTCCAACCTTTCGGTAAGTTCAGCCCTAACATCATTGACACTTGTACTGGTTGCACCTTCTAAGCAAAAAGTAGTCACTTTAGCTTCTCTCTCCCCCAGACCTTTGGAAGAAACTGAAAATAAACAATAAATTAAAATCGCCAAATAAATAATTGTTTTAAACTCTACTATGACATGTCAATTCATCACCTCCTAAAATTTTAGAGTATGTGTTTCCCCTGCCACTAGTCCTTTTGCGTAAGAGGTTCTTTTGGAAACTTATTGAGCTCGATGACAGGTACCTTTGTTGTCGACGATATCGAGATTTGGACCCTGGAATAATGAAGATCTTAAGATTAAAAAAGTATTTTATACTATGACGTTTTGGAATTTTAAGGGTTGATGTATATGAGGATCATGCAATACACAATCAACAAGCAAATAGATAATATACCATGTAGCCATATATATTATATATGCCATTATATATGGCATCATATATTATAAATTGTATTATATATATTCATTTGTTATTTATCACTGTAAATAATAAAATATTTTCTTTCTCATGGCTTCAAAACCTTTAATTTGTGCGTGATTATTGTATGAATTTTAGCTCAGTACCAGGGTGGCAGAGGCAGCTTATAAAATGTGTGTTTGGTGATGAGTCGCATATGTGACATCGGTATAAGATACAAAGACTATCCAGGCGATTAAATTCAGTCGCCTCTCCTCAATCTTTTCTCCACACTCTTCCAAGTGGTTTAAAAACCCAGATGTTTGATTCTGCCATATTTTTATCATGGATAAGTTAGAAGCTGTAGCTCTTTGTTATTTAATTAGGTGAAAAACAAATAGAAATATAATAGTATATACATTGGCAAATGTTTTCTTTTTTATCATTGTCCATGTAATTAAGGTCACTTGTCCAAAGTGTGGGATATGTTTGAAATTAATTTGTCATTATCAAAAATGCCATTTCTATCCATCTTTTTAAAGTAACAGAGGGTACGAAATGTAAATGAAAAGAGTCAGACAGGGCGATCTGCTCGATATAGAATGAACTCTGTGAATGACACCATGCTAGGCAATGTCCAGTCAGGCGAAAGAGAATCAAGTGACCGAACATTATGACATTATTGGTGAGATCTTTACTAGAATATTGTTCTCCTGTCTGGAATCCATACACTGCTGGATGCTCATGCAAATCTGAAACTTCATAGAGTGCAAAATAAATCTTGAAGAATGGCTGCCTTTAAGCTGGGACTAAAACTAACCAATTATACTTATATATGATTATTTTATATTTATACGATTACACTTATATTATATCTTAGCCTTTTTAAAATTATTAACTGATGCATTGACTGCCCACAAATTTTTAAGCAATATTAACTTCTCTTCTACTCCTCATCAGCATAGGACCTTTTATATTCTACGCCACAATATTAACTATGACAAAAACACCGCTAGACAGAATAATGTGCTCTACACAATTTGCTAAACAAATCTTGACAATCTAGACATATATATTCATTGAATTTACGTTTTAACAAAAATTTACCTTATCAAATATTAATCCATTTATGTTTAGTGGTCTAATTGGCCAAATTACGTCTTTCTATTAATTATTCTTTTTATGGTTGAGATGAAAAAGTTAGTGTCATGAGCAGGATTCGAACCCATGACCTTCGGCTAATACACCGCTACTCTACTCTAACTACTTAAGCTATCGTGACTTCGATCCACTTGGACACCAACTCTCCTTCTCAACCTACAATCTTTCGAATTTTCCCTCTTTTTTGCTATTGTTCAAATGTCGTGTAATCAGAACTCAATTCTCAGCAACTTATGAAGTGGCCAGGGGGAGCTGTTAATGAAGTGTTTCTTCTTTTACTTATTAAATATTAATTCATTTATGTTTAGTGGTCTAATTGACCAAAATACTTCTTTCATTTAATTATTCGTTTTATGTAAGGTCTTGGTTGAGATGAAAAAGTTGGTGTCACGAGCAGGATTTGAACCCACGACCTTCGGCTAAATACACTGCTGCTCTAACCACTTGAGCTATCGTCACTTCGACCCACTCAGACACCAACTCCGTATTGAGACATATTGAGCTGAACGTCGTGGGTTTGAATCCCGCTCGTGACACTAACTTTTTCATCTCAACCAAGACCTTACACAAAAAGAACAATTAATTGAAATTGTCCTTATCTTTTATCCATTGAATATTACTGTAAATATTATGTGTAAACATTGTGAAAATTAGTATGACTATTGTTAGCATGATGAGCTCTTTTTATGCGTAACTACTTGTAATATATTTATATATTTTTGTACAAGGATGGTATCAGTATAAGTAAATCCCAATCAACTAAAAATCAGTATTTCATTCCAATTGCCTTCCGGTCTCCCAGTCTGAATGATGAGGTCTGTCCCTACGTTAACTCCATCCCGTTGATACCATTCTCTCATACTGATCGCCTTCATGCGAACTGTGCCTAAATGGATACACTGCTCAAAAATGATTCAAAAAGTTTAACAAACCCAAAGCATCACCTTTTGAGAAGTTTTAAATGATCTAAATACATTGAAGACTCAATTGAAAAATAGACCTTGGTGTATAAAATATTTGTATAAATTTTCCTTTTATTAAATTTACTTCTCACCTAGTATGAATCCATATCTCCTATTGCAAAGGGTGCAGTTCAATCTGGAATGCTGTACAGTTGGAAATGCATTGTGAACAGAAATTGCGCTTAATTTCAGTAGCCTCAGCATCGCGATGAGTTTCTACCATCTCAAAATTCAGTCATGTATTTTTTATGCGCCCTTTTTCCTTTTCCTACTGAAAAGGACAGTTGACGATCCGTAAAATAAGAACAAATAGATAAAAAAATTTCAGCAAAGAAATCGAAATAGAAAATATAAACAGCTAGTGGAACCTCTTTTCACAAGGTGCCGACTGCACGAGGCTGGAGCCTTGAAAATGTTTAGGGCCATAGAATACAAGAATCGCAAAGATACTGATATCATAGAAAAGCATCACTTTTGAAGTTATGGTGCATCGAAATACATTTCAAAACCCTCACACAACACAATAAAAAAAAGAACATAAAATTCAAACTTAATTACTATGAAATTGCTCTCTTAATTGTTAGTACAACATAGTACACTAAAAATATTTCAATACCTTTAGACAATTATAAAACATCAAACACAGACTAAAATTTATCTATACCGAAACAAATCAAATTAAAAATAACTCTGTTAATAGTTAGTAAAAAATAAATACATTTCCCTCTTAACACACACACTATGGTTTCAAAACAATACATTTAGTAGTACTGTATAAAATAAAATAACTCTTTTCCTATACAAGTATACTATTTTTTTCTTTTATTTTTGTTGTACATCATGCTCCACTACATTAGATATTACATGAATTAAACATAATAAAAATAACATAATTGAAAATTACAAAGCATATTTACAATAAGTACAAAAGTAAAGGAATTATAATCTCTTTTCTTAATATTACATTAACTCCTCATAATAATTAAAAATTACTTAATATTTTTTTAACACTTCAATATTATTTACAATAATGTACTTATACAAGAACGCCATTATTCCCAACACCAACTTCATAAAATGCGGTTGCACTTCCGGTCTCTAAAAAGCATGATTTTTTGGGGGCGGCCAACGTAAGCCCCTGGTCATCATGTGTTGCAATAACGGAAGCCTGGCAGCCTCCATCACAGTCCGAGGTGATGTCTGACTGCAAGAACAAGCAGTGTCGGGGATAATATTAAAGTGAATGCTGCCTTAATTGCTAATAATTCAGCCGAATAAATTGATATCTCTGGCGGCAGAGGAATTGATTCTCCTTTATTGATGCTAGGGCAGAACCAGGAACATCCAACCTTCCCAGACTTGAGGGATCCATCGGTGTAAACAGTTAGGTGGTCCTTAGGGAAAAGTTTGTGAAGATCAGCAAGCACTTGTTGATTAACCACTACGGGATTTTGCCCGGAGTAGTCTTTTAGTACATAGCAATTAAGGGGGTTTCTAATTGTTTTTAGCTCTGTAGAGAAAATTGGAGGGGTATCTCTTTGTTCAATGTCTACAGTTTATCTATTCCTTTTGCCTTTTTTTTTTTTTTAATCAATTCTGTGATAGAAAAATCTGTTTGTTTTTATTATCCCAAGAATAGGTTCAGGGTTTATACATGATATTGCAGATCCTCCTCTGGCCAGTGTCTGCTTTTTCATTCCCCGAAATTTTTATTACCCGAAATTTCATTACACCAGGCTTGTGTCCTGGTACCTAAAATATCACCAGGTTGTTATGTTTCCCCAGGTTTTGAGATTTTGGATCCATTAATTAATTTTGATGTGATTTTTTTACATACTGTACTTTAATACCTGCTTGACTATCTAATCTTATGAGGATATTTTTATCAGTTTAACCCCTTTTAAGATTTTCCAAAGCACAAGCATTGACGAAATGTATTTCAGCTTGAAAGACCGATGTGTACTTCCCCAATGAATTTGATTTGTCATGTTTTGAGCTTGTACAGAAAATGCCTGATCTGGTCCCTTAATTTGTTTTAGGGCCATCTGTGTATCATATCATTGCAACTGATGTTCTGTTGAATTCTTCTTCTTCTTTGTAGTCTGTTGAGACTCTAAAGGATGTTGTAAAGAATGTTTCTAGGTTCATGTAGTCAGTCTCCATTTTTAAGAATGGGAGTCTAATTTTATTAATTATTGGAGTGTGATGGAAGCATTCAGTTCCCATCCAGTTTAATTGTTTCTGGAACCTAAATGAGCTTTTCCTTGTATAAATATTTTCAACGGAGGTAAATTTAGCAGTGTTTCTAATGCAATTGGTGGGTTTTTTTGTTTGTTTTTTTCATTGTCCCTATGTTACATAAGTTTACCAGTCTTTTTATGCTGTCTAATGATGGGTAGATTGTCTTTGCTGAACTCTGATCCTTCCAGATTAGTGAGTCCATAGTTCGTATTTCAAATGCAACTTTTTTTTCAGTCATGTTGTTGAAATTTATAAAAAACTGATTTTTTTATGTTTTAAATAACTTTTATGTTCAATTTTGTAATTGAAGAATATACTTTGGAATTTTATTTTTAACCGGTCCCTATTTATTATGTCACATCGATAGGCCACATCGAATCTGACCTGGTAATTGACATCAATTATCATCCACTTGGAACTGTGGAACCTCTCAGTTGTCCTCGTTCAATCCAATAATCTCTTAATTCCTTAAGTTTTACCAGTGATGAAGGATTCTTCCACGTTTGTACTTTTACAATTTTCTATAATTTAATTACTTTAATAATTTACTATATGTTTTACGTACGGAAAAAGTTCAAAAGATGGTAAGATTATTGGAATAATTCTTGTAACTTAAGTGTGTTTTATACATTTTTTAATACCGAAAGGAACAACTTTTTTTACTGTCAGTACTGACAGCTATGAATAGCATCTATTCAAATAATTATTTTGTTTCAGTCTGCATTTTTCAATTTCAAAAGTTTACTAACAGTCATATTGCTATTGATCTGCACTTGCGCGTACCTTAGGTCTCTTTTTCCAAGTTTACTCGACAAGAACAAAACAGGGTAAAGTGTTATTTAGCATTAATTTAAATTCAATAATTTGTTTTTCAATATTTTTTTTTTCAGATTGTTAGGAACGTTTTGGAAATGTGCAAGAATCGGCGAAAGAAAAAGTCCTTATGTGGCAGTTTGTTGCATTTTGATGGCTCTCAATACTCTATTTTGGAATTGAAATATATATTTTTATAGATGGTTTTTTGTAAAATTGCAATTTTAAGTTAATAAAATCTTAATATGTATAAAATAATCTTAATTGACCTGTATTTTTACAAATATTGATGGTAAATCCCTGTATTAATGTTAGGAGTTACTGCAACGTCCAAATTTTTTTAAGAGCCCTGTTTAATATACTTGTTCAGAACTATATTAATTTGATTTTATTTAATTATAATTCTATTCTCATATTAGGGTAGGGTTCTGAGTTTGAAGCTCAACATTCTCCTCAGAATTTTCATAAAAAATAAAGTCTGATCCTTCGTCTATAACAAACACCCTCTGGGTAGTTAAATGTGAAGACTTACTGGAATTATTTTACTTTTTTAAATTATTTGGTGGTTACTGGTCATTATTTGGTCTGTCTAAAAATATTTGTGATGAAACTGATTCTATTATTCAAAATATCAAATGCTTTTAGAAAGTTTGTTTCCCTCTTAGAAGGTCTGGCGCTAAAGGGAAAAAATGACTCGGCAACAGGATTAAGGAATAAAATTCAATCTCGAAACATAGGAACATTACAGTTTGAAAAAATATTTCATTGCCTGAATCTTTTCCCATCATAAAATGAGTTTTGAACATAAAAACTATCTCTAAGCCTTGTGTGACTCCTCCAGATGGTACTGGCCATGTAGGTAACTTAATTGTAAGAAATACCTTGATATTACATTTTGATATTATTTACTAATTAAATCATTTAAGCTTTAAAACATTCGTGTAGTAAAATTTGTGCCACTAGTGGAAACCAACATTCACTAAATGAACTAGTGCAGAGTTGCAACATAGGGGTTGATAAATTGGCCAAGAAAAATTCAATAACACCTGCCCTGACTACCCTACAACTGCCAAAATGTGGATGCATTAGACCAGGGGTCGGCAACCTGCAGCCCTTTGCAACTTTTTGCGCGGCCCGCCAAAGCCCAATATAATTTTAGGAAAAATCAACAAACTTAGAGCGTGAGCGTGCCGAAATGTGGCCGGTTGTTCAGCATTGGTCAAAATGTCCTTACATATTTTGAAATTAATTGCTGAACATAACAAACCATTTACAGATGGAGATTTCATTAAAAAATGTATTTTGGCTGCTGTTAACGAAATTTGTCCGGAAAAAATTAAAAAATTTGAACATATTAGTTTGTCTACACATACAGTAGTTCGACGTATTGAAAATATATCAACTAATATATTTAATAAATTAAAAGAAAATGCTTCACATTTTGAGTATTTTTCACTAGCACTTGATGAAAGCAACGATATAACTAGCACCGCTCAATTGTTGATTTTTATCCGTGGAATTGATAAACAATTTTGTGTAACAGAAGAACTTGCTGCATTAAAAAGCTTCCATGGGAATACAAGAGGTGAATATATATTTTTGCAACTATTAGATGTTTTCAATATGTACGATCTCAAGTAGGAAAAAATAAAAAATGTGACAACTGACGGTGCAAAGAACATGACTGGTCACACAATACTGGTTTGGTAGGCATGATTAATAAAAAATTGAAAGAATTAAATATTACACAGCCTCCTCTACAACTTCATTGTATTATTCATCAACATGCACTTTGCGCAAAAGTTGTAAATTTGAAAAATGTTATGAATATTGCAGTAAAGTCCATCAATTATATTCGCAAAAACGGTATGAACCATCGAACATTCCAGAATTTCTTAAATGAAATTGATGTAGAATATGAAGGTATCATTTATTTTTCTGAAGTAAGATGGCTCAGCCGTGGGAAAGTTTTAAAAAGATTTTTCGAGTTGATAGACGAGATTGAAATGTTTTTGATAGAAAAAGGAAATAATATACCAGAATTATCAAATTTTAAATGGATAAGCGAGTTAGCTTTTTTTGTGGATATTACAACTTACCTCAATAAATTAAATATAACACTACAAGGCAAAGGAAAGTTAATCAACAAGCTATTTACATAAATCAAAAGTTTTCAGCTTAAAGTAAAATTGTTTATTTCTCAACTTGAAAAGAATAATTGTCATTTTCCTACTTTGCAATCGTTTTTAACCAAAAACAACAAACGGTGTCCTTCGAATATTTTTATTGAGTCACTAAAAGTACTGGATGAAAATTTTCGTCGTCGGTTTCAAGATTTTTATGCAAAAGAAATGGACATATTAGTATTTGAAAATCCTTTAAAATTTGATATTGTAAAAGCACCAGACAATTTACAACTAGAGTTAGTTTATTTGCAATCTAACAATGTATATAAAAATAATTTTGATGAAAATAATTTAATTGCATTTTATTCAAATCTATACCTGAAAACAAATTTCCCAATTTAAGAAATTTTGCAAAATCAATGATTTGTATTTTTTCAAGCACCTATTCATGCGAACAAACATTTTCAAGAATGAATTTTATAAAACCAAAATATAGAACGTGGTTGACGGATGAAAATTTACAAAACTTGTTGAGGATCTCAGTATCCCAAACACAACCGGACTTAAATGAATTATCAAACAATATTCAAGAACAAAAAGCGCATTGAATTTTAATGAATGAATAAAATGAAAGATAAACTATTTTCCTTAATATTTTATATTTACATATTTATACATATGTAATTGGAATTGTATTTTCTTTTTTTTCCCTTTTAAGAATTGTAAAATTTTTGTTCTCTGACATTATTGTTATTATAGCATGTCAATAAAAAATAAATTTTTTCTATATTTATTTTTAATAATATTTATACTCGTATATGATATAAAAGCACATTTAAGTTACATTTGAATGTACGGCCTGCTTAAAAAATTTTATTTTGAAAATGGCCCGCCGTCCGAAAAAGGTTGCCGACCCCTGCATTAGACAATGGATCAAAAATGTCGGTTCAATGTGATGTAGCCTACGACAGAGGCATATAAAAAAGTTCATCAACGACTGTAACGGCAAAACTACTAAATCCTAGAGCATGTTAGGGCTAGAATTATAGTCGGACTGCTGCCTGGACACTGCAGAGTCTAGATGTATATTTATAAACTCGGAGTGGTGTAAACTAGCCAGAGCAGATATCACCAGGTAGAAGATGTGACAGTGAACATCTCTGTTGGTGTTTATATAGCCTGAGAATCCAATTTGTGAGAGGGAAAAAACACAGCCTGGAAGGATATACATGGGAGTCCATGAACAAGCTTTGGGAGGCCTTAAGTTTAATGGAGAGCTCTAGAGTCTAAACAACCATGGGGGTGCACAATAAGCCAATACTGATCATGGTGTGCAGGTCGTAAAGAGGCTGACTCCTTTTTCTCTCATCTATTACTAAATTTCTTAAAAAACAAAAAATTTATGGTAAATCATTTTTTAACACGTTGACTAGATAAGGCACAGCATATGCATCTTGCCAACTTCAGTATGCTGTGAAGTCTGTGGCTTCCTGTTCATACTTTTTCAATTCTTTCGCCACTTCACCCGCTACATAATTTTTTGAAATGCTTTTTGTAGTTATTCTGTCTCATAATTTGTTTTTCTGTAACAATAAGTATGAAAAAATCAATTTTTTATAAAATTATTTTAGAAATTACTTTTATTAAACACATGCTCAATTGAACAAACATTCTGCAGGTTGCCTCTTTTATTTACTTAACGCTGCAGGGGGGGTACTGGAGGCCTGGAGCTGTTTTACAAGGTAAATTGGGTTCCAACATGGGCAACCAACATGGTACGGCATACAAGCAGTCAACAACATTTTATGACATATACTTGTTCAGAAATTATTGCTTTTTAATAATTCATTGGGACGAGTTGAACTAAATACATTCTTTTAATTATTGAAAACGATCATGCTTAAGCCTCTGTTAATAGACAGGCCTCTGAGAATGGGCTACATTGATCAACAATGATCTCGTAGACTTCAAAACAAATGTCACGATTTAACCTAACTCTTATTATATTAATCTTCTTTATTGTTTATATATTAAATTAATTAGTCTTTTAATTACTTCTTCTGTACACTGTAGCTTCTGCCAGAAATGTTTATTTGTCAAAAACCAAAATTGTGTTTTAGACGAGACCATTGAAAATGTACAGTCTTGAATGTTAAAAGACGATCAAGCTAAACGTTTGTCACGTCTAAGACATAATTTTTTAAAATTGTTCTATTTTTCTAAGCTACAAGGCTGGTGTCAAGTGCTAAAACGCCAACTTACCTTTTTTTTTTTTTTTTTTTTTTTGGGGGGGGGGGGCTTTATGCTGGCATATTACCCATAAAGTTTTCTATTTTCATTTTACTGTCGAGCAGGATCATTTTACTTAAATTAGTTAATAAACGCTAATCATTATTTTATTTCCAACCATAGCCGTAGAGTTTTATAAAAATTTACCACAAATGAATTAAGGGATGGCAGTGAAATGGAAAAAAAATGTAAGAAATTACATTTCTTTCATAAATGAATTTTTAGTTACAAAATCTATAATACACCATAATAAGGAATTTATTTGACATAAAGCTAAATAAATTTAACGACAAAAAATAACAATTTAATCAAATTCATACAGCATGTTTTGAAGATATAAATCTATGGGCTATACAATTTCAAAAGAATTTGTTAAATAAATTGATTTTAATATAATAGTTATAAGAAGAAAAAACATTAAATGAAATTTTGATCTTACAAACTTAAGTCTTATTATAGAATCACAATGTAAGTATATAATATAAATTTAACAGTAAACTGGTTATAGCAATAAATCTTAAATACATCTAGAAAATATAAATCTAGTAATAGTACAACAAAACTAACAGTAATCTAATACAATACTACAAAACATTATTAAAAATTTTCCCTCACATTTTTTAAAAATTTGGTGTTAAGTAATTTTATCAAATATATTATCGACTAACTAGCCTGTTATATCTACGATTTTCTATTTTGTACAATTATATTAATTATTAATATAAAACATTTAAGTTTTGAGTCCCTTTCAAACCTGACCAATGTATTTGCAGATAAAGATGATGTTTTTTTAAACTTATTTCTTGTTATTAGAAACACCAAATGAATTTTCTTACAAAACTAAAAACTATCATTTTGTAATTGATATACTACTGCAAATTTTGTTATATTATATTATTGTTATATCAATCATTCTCACAACTTGATACAGACTAGATTACAAACTAAGTGAAACACACTTATTCAAAAACAAGTTAAACATTAGTTTGGCAGTTGTTAAATGTCATTAGATAAAATTATGAAAATTATTAATTTTAGTCTTAAATTCTGTTAAATCCAATGTTCTCAAATGAATTAAAAAGCAACACTGGTACAAACAACAAAGAAATGAGATTGTCTTCATTACTAAACAACAATAATACTTGAACTTTTTTTTTTTAAATATAACTCATCTTTGGAATGTTTACTTTTTAGGCTTAATAAATTGGAATAGTAAAATGTTTTGCAGTATTCCATAAAAATAGTTTGTTGAACTAAAAAAATTCAATAAATGAAAATAATAAATATGTACAACACTAGCTTGCATACCACACAGATTCAGACACATACACCCTCACCCACATCAACATGTGTATTAAAATTGTATAAAACTAATGGCACATGTTAGAGAGCAACAATTTACAGATAGCAGTAGGTTGAAAGTACAAAAATACCCATTTGTGTCCAAACTTATACAATTCTAAATGGTCTGTTGTAAATAAATGTTTATATTTAAAAGGTTTGGCAATTATTCGTTTAGTTTAAACAGAACTTGTGGTATATAATGTCAGCAATAGAATGCAATGCAATCTTATAAATAAAACATGCCCAAACTTTGTAGTTGAAGACGACTAAACTACCGGATCATTTCTTGATATTTCTGTTTATGTTTACTGAGCATTTCTGTGACAGTCACTAATTTTCTTAACGTCAACTGAAAAGGACAAAATATTAAATGGGCTGCTTCAAAATGTTACATCATTTAATATACTTACTTGGTTTCTGCTGAGAACTTGAAGCTCTTTTAGATGTGAGACACATATGTGGTGTAGAGTCCCTAAATCCCTAGCAGGATCACCCTTTCCCCTCTCGCCTTCACTTTCTGGCTTTTCAGGTACATTCTAAATTTCAAATAACATTAGCAACCTATCGGCTGACCGATTTTTCATTTACAGTAAAAATCGTTTAAATGAACACCGGGTGTAAAAACATATTGATTATAAGAACGAAATTTCTAGTTCCCGGCCAGCTTTAATGCAACTTAATGTATAAAATATCTGATTATAAGAACATCAATAGTAAGAACATATTGCTTTTAGTGACCTAAAGTTATTATATTTCTGAGAAAACAACCTTTTATAAGAACTTCATGAGAAAATAACAGCACACAGCAGAAAATAAACACTTCAAAACTGGGCTCAAGATTTGCCCACTGAAAACAGTTTGATTCAAATTCTATGAAGACGTAGACTTGATTGAGTCTTACTACCCATGGAATCATCACAGATGAAGAAATTGTTGCAGGGGTCAAAGCAGAAGAAAATGATTTAGAAGAAGACAATGCCATAACAGATGATTCAAGTGAATTTTTGTGCCCCACTTTGAAGGAAATGTTCTCAGCTATAAATGTGGTAAATAAATTTTTAACAAGTAATGACAATTTTGCAGAAGAATCTGTGAAAATGACAGTGAAAGAACTTGTCACCATTACAGAAAATGCTTTTTACATTAATAAAAAAAAAAACTAACAAATATTACAGATTATTTTTCAGTTTTGCAATAAATAAAATTTTTGTGATTAATCTTTTTGTTTTTTTATCTTAAAACCTAAACAATGATAATTAAACAGGGCTTGAAATTTGCAAACGCTTTTTAGTTCCAAACTTGTTACCAAATGGGATTGCTAATTTCAACCCCTTAAAAGTAGTTCCAGAGGAATGACTGAAAGAGCCTTCAACTTTCTAAAAATTGATCAATAATTAAACCGAAAAAAATTGATTGCCGGATATAGCAACTATCGGGCTTAAGAACCAAGTTCAGACAGTCCCTTGGATATTCTTATAAACGATTTTTACTGTATTTTCAACTCATACTTACTGATAATTGGTCAAGGAAGACAACCATTCGTTCTTTATTTTTCAATATAAAAGGATTAACAACTTCCATATAGGGTTCTTTTCCACCGAATTCAATCAGATTCGCCAAATTTTGCAAACATTTGGCAACCATTATTAAAGATCTGGATGCCATTAAAGGCGGCGGTTCTAAAATTTACATTTGAAACTATGTTATGTTATGTTAATGGTGAAATGATTAGGAAGGAAAGTAATTACCTGATATGAGATTGAATTGTCTAGGATTGAGAATGGCAGGACATAGCAGCCTTAAGAATATAAACCCGCTTACAACTCTAGTCCTTACAAATCGCTCGTGAGGCCATTTACCCATGACAGATTTTTGTAAACATCCACAAATATATCTCACAGTCCTTTGAAAATAGAACAATTAAATTGGTTAAAACTAATACTACTTAACAAAATTACAACAAAATAAAGAAATCAACTGTATAACTTTATTTAAAGAGGTCTTACTTAGGACAAGCTTCAGCAGACATGAATATAGATAAAGTGACTTCATCTAATACTTGGAGCAAAAATTCAGCATTGGCACAAGCATCATCAGGTGAGTCCATTTTTAAAGGATTTAACTGAAAAAAGAGGAGGAAAACATTTTAAAACTGGTAATTTCAAGTCAAATATATAAATTATTTGTTAATGAAGGATATAAATCACTGTGTATATTGTAAAAAGGAAGGGACTAAGAATGATTCCTTGAGGAACACCCACCTAGACTTGAATGAGTTAGTATGTCTCTACATTTCTCTGTAATAGTTTTTGCATCTTCACGATTAGCTTGAGTGCTTAAATACTGGGTCGTAAAATAAGTACACCATTTTTTTTATTATGGTAAATTCAATGAAAATTTCAGGCAAAATCTAATCAGCAATACCTGAATCATTTTGTTCTATCCTGTTACCATCTTTCATAATTTTGTAAAATTCTGTCCACTTAGAACTCCTCAAATTTTTGAGCTATGAACTCCTCGGTGTGTTTTGTGCAGCCCTCAAATGAACTAGTTTTCCCTATTAATAGTTTTTTCAGAGCCATGAATAAGTTTGAAGAGGACATGCCAGGCAAATGGTGGATAGGGTAGTGCATCACAGACAAGCTCAATAAAAATTATGAATGATGGAGTGGGTGTGGAGTTCAATCCTTTTTAAAAAGATGGTTCCTACTCACAGTAAGTATGCTACTGATTTTGTTAATACTTACTTACTGTGAGTAGGAACCATCTTTTTAAAAAGGATTGACAAGCTAAATTTTTGGCACGTCTACAAAGTCATGTGGGGGTGAGCATTATTCTGGTGGAAAACAATCCCCTTGCAATTAAGCCCCTTTCAGACAATGTTAAAAGTATCAACACTTGTTCACTCGAACACTCTAAATCAAATCAAGGTATGGTCTTGAAAAAAAAAGGAAATTCCGTTGTTACTGTTAAACTTTCGACCCATTTTAAGGTCATCATCAGAGCAAAAAATCTTAAATATCACATAATGAAGTTTTTTTACAGGCAAACTCAAGTTTCTTTGAATACCAACTGCGTCCTAAGATTGCCAAGGACTGTCAGAGTGGTGGCCCTCTTCCTTCACACCAGTTGCCTAGTTGAATCTATGAGTTCACCAAAGAAAGCTTTGCAATGCAAGTTTCAATGTGAAACAGTTTTTTGAAGAAATTCATTTAAGTCCCAAGATTTGGAACAAGAAGTGTGAGGACAGACTGTGACAGTCCTTGGTAATATGACTGAGTCGATCTTCAAGAAAATTTGAGATTGCCTGTAAAAAACTTAAATATGTTAATAAGATTGTGTTGCCCTGGTGATGACCTTAAAATAGATCGAAAGCTTGGCAGAAACAACTGAATTTGCTTTTTTCTTCAAGACCATACCTTAATCCAGAGTGCTTGTCTTTCAGGCAAGGCGGTTTGATTGATTCAACTGCTTCAACTGCCTGGTTAACTCTCAATTAGTTAACTGCCATGTGAAGACTTTTCTTGGCTGATTTAAAACCGTGCAATTCGTGGAATCAACTTCTCTTCCCAATGGGGAGCTCAGCGTGATGTTAGAACCCAAAAAAACAGAAGCACTTCTTGTGCTGCTGTTCTGCAAGAAGAGAAGTAAAAAAGGAAGAAACAGAGTCAATGAAAAATGTGGATTCAACCATTACACATCACAAATTAGCAGTCTGAGTTGTGGTTTTCCCTTTACAATAATAAAAAAACCATTAAACAAAGAAAATATTTGAGTTTTTCATCCATTTTTGAATTAACAAAACATCATATAAAAATGCAAGATCTTGAACAAAACTGACAAATAAAATCCCTTTTCAGAATGTATAAGCAATAATGACCAAAAAACATGCTTCATAACACAAGAGGGATAAAAACTGAATTATTGAAAAATGCTACAGGCTTATGTTACAGCCCGAATGTTAATTGTTTTACAATTTTTATAGCATTTATGTTCCACATTGCATCCAAGGTTCAAATGGGTATAACTTGATCCTTTATAAGTTTATTGTAAACTTAATGAATTAACCTACAGCTCCATCATCCCTGATCATCCTGATCAGCCTATTCTCGTGAGTTTTGTGTCAGACACATCATGGCAAACAATATTTGTAAGAATAGTCATGTTCAAGATATCAGGGAGATCAAGCTAGAGGTTGTCTGATAATTGTCATGATTTTTTGTAAAAGATGGTTCTACTCACAGATTTTAATTTTATAATATATATTATTTTATTATATATCTTTTTATTTTCACAGATTAAAATCTATGAGTAGAATCATCTTTTACAAAAAGTGAATATACATACTAATCCCCTTCATCATTTCAGTTGTCATTATTACAAAACTGATGGGCTTAAATTAGAAAAAATGATAAAATGTTTCAAATACATAAAGAGAAACAATTTTCTTTGAACTTAATTTCAACTTGATTGTAATAAGCATGTTGTTTTCTTGGAAAAATAGTAATGGGAGATATAATAAATTCATAGCAGAATGTATAAAACCTAACCAGTATAAAAATTATGAAACTCACCTCACACGACTGTTTAGCTTCAAGAAGCTTGAAAATTATATCTTGTACAGCAGACTGTAAAAACTCCGTACAAACAGACTTCATGTAAAGGTCCATTAAAGTGGTAGTCAATGAAGCAGCTCTAAAAAGTGTCGACGTTTCTTCTTCTTTTTCAATTTCGGCATCATTAAGGGATTTCAAGAGATCGGCTTCCTTCTTTTCATGTCTGGAATAAATTGCGTAAAAAAGCATAATAGAATATTTTTGCAATATATGCAACCAACCTAAATATCCTTAGTAATGAATTTGCAAGAGGCATTCTGTCTAAGTGGCAGATATCAGCAAGTGCCCGTACTACTTCTAATGATGGGTCTAAAATTAACTGCTGCATTGGAGAGTATTCTTCTTGGGGCATAATAAGATCGTGTAGGTACCTTAAGCGTAATCTTAAAGCTCCCCACTCTCCAATTGGTGTTATACCAGATAAATGATACCAATCTTCAATCTACAATACGAGTTAATTAAACCATCAAATTTTCACCATGTAATTTTAAAAATTAGTACCTCATCTCCGTTTGTAAGACTGGATAACTCGACAGTAACTTCGGCGACTTCTGTGTCTTTTGAGCGCTTTCCTTTATTGTATAATGTAATGGTGAATGAAATTACATCAGGTGGAACATCACTATAAATTAATTTTTTTTAATAAAACAAAACTAAATTTATAGATACACCACATACTCAAGAATAAATTCTTCATCCCAAACAGGGTCAGGCCCTCCAGTGACTTTAGTTCTTGCTACTTTAACTTGATTGAGTGAAATTATGCAAAAAGGATTTGGGACCAATTTAAACGGTAATCTGTAACCAAAATATAAACAATGAAATGGCAGTCATTAGTAATTTTAATATACCGACCTATGAGCATCAAGAATGTGTAATTGCAGAAATCTCAATTCTCTCAATTTCTGAACTTTAGGTGACCGTGTCATTTGAGTGACACACAGAGGTTTGATCGCTGATATCCAGTCCTAGATTTTATTAATTAAAACAACAATTATATATATATATATANTATATATATAAATCAACATTATTTATTAGGTGTCAAACCTGAGCAGAATCTGCGGAAGTAGCTGAAAGATATGTTGTCGTTGCTAAACATGGCAGAGCTCTTTCAACAAGTTGAAAACAATTTGGTCGCTCAAACACACTGTCATGAACTTGATATAAATAGGCACAACTTAAATCTATTAGGCCTTTTGGCTTTGTTCGCTAAAAATTAAAAAAAAATGTTAACTAGCAATTTAAAATTAACCATTTATTCATTTGTTAATTAAATTTTTTAAGGGTGTAATAACAATTGACCATAAATTACCCTTGGATTGTCATAAAAGCACAAGTGCGTGTCAGTTCCATCCACAATAAGTACAAAATACATGGACTTCCACTTTTTGTTCTTTTCGCTCTTTTTGCTTAAATTTCCTTGCATTTTAATACCTAAGAATAAACTCTGCATTATTTAAAAAGAATTTTCAACAAAATAAAAAAATTTACCTTTGATTTTCTTAAGACCAACTTGTTCTCGGCATTCTCTTAAAGTAGCATATATTTTCTCAGCGTGTTGAACCTCTTTAGATTTAACAGGTCCATCAGTTTCAGAAAGAGTCTGTCAACATATTGTGATAAATTATTGCAATTTAATTAAAGTTATAGGAAGTGATTAGATGTATATTTACCCTACAAACAGGCTGAACTAAAGTATGGCCTTCGACAATCTGCTCTTTTCGATAACGATTGATGACAGCATCCAAACATTCAAATGTCCTTCCTCCCATCAAATAGCGCACTCCTTTCTTTTCAATGCGAAAACGTTGGATTTGGTTGTTGATATGAAAAAATAGGGAGTAATCGCCTGGAGAATTATCGCTTGGCCTTACAAGAAAGCTTCCAGGCCCACCTTTCAATAAAAAATATAAATAAAATAAAAAGTTGTGCAAAATTAATTAGTTAAATAATGTTATTAACAGTAATTACATTTGACGAGCATATCTACTGCATCACTTTTTGTGACATTTGGGTGAAACCAGTTGAAAACAGTATTAGGATCGATATTTTCATCCAGGTCATCAACAAGATCTCTGAAAATCATGCCTTGTTCACCAGTCCGATGAGCGGTGACCCAGAGCCAGCCATCTCCCATGTCATTATGAACAAAAAATATATCACCTTTTTGGAAACTAAAATAAAAAATGCATGTTTTAACGGAAAATTATATCAGTATGTTAGTTATACACACCTTAATTCGTCTGTGTCTGGCATTTTTGTATAAGGTAGAATAGCGACAACTCTCTTCTTATCATTGACTGGTTCAGGCGGGGGAACTGGATGGACCAAACGTTCCCTTTTCAATAGGTCTGAACAGTTTGTATAATAACCAATCAAATCAGACAATGAATAAAATTGTCTTCCTCCGATATAAAAATCTCCGCACACAGCTGTTATTCTAGACAGGGAATCGAGCAAATTAACAAAAAAAATCCGTCAATTAATGTTTGTTAACGAACCTAAAATGGTTTATTCCAGTTTTTCCAAAATATGATAAAACATAAGAACCAGGTTTTCTGTCGCTCTCTCTTACCAAGTAACTGCCCATTTTGGCAGCTTGGTATAATCTTTCTTCCGCAGTGTATCTGTCTAATCTACCATGATACCACCTACAAAAACATTAAAACAACTAAATAAACTACCAACATTTTAATTTGAATTGCACTATTACATTCACTTTGGATAAAATTTAAGAAATGACTCATTATTTGCATACACAAAAAAATTAATTGTAATGCGACTGACAACACCAATCGGTTTTGTATAGATACATTGCAGAGAGATATGTTTTAAATAAAAGACAAACTGCTTAACTCAACTCCTGCCTGTAAGCATGTGTGAAGAATTCACCAGTGCATGGGAATAAGCAAACATTCCCAGCAATGGGTCAGTGAAAGGATAATTAAAAATATCCTACATAGAAGCCAATTACCTTTGGAAAAAAAGAGAAAACGAATTGTTTAATAAATAATTGACATATCTTTATGAGAATGTTTGACTTTATAAACCAAGCCAAATATGTGGCACTAATTAGAAATTATTTATTTTGTAAATTCAAGAAAACAAACCTGAATTTTATAGTTTCCTTGCTAATTTGAATCATAAATTTATATTCCTGAAATTGCTAAAATTCTGTTTGGATTTAGGACTGTTTTATTACACACAAGAAATATTTATTTCAGATAATATTTGAATGAGCTGATGAGATTATTTAAATTTAATTTTTGTCCGAAGGGCAAATCAAGAAATACTCGAAAATTGTCCTCAAAAGAAAATTTGCATAAATATGAACCAAAAATTTTATTTATACCAATTTATTTCAAAAAGGACAAAACCACAAGAAAAAGCACAGACCACTACCGAAAATAATATGAAAATGAAGTCAACTAAACTAAACTAGAAAATTAAAGACGATAATCTACAAGTATCTCCCAATATATAAAAAGAGATTTATAATCAGAGAATGTTCAGAATTATTCATTTTGCTTAATTTCACTTGTTTTTATCTATAGTTAGAATGGGTACATTTGCACTATCCTAGATTTTCTATTTTATTCTGTGGAAAATGGTTGAGTTGTTTTGAATTGTGGATTACTCATGGTTTCCTTTGTTTTAAAGTTAAAAACACTCAAAGAAAAAATATAACAAAGGATTTCTTTATTTCCATAAAATAAAATCTAAAAATGTAGACAATAATTGAAAATATCAGCCCTAGAATAAACAAAAATAAGCTGAGTTGCATTTATAAAATATATGCTGTAACTTTGTAAATTAATGCAGTTCACTGTACAAATAATTTTTATTCAAAAGATCTGTAGACCGTAAACACATTTTTTTAAATCCAGAATTATTTCAAAATGAGAGGAAGTCAGTGCATTTGAAAATAGTTGGGAAATCTTGTATCTTTCAGTTAAGATAGAGCAAGGAATGAAAGTTGTAGATTTGGTATGATAATTTATTGAGACGATTTCTCGGAAATGTTATATCTCTTAGGAACAAATGTGCGTTTTATGCTCATTTATGTAGATAAAAAAATTTTTAAAAATAATTTCTTCTTGTAACAATTTTTTTAAAATTTAATCTTGTATTTTTTTTTTAAATTTGTAATGACAATCCAAAATGTAATTGACTACCAAGAGATTCAACTAGCAGTTAATACAAACACAGTTATTACAATCTTGATTTGCCATTCAGTGCAGGGAAACTTGTGGGGACACTATTAACAGTAACTCATTTTATTTTTTCTAACTTGCAAGATTAAGCTTTATATCAAAATGGTGACATTTTATATTGATCAACTGGTAGGCAATGGATTAAATTTTTGCATTACTTCTTCACTATAAAAGTTAATATTTAAATGGTAGGTTGGTGAAGAAAGGGGAGAATAAATAACCTTAATTTGCATGACGAGAATGTTCTAGCATTCTCAGCAGCCATAATAGGTTGTTATTAGGTATTTAAAATTGACTAGAATTGGGGAATGACCCATTGCGGCTGCTGAGGATAGCCAATGAGCCGAAACAAACAGAATAAAGAAAAGATTTTGTATGGCATGAAACAACTGGTTTTTCTTTCTCCATTAACCATCTAAATTCAAAAACTGTACAATGATATCGATGTAATTAAAAAAAAGCTTGTTCCTGAGTCCTTGATGCTAGTAACATAGAGTAAGGGTAGGAATTTCATAGATGTTAATGAGAAAGTCTTAATTTTAGATACTAATTTCCTAATACTAATTTACTAAAACAGTTTACTTTTTATAAGAGTGTAGTGCTGTTGCTATAAATAATCAATAAGCCATCAAATTGAATAGAATATTTTGCAGGGAAATTCTGTTTCTTCCAGGACCAATTATGTTTTATTTTATAATCCTTTTACTTGTTTTTTTAAACAAGGGTTTGCAACAGCAGAGTTCATATCAACCCTCAGGGTATCAGTGTTTTTGAAAAAAGGCCCATTTGAATATGTCAGGTTCAAATGCAGGGCAGCAGGATTTGAACCCAGAACCACCTTACTGTGATGAGTGCTGTTTCAATGCCTTAACCATTGCGGCCACTGATACCCCCTTTATTGGAGGAAAAATTGCAAGCATGAAACTTTTTTTTACGTTCTCCTTCAAGGGGAAAAAGTCGGCATATAACTAAATAAATAAATAAAAATATTTTAAAAAACTAGGAAAACTACATTGCATTTGATGAAATGTGAGTAAGCACAATAAAAAATAAATAAAACAAATTGCTAAAAAATTGAAACTTTAATACCGACATCCTGAAAAGTTGTGTTTTTGTGACATGTCCAGTTTTTATCTTATAAAAGTTTGGGCGTCATTAGAAAATTTCTTTGGGGCTGTTTCTTCCAGGAACAATGCGTAGTTTTGTTTGTTTTTGTATGTTCAACATTAGAACTAAAAGAAAGAAGTACAGAAGGAACAAACATTGTAAGCAAGAAACCGTAAATGTTATAATAATAAATTCAAACATTATAATGCATTATACGTTATAACATTAATATCAACAAAGACCGGTCAATTGAATATATTACTACACACAAATAAATAAACATTTTGTTTTTAAAAGGTATATTCTGAAAAGTTCATTCTATATAAATAGTTGTAGAGAATTTACTTAATGGAATTGGCAGACAATCAACACAGAGATATATGATTTTTTTTTTTTTTAACTTCATGACAAAATTTTGTTAAAATTCTATTCTTTGAGGACCAATTACATATTATTTTCAACCATCTCAATATGTACACAAAATTTAATTTGACTAATTATATCTATGTTATTTTGGACTAGTCATAAGAAAATTTCTTTCAAACTGTTTCTTCTAGGAGCAATATTATTATGCTTATTTATTTATTGTTATTTTATGCTTATTTTTGAAACACAAAAACACTAAAAATATAAGAATTTTGGTTTCTGGTTCCATTAAAGAAAACATCTTTAACATGAAAAAATGGAGAGAACGAGACCAAAGCCTTCAGAAAAACACAAACTTAGCGCAGTTGAAGATCCATTCTGCATGATAATCAGTTCATTACAGGCATGGACGTTGATTCCACCCCATAGCATAACATACTTTGAAAGTAATACATGACACAAGTAGCAAAACGTTCTACACTTCATCTGCACACATGAGCCTAGTCATCCGCCACAAACCAAACTGGCACTCGTCTGTGATGAGAACAGCCCCATTAAGTGAGATGCTTATTTGTGAATAATCGCCTTTCTACTTGATGCTCTCAACTGCTGAAGAACATGACATGGGATGTCTAGAGACTAGGCTATTCTCTTGAAGCCCTCTGTTGATTGTTTTAAATCACCCTTACATTTTGGACTGTTTGGAGTTGACTACCTATCAAGGTAGCTATTGTTGAGTCTTCCAGTGGCCATAATAAACCACTATAGACCATCGTGTATGGAAGACCATACCACACACAGGACTTGGATAGTGTAATGGACCCAAAGCATCTACCCAGACAAGATCTTGACTTAAAACCGTGTTTTTATGGGGAAAAAAATTACTTTTTTCCCCCACTTTATTGTTTCTTCAAAGAAAATAATTTGAAAAACTGAGTCAACAAGTTGGCTCTGGAAAGGTTTAAATTGAACTCTTTTTTAATAGTTTTAATCTAAAGAGTGTAAAAGTATTAGTAAAATTCTACAAACATAAACAATTTATTAATGCTGTGTTTATGCTTTAAGTCAACTATTAAACTTTATATCTAGTTATTATGTAAAATAAACAAATAAATAGAAGAGTATTTTGTTCATTTGAGTGGTTTTTAGATCATTTATATTTAATTTAGTAGAAAACCAACATGGAGATAATGAAGATTTTGGAAAAATCATAAAATTAAAATAATAGAAATAGTAGTTTTTTCCTAGAGTAATTTTACTGTTATGAACTGTCAGTCGATTGAATTACAATAAATAATTAGATATTAAGTGTTTTTTGGGTATATTTTGTAGAGAAGTTTGTTTCCTATAAAACTATTTTTTGCATAATTTATGTATAATTTTGTAGAAAACCAACATGGAAATTATGAAGATTTTGGGATTTAGATAAACTATCAATTGATTGTAATTGTTATAAATAATTAGAGAGTAAGTGTTTTTTAAGTATATTTTGTGGAGAAGTTCGTTTCCTACAAAACTGTTTTTATGATAATTTATGTTTAATTTTGTAAAAAACCAACATGAAGGTAATGAATGAAGATTTTGGATAACCCATGAAATTAAAATTATGGCAGTTGTAGTTTTTTTCCTAGAGCAATTTTGTTGTCATGAACTGTCAGTCAATTGTAATTGCTGTAAATAGTTAGATAGTAAGTGCTTTTAAGTATATTTTGTAGAGAATCGTTTCCTACAAAATTGTTTTTAATATAATTTATATAAAATTTTGTAGAAAACCAACATGGAGATGATGAAGAATTTGGCTAAACCATGAAATTAAAATAATTGATATTGTAGTTTTTCCTAAAGCAATTTTGTTGTTATGAACTGTCAATCAATTGTAATTGCTATAAATAATTAGAAATTGGGCGTTTTTTAAGTGTATTTTGTAGAAATCCAACATGGAGATGATGAAGTTTTTGGAATTTGTATGACTCACAAAGTCACAACACGAAATTCTTCGTTATTTTTTCCTAGGAACTACTTTCATTGTTTTGTTATCGCACAGTTTAAATTTAAAATATATTTAAATGAAAGTTCGTAAGCCATTCCCCTTAAAACAAAGTAACAAAAGTCGAATATCACGTTCATTCAATTGTAGCCAGCTGGGAGAAATGAATGAACAGTTGTGGATTTTGAATGACTCACGATAGGAAATTCGTTCAAACTTTTTTTCAGCGATTGTGTGGTTTACTTTTTTTATGCTTAGTCTATGGTCGTTAAGGGGTTTGTAATAAAAGTTTTGCCAAAATTGTTTGGAATATTAAGTATTTATTATAAAAAGATTGACAGTTTATTAGCGTTCTGTGGTGAATGTCGAATCGAGCCGTTCAATTTTAAAATTAATAAAGATTGAAGGGCGGAATATTGTGAATGGAAGATCCGAGAGGCCGTCGGTTCGTAGTGGAAATAAATAATGAAAACGTGCAAACAAGCCGTAGGGAAAGGAGAAAAGATTGATTACTGTGTTTCTGGAGGGGCGTTGGGCAGCGATTCCGCCGCACCGATTTCTTCTTGGTCGGCCGTAAAGGGGTCGAAATCGTCGACGATCCCACCATCGTGTCCTTCTTCACTTCCCGTGCTCGGAGAACCGTGGAGCTTCTCCTTCGGCATTATGATGCCCGTCCCGCAGCCGCCTCTGATGAATTCGGCCATCGCGTTTATCACAAAGACATGGCGATAAGAAGTCTCGTCGAGCCAGCGCCGAGTCTCGAGTCAAGGGTCTCGCGAGACGCAGCTCGCTCCGAACAGAAACAAGTGATTAAGTTTGGCAGATGAAGCGTTAGATAGCAGTGATAGGCGATATGCTGAGCCTTGAGCAGTCTGACCAGCACCGGTTAGTTCCAACAGGGGTGGGCGAAGTGGTCTCATCAATCACGGCGATGACGCTTCGACATTCACCGTGGTGAAACCAAAACAGTGATCATTTCAAATTCAAACATTTTAGTTTTTGTTAAAAAACAATTTATTTTGTTTTAAAAATGACAAATTAGTCTCATAAAATTCCGTTCTGAAAAACACATTTAAAGAAAAAATTCCTCCAAAAATCCAATCTAGCTGGGAAAACATTTACCCAGGAAAACCCCTTAAACAACTCATATTGTTGGAATTGCCGAAGACATGTGCTAAACCCTAACGTCTAAATAAATATTTAAAAAGTAAAGAATTTATTTTATTTTTGTACACCACGTAGAATTTTTTTAACATAAACCCAAAAATTTTTTAAAAAGAAATTAGTCTTAAAAATTTCCATTCTTAAAAACTTCTTTACAATATTCCTCCAAAAAAGGTTAATCCTGGAAACACTTTCTTCCCAGGAAAAACACATATCAATGATCCATAATGAAGAAAGACATCTTGGTAAAATTACTGATGATGAGCAATAAATGCGAAATGACAAAATAAATGTTTAAAACGTAAAAAATTTAATTTTTTTTTTAACCACATGGAATTTTTTTTGACAAGAACCAAAAATTTTTAAAAATAAATTAGTTTCAAAAATGTCTGTTCTGAAAAACACCTTTATAAGAAAAAATTCCCCCCAAAAAAGGATATACCTGGAAAAACTTTCTACCCAGGAAAGAAACACAACCACTCATGCTGAAAAAGGACATCTTGCTGGAATTACTGAAGATGGGTAACAGAACCCAAAACATCCAAACATTTGTATACATTACAACGAAAATAAAATCTTTTATTCTTATGTTTAAATTATGTTTAAAATTCTTAATCAGTATCAAGGTAGAAAAAAAATCAGTAAATACATACAAATCAATGTTCAATCATTTCTAATTTCAGAAATTTTGAGAATAAATGTTCTTACATTTTTATAAGAAATTTATTGGATGTTAGGAATGATAAGATAAAATTAAATTATAAATTTAAACAGTTTAAATATAGACAATATTATCTGTAAAATATATTCCTCCTGTCAAACGTTTCAAATTTTAAAAATACAGATAAAGTATGATATGTAAGAATTTTTTAAAAATATTTTTTATTTGTATTTCATAACAAATGTTATGTACAGAAGCATTTTGTAAATGTTACATCAGAAATTGAAAAAAAAAAAAAAAAAATAAAAACTGTCTGAACTAAAGTTAACTGTAATCTAAAATTTAAAAAAAAAACGAAAAAAAATACAAGGCTCAAATTTTACTATTGTACTAGAGACTCAGGGACAACCAGTGTAATATATAGGATAAGTTTATTACAATTTTTGAAAATGTTTTTTTGTATGTTCAATATTATCTGCAAATTTAATTTAATCCATTTAAAAGATGGTATCTAATTAAACAATTATTTTTTATTCTTGTTTATCTTTGTGATATATCTAATAAAAATAAAAAAATTAAAAAAAATCATTGACTTCCTACTCCACCTTCAATTTATTTCTCTTGATAACGTTTTCCTACCAAACAAATGTACATTATATTGATTTGTAATGTACTATTATTATTCAGCATATTCTATAGTATTGGTGTCAGAAGGACTCACAAACAAATAGTACTAGTCAAATTATGTTTTACCGTTTTATGGGTGTATAAAGTTTGTGTTACAAAAATGGGGAAAAACTTATTTAGATAGCTAGTTATATTCACCCAAACTAATCAGAAGTTTAGTAGTTCCTGATAATTTTGGTCTGGTTATCCTTACTGTTTTAGTATATATGTTTAGTATATATATGTTTGCAGTTGTCGTATTTGATTTTGTCATAAAATTATTTATTTATATATAATATTGTGAGTATTATGTGAGGGATTTTATAATACACAGACTTTTAACTTGGATGGCTAGTTAGCTTACTTTTTCATATGTAATTTTCGGAAGGGCCACCAATTTTTTTTTACAAGATTATAAATATTTCCTTCTGTTCACCAATATAAACAAAGTTTGCGCTGTTCGATTGGTAGTTGTCGAGCTGTAGAAAAAGACGGACATATAATTCTTTTGAAAGTGAAATACGTTTATATTTTCGACAGAATTTTCTTCTATATTATAAAGACAGATGAGTTTTTTCCATTAAAGTTTGTTAGTAGAAAACATTCAAATAAAAACCACTCTGGTTCCGTCATTTCAATTAGTTTCCGCAGGATAATTCGTCTCGAGCATATTTTCTTCCCCGTTTCTTTTTTGGGAGGCGAGCCGGGGCCGGGGCCGGGCAAACCTGGTTTCACTTCACTCTCCACGGCAAACGAGTCGGTCGAGTCATTCACATTCGCACCGACGGCTAACCAGTCGCAGCCAAAATGGCAGAAGGTCGGGAAAACGAGAAAAAGAAAATTAACATCACAGTCAAAACCACGAAGGAAAAACAAGCTCTCGAGGTTGAAGAGGACGCTACGATAATGGACGTGAGTCGGACCCTCTTTTTTTTTTTTAAATAATATTTTCACCTTCCGAGTTAACCCCGAGTGGCACGTTCACAAATAGGCGTATGCCGATAATCGCTTCCCCTGTTTCGTCAATTAATTGATAAAATCCTTTTCGCGTTCTACTCGCCGAGGTTAAATTCACATTACTCCTCGCCTCTAGTCCCTTTATCCACGGTTCATTTTCATTTCCACTTATCCCACTTTTATTATCAGCCCGAAAGACACTTACGTGCTTTTTTCTGACGTCGGTGTGCAAGAATTTGTTGCACTTTCTCATCATTGTTTTCTTGTTATTGTTTTAATTTTGACAACGTTTATTGGTCCTGACACCGTCTACTGCATATTAAAATAACGAAAACTCCATTTTTATATAACTGTTTTCCCTGTCAATCAGACGAAGGGGTTGTTTCATAATCTATAATCAACAGTTTTTTTAAATCCCTTTTCCGAGAGAACGCCAGTACGAATTTATCATTCTCCCATTTAAACAATGGAAATGAAGTAATATTGTGAAAGCAAATTCAATACTTTCTTAGCCCTGACTCAGCTTTTTGGTATTCAACTTTTGGAATCTTTCCACTCTCTTTGAAACCACTACCTCTTACTAAAGTGCATTCCAAAACCTTACCAGTTACAACATATGTCAACTTAAAAATACAAAAAGAAAGTTATGCGGGAAAATAATATCGCAGATTGATAAGAAATTCTTCATTGTATGACTTTCTTGCATGACTTCCCACTTCTTCATTAGACATGATTTTTCCTCTCTCCTTACCTCAATATTTTAGTATATTTATTAAATAATAATGGAGAGATGAGCGTTCTGATTATTTTATTCTCAGACGCAGTTTGGCTTCTGTGGCCATCTTTACTAACTACAGACTTATATAAGCTCAAGTATGCATATGCTTGTTATACACATGTGTGTAGAGATGAGACTATCTTTCTCACAGTTCTTGAAAATCCCCCAGCTTTGGTGTTGGCAGTCCGGGGTCAGATCCCGGTCTTATCCGTCCAGCTGCCAAGGTTGGGCTGCAGGGGCTATCAACAGCTAGGTCATTTCAGGCCCCAACGCAATCAGGTGACTTTCCTGTTCTATGACTGCACAACTAAAACTATTAAACCTATTTTTAATACCATTTTTGGTTTATGTTGTGTAATAAGGTGTGTAATAATATTTGACATACCTGGACTTTGGCACTAGAAGTTGAACTTTAGCCATGAGGTCGTTGTTGCCAAGCTTGAGCTGAGTTTGACTTACAGTTCCTTTAATTAAAAGGCTGTTGATTTCTTGCGTCATAAAGATGTCACCCTTTCACCGCTGATGCGGAGGGTGGAGGTACAGTAGAGCATGCCAGATAATGAATAAGGGCAAAAAAGACTAATCCTCAGTTAAAAATATATTATAATTGAAATTTAAATATTAATAACCCAGGGGCATCAGTGACTGCAATAGTTTGGTTTGGTTTGCACTCATCACTGTAAGGTAAAGGTCTCGGGTTCGAATCCAGCAGCCCTGCATACGAACCCGACATACTTAGAAATAGTTATTCAGATATCGTGAGATGCGGTCGGGTGTGATGTAGGTTTCAGAAAAACATTTTCTTTATCGTGCCACGATAAAGAAAATGTTTTTCTGAAACCTACATCACACCCGACCGCAGCTCACAATATCTGAATAACTATCGATTAACGGTCACTAATCTCTACACATACTTAAAAATATTTTTTCCCAAAAACCCTGGCACCTTAAGGGTTCATATGATGACGTGGTTGAAATACCCTCAGAAAACAAAACAAACAAAAGATAAATAATCCTTTCACCAATTAAACAAACAATATTAGTTAAATAAAAATGATTTCTTTTGTCGTTAAACTTTTTCCACAAATCTCGTTAACTCAATGGACAGTATCATGTATGAACGGTTTCATGGCTTGAGCACACCTGTCCCCTTCCTCCCCCGCTTACTCCTTCCTGGGCAATTGGGTTGGAAGGTTTTTGAATTCCTCCTTGTTTCTCGGTCTACCCTGCTACCCTGGATTGTGACAAAGGTATTCTGCATATTTCACTTTATTTTGTTAATGGACAGAAATGACTGTTAAGTGTAAGTGAAATTACACAACAGGTAAAGATGCAATAGAAAAATAGGTTGAGTAGCTGTAGGAATAAGGAAAAGTACATGGTTAGAAGGAAGCATATTACCGTTTGATACTGTTTTTTTTTTTTTTTTCTTCGTATTTGTGGACAAAATAATGCACAAATACAAATTATTCCACCGATGAACTTAACATGTGTAGATGATCTAGTACAGACTGGAAAAATTTCTGACGAGAATTATGTGCATATTGTCTTCTTCAAAATTTCAGAAAAATTGGAGGATCTAACAAAACATTGAAATTGAAGAATCCTGTTTTTGAAAACGAAAGAATCACACAGGACGAATATACCCCCAACAATGGTTTTTGGGGGTATACGTCATGAAGATAAAAATGTGTCACGCCGGCTTGTGTGGCCATGCTTTTAAGTGTAGTTAAATTTTTAGGTATGGTTAGGTATAACAGATATTAAAAGACATTAAATTATTTTCATTTTAAGTTGTGTGGTCATGTAAGGCCTGTAATCAATTCTTAAAACCAAACCCATTCAGTGTGATGCTATATTTATTTTGTGCAGTATTTGTGACCATTAATTAATTATTATTTAGTAATTGTGAGATGTGGTCTGGTGTGATGTAGATTTAGAAAAACATTTTCTTTACTGTGCCAATATTTTGATCTTTTTTGAAATGATGTCTTCAGGGCTGGGATTTATAAACATTGTTTAAATTATACAAATAAATGCAAGATGTGAAAAAATGTATTTATACAATGATAGGAATTTTAGATTCAAGATCTAGATTTTCAAATTATTTCTGTTATTTGTTGTTTTATCAGACATCAAATTATGCATTTATTCTTATTGGTATGTGAAATTGGATCTGGTGTACGACTAGTAAGATCGGTCGTGACCAGTTATCCTGGTTTGATAGTCTCGCTATTTTTGTTTGTTAAAAACCTCTTAGCATTTCACTATTGTCAGAGGTTGATTCATTCTGGCCAGTGCGACGGGACGATCAGGCTATCGCCAAATATTTATTGTCTGTGTTTGCTTTCGGATATGATTGTGCAGTGGGGAACATCAATATAATTTATTGAAGGGAATACAACATACACAAGGGAATACAATATACAAATATTCCAATCTTACTTAGTGATTAATAAAATAATAATGTGTATATTATATTCTCAAATTGCCATAAATCCATTAATTTTATTTTATAATCTAAGATTTTAAAGCAAATCATGGTGATAAGCGGCTTCCTCTGATTACCTTAATATATCATAACAGTAATTATTATGTAATAATTAATTTTTATTGAAATACCTTTTTATTTATTGATATCTTAATCTATACCAATTTGATTTTCAGTTTAAAGAAATTGTATCCAAAGTGTTTAAAGCCCAAGTAGAGCAAGTTTGCCTGATATTCGCTGGGAAAATTATGAAAGATCATGAAACATTAGCCACTCATAATATAAAAGATGGTGTTGTTGTCCATTTAGTCATAAGAACTTCCAGTCAGTCACAAAGTAATCCAACTAGTTCACCAACACCCAACAGGCCTGCAGGTATCATTACGAAATATATACATTTCTCTCCATTCAAGGCTATTTTAAATATACATTTTGTTTTCCTACTGCAGAAAGTGAAAATCAAAGTGCAAACAACCCGTTTTTGGCTGGGCTCGCAGGACTCCCTGGGTTTGGAATGGGTTTAAATTCAGGGAGTCTATTTGAAATGCAGCAAAGGATGCAGAGGGAATTCAATTCAAATCCAGAAACCTTTAGGCAAATAATGAACAACCCACTTGTGCAACAGCTTATGAGTGATCCTAACAACATGCGACAGCTTATTATGGCAAATCCACAAATGCAGGAATTGATCGAGGTAAGTGAAGTTAGAAGTTAACCAATTGAATTAAAATTTAATTACATTGTGTTATTTAGAGAAACCCTGAGGTCAATCATATGTTGAATAACCCTGAATTGTTGAGGCAAACTATGGAGCTCGCTAGAAACCCTTCAATGCTTCAAGAACTGATGAGGACTCAAGATCGGGCCATGTCAAATTTGGAATCTATACCAGGTAATTAATTTACAAGCTATAATCCTTTTGGCAATTGTTTTAAATTTTTAACTTTTAAAATAATAGGGGGTTACAACGCATTGCAAAGGATGTATAGAGATATTCAAGAACCAATGCTTAATGCAGCAACTGAACAGTTTGGGGCGAACCCATTTGCGAGTCTAGTTACAGGAAATAGCTCAGGTTCGTTTTGAAATTGATATTAAACTGTGATCTTTTTGTATTAAAATACAAAACTCCAGAGCCATGATATTTTTGTAAATTTTGAGTAATAAATTATTGAGTAAATAAATTAATAAACTATATGTCATAGATGCAGCCAATAATCCTCAACAAGGACAAGAGAATGTGGAACCTTTGCCAAATCCGTGGTCAACAAATTCAAGGAACTCAGGAGGAGGGACCACAAATACAAATACTTCTGGGACTACAGGGACAGGCGGCACAGGCACCACAACACCAGGGTCAGGGGCCAACCCTCCTGGTGCTGGGTTGTTTACATCTACAGGGATGCAGTCCCTTATGCAGCAAATGATGGATAACCCCCAGCTAATGCAAGATCTAATGTCATCCCCGTACATCCAGACTATAATTCAGTCTATGGTGGCTGATCCAACAAGAGCACAAAATATATTCTCTCAAAATCCTCTGTTTGCAAATAATCCTCAATTGCAAGTAAGTTTATTTATTTATTTATTTTTTTTAATCGATCGCTTGCTTATTCACCCTAGCTTAGCAAATGTTGATCCATGTGTTATTTTGTCATTTGTTTCCTTTATTATTTGAAATGTCAAGGGGCATTGTCTTTGATCTGCCAGTCTGTGATTTTCTGTATTATGCAGATCGTAACAAACAAAATGCTGAAACTTGCCTGGCTGTCAAAGTCAGAATTGCACAAACATGGTTTTTTGCTGTCTGGTTCCTTGCAGTACCACAACTGTTCAATGCACGCCTTCGTGCAGTTCCGTTCTGGGCTGCAGCACCTGAAACACTTCAAAAATACCACTAGTATGCATACGATCGCCAAACGGAATGGATGCTTACGATAGAAAACATAGAATTTTTGCTCACCTTATGTGCAAAGAGTATATTTACAAAAAAATACAATCAAAAATATTTAAATCTAAAAATTTAATTTTTAATGTTCCACACTTTAGGGGTATTTTTTATATATTGCATAAATAATTCAACATCAATTTTATACACCATTGCTACAGTTCCAACGGCAATGAGAACTCCAGAATTGAACTTGGAAGCAGGAAGAATACAAATATGCTGGTCACAGCTTTGCCAAATAACAACAAGGTGATGCCATTTTGTTATGGCACTCTAAGCTGTCAAAGGATGATCATAGATAATCAAACAATACAGCTTTTTGATGGCATCATATTGTATAATTTCACCATGATGTGACAAATAAATTGCTGAAAAACAAGAATAGCATAAATTTGTTGCTTTATTAAGCCCCTTTATTAAGTAGATTTTTTGGTTTAATTGTTAATGGTAAATTCAAGCCCAAAAGTTATCTGATTTATTTTATTTATGGATTTCCCCATGTTGTCATTGGGGTGATATACCAGATTTATTTTATATATTAGCAACTTTTTTTTAAATTAACTTTTAGTAATAATCAAAATTTAAATATGGCTAAGTTTGAGTTTATTTTGTTCAGGCGAGGATGAGGGATATGATGCCACATCTTATGAATCAACTGCAAAATCCTGAAGTGCAGAATCTATTTTCAAATCCACAAGCTCTTCGCGCTATACAACAAATTCAGCAAGGGATGGAACAATTACAAGCAGCTGCACCACAGTTTGCAAACTCGTATGACAATTAATGTAAAATAATTATTTAAAGCGGATTTTTTAGTTTAATTTTATATTATCTTAAAGAATGGGGTTAAGTGGTGGTATCGGAGCAACTCCACCACCCGCTGGAACAAACGAGACCAATAACCAAACTCAGCAACAACAACAGCAGTTTTATTTAAACCAACTTGCTAGTTCTGTAAGTACGCATAAACTCATAGAAAACTGGAAATTTTTCAAAAACAATTTGGTTTTTTTCTAGATTTCAAGAGTGACTGCCCAAAACAGCAACCAGCCTCCTGAAGAAAGGTATAGATCACAATTGGAACAATTAACAGCAATGGGATTTGTCAACCATGAAGCAAACATACAAGGTGATTTATTTATATTTGTCAATCTTATCTTATGCATAAAATGAAAAAGCAAAATATAATTATCAATTTTTGTTTTTGCAGCACTTATCGCTACATTCGGTGACGTGAATGCGGCGGTCGAAAGGCTACTGGGAAGTGGTCAACTGACACCTCAAAGTTAACATTCCACCGTGTGTGACACTGTTGTTTAATTGTGAGATAAGTGAAGAAAAAGAGGAAGGACGTTTTGTGCCACTAGCCACAATATTCCAGGAATTATTCACCACCTTACAATTATATATCATAAATTATATATAACTATTTAACTATTCATTTCATACATATGTAACAATGTGAAATTTGCTCCCAGTACAAATTTCTTTTATGTATATTTCCTTTTTTTTTTCTTATAATTTTCCCTCTGTAATAAAGACACAGCTAAAGGGCCTAGCTGGTGGCATGAGGTGTATTGTTTTTTGTTTACAAAGAACAAGTAAACGTGTTTTAGTGTTGTTTTTTCCTGTTCTTGTTATTTAAATAAAAAGAGAATGGATAATATTAAATATTTAAACAAATTTAGAGACAAATAAATTATTCTCCCTATTGTATAAGTCGGTATATTGTTTTCAACTGAAACTCTAGTAAAGAAACAGATTTTTATCATATATTTTCACAATATTTAGTAAATAGATTTATTTGATACAATCCTCTAAAGAAAATGCTTTCATCTTTTTTTTTTCAATGTTCTCATTTTAGGAAAATGATTAATGATTTTAAAGGTAAACAGTTGAAACAAGGTATTTAGATCTGTTGAGCACATGAAAAATGAATTTATGGATTTTTATGTGTTGGAATAATGCTCTGTAATAACAATATGCAATAGACCACCTATCGTAAAAGCTAGAAATTCCATTTTTGAAATATAATGCTGTCCAAATTGAGTTATACAATAATATATAATGCTGTAATGGTCATTGTTCTAGTGGTATATTGATTTGTTTGTACATATACATTATTACACAATTTTGTTTTCATTTATTTCCTGTCAATTCATCCTAACATTTTCGCTAACAAACATTAATGCGAATATTATTTGATTGTTGGTATTTGAAGTGTTGTATATGTTGGGAAAACGACTTAACTTAATAAATTTGATTCTTATATCAACATTGACAATAAAATATGTTAATTTGAACATACAATTAAAAAATAGCCTGAACATATTTACAAAATTATATAAAAGGACATTGAAAAGAACTGACTTTTTTGAAATTTGATTTTTAGTGTACAAAAATCAGTAAAACAGTACTTATTTCTCTTAGTATTTATTACTCTAGTGCTATTATCTTTTTCACAAGTATAAATATGTGGGTAAATTGGTAGAGGTACAATTCGAGCAGAACATCTGTATAACTGTAAAAATGAAAAGAATATAGTAAGAAAAGTATGCTGCAAGCGTGGCATACAATTTTGGCGTATCAATTTTTAAATAATGTATTGCAAAACTCATTGATAACGATATGTAATGTTAATTCAATATGAATTGTTGATCAAGCTTGATTCTGATCATAGGTCCCTTGAACGCTTTTGAGGTTTAACTAACATTAAAAAAGTTAATACATATAAATAAATAAATTTTTTAAATTACATTTTTTCAAATGAAAATAAAATAGTTCCATGTAATTTTACCAATTGCATTATCTAATTGTATGTCGCTAGTGCTTGGTCTACCTGTTCTTACTGTTTTATAAGTTTATTTACATGGTTTAATAATTTTTTGTCAATGATTTTGGTTGATTTGTTCATAGATCATATCAGTTTATACTTCCTCATGTTAGGTCCACAAAAGTAGTGGACCAACTACAGAGGTACCAGAAACAGTAAACTCATGATTGAGACTGGATTTGTATGCAATTTTGTTTTGTCAACTCGACCATGGTGATCCGATATCTGAATCTTACCTCTATGGTACAATTATTCAAATTTTATTCTGCATATTTGAAGAATATTTTATAAATTTGTATATTTGAAGGGTATCGCACATTTATTTTTAAAAAATGAATTAAGCAACTAAGAACGAGGCAAAAATCGAGAGCCTAAAATTAATTTGGATTTCAGCTTGTTAGGAACAATGACATAAACAATAGAATTCTTTTGAAAAAATCAACATCTTTTTTGAAGCCCCTATTCCAAAACTTCTAGGTGCAGTATTGCCTTTCCTGAAAGATTACTTTTTAAATGAATAAAAATATGGAAAAGGGTGACATTTGAAAGACCATAGTCATCTCAGTCCTCTTTCATATTTTCAACACAGTTCAACACTAAAAAAAGCTTAAAGTAGGAACTTCACTTCTAAAATAGCAGGTTGGATTTTTCCTTTCAATGCAACAACAATTAGGTAGTAAAATCCTGATGATGCAGGAATTATATTACAAGAGAAATTAAGGAAAAAATACAATTGACGAAAACACTAGATTGACTGAATTAGGAAACTAATTATCCAAAATGGAAACAATAAAGTTGTTTTATAAGGAATTGACAATTTAGTTTTTTAAGTTCCTTCAAGTAACTCCCATCACTTCTATTGTCATTAAAAAATCTTTTTTGAGGTACAAATTAATGTTGAATATTTGCTATATTGATTATTGAAGATCATGAGTTGTGGTCTGGTGTGATGTAGGTTAGAAAAATATTTTCTTAATGGGGCCAAGGTTTCGATCTTTATTGAGATCATCTTCAGGTCTTAGGATTTATAAACATTGTTTAAATTATACAAATACATATAAGATAATAATATGAATATATACAATGATGTGCACAATATAGAACTTTTAGGTTTAATCAAAGTTACAATTAATACAGGTTTTTAGTTGAGATAAGTCAATGGCACGAGCGGGATTTGAACCCACGATCTTCGGCTAGATACGCCGCTGCTCTACCACTTGATGTATCGTGACCTTGACTTTTTTATCTCAACTAAAAACCTGAATTAATTGTAACATACTAATTGGTCAAGCGGACTACGAAATTAGTGAATTTAATGAATTAAAAAATTAAGTATACTTCACTAAAGCTCTCCGTGGCCATTTCATTTGTCGTCGAGAATCCAATCCGATTACACGACATTTGAAAATGGCAAAAAGGAGGGAAAACTCAAAAGGTGGGGTTGAGATAGGAAGTTGATGTCCAAGTGGATCGAGGAACCACAAGCCAAAGATTGTGGGTTCGAATCCTGCTCGTGCCATTGAATTTTTTATCTCAACTAAAAACCTGAATTAATTGTAATATATTAATTGGTCAGGCAGACCACGAAATTAGTGAATTTAATCAAAGTATTTGTACTCATAGAAAACACACTCATCAGATTTTTTCTAATCTGTCTGACCAGATAATCTGCAGCCAAAATTTTACAAATATTTTATATATTGATAAAACACAAAGGAAGGTAGAAGAAATATTTAAAAAAAAATCAAAAAATTGTATGCCTTAGCATCATCGGTGCCACTAAAACACCCCGCAAGCTGCCACCCCTACCCTATATATGCAAAAAAGAATGGCGGCGATAGAGGAACTAAAAAATTGTCAGACAGTAAAAAGAAAGGATTAACAGGTTACCAGCCATACCAAAATCTTTGTCAAAATTAAAATAAAAGACATGGCTAAAACCATCTCTGATCTATCAGAAAAAATACTAGACTTTGATAAACAATTCAAAACAATTACTTAAAAAAAGGGGCTGATTGGAAAAATAAAGGAAAATGAGACTCAAAGATGGGAAAATAGTATGGGCATGGGGGTCTAACTTTGAGCACCACAACCATCTTCAGTACACTGCTAGCCATAGAAATACATGCACATAAAATAAATAATAAACAACTTAAAGGTGCGGCAGTAATTCATTTAGACAAGGCAGCTTGAAAGGCTCTCCAAGCCTCCGATGTAACTTCAAAAATTATCTGAGTCTGTCTAAATTCCCTGAAAAACTGGAATCTTCAAATTGGGTCAAAGGTCAGATATATTTGCTAAAAAAAAGGAACATTGGAAGAACTCACAGGCCCAACTCTATTTTTATTTATTTGTTTTATAGGCAAAACCTATTAAAAGTATACTATATACAATAATTCAAAACTTAGAAGAGCTAATACAGAGATTCATTATAAAACACAAATAGTTAAAGGAACAACTGAACTAGAATTACCATACAATAACAAATAATTGGAGTATGAATTATTAAATAAAACAGCTGTAAATATATGCAGTTAACATAATTAATGAATACAAACAAAACAACTAAAAAAGATAATTATTAATAATATCCAAACTAACATAATATAGTAATATATTAATATATATAACTGTAAATAATAATAAAAATAATAATAAACAAAACTGACAAAATAATAATAACAACAAACTAATTTTAAAAGTGAAAAAGCTTTGCAGGATAAGATCTGTCATTCTAAAATATGTGTTTAAGTGCCTGAATATGACATCAGCATTTAAATAATGAGGACAGCTTTATTAACATCAATTTATGTTAAAGTGCATAAGGCATAGTTTGTCTCGTTCTCACATAGTACATCCCTCTTGCGCTAAAAAATAGCCAAAAACATTGGATTTTCAATTACAAATTGGCATTAGGCTCTGATAAGTTTTATTAAGCATTTGAATTTTTAAAAGCTCATTAAAAACTTTTAAAAAGCTTTTTGGAAACGTAAAGTTGGTTGTAAAAATGAAAAGTTTAATTATGACTATAGATTATTCTAGATATTGATAATTCATAGCTTTAATTACTGGATAGTTGTTAAAAAAATATAAATAAATAAACAAAATGAAGCATTAGCATGTAGCATGAATCGTTTGACACGCTTCTGACTCTTCACAACTGATAGAATTTGCTTAATTTTTTATGTAATTTGATCTAAATGACCACAAGGTCACAAAGAAAAAAGCAGCTCAGTATGTGACCATTTCAACAAAAAAAATCTTGTTTCATTGTTATAGGCTGACTTACTTGGTATTTGCATCATCTCCCAACAAAATTTTAGGGCTGTCCTTTTTGCTCATGACACAGTACAATTTAATTAAATTTATCTCGCAAGGCACACCCCAAAACCCTTTGTTACTATTCAGTGATTCAGCGTACACTTCGACTGCTCTTACATGTTCACAACTAATATCTAAAAAAATAATTATTATTGTGTAATGGAATGTTTATTTCTTCAAGAGAATTGTCCTAAGAGCTACTGACTTCTGTTGCATCCGGCTTGAAAGCCTCCATTGATGTAAAAGTCCAGATGTCCCGAGGGGAGAATTATTCCTCTCGTCATCAATCTGCTGTGTATTATCTGAACGAACTCAGCGTCGTTAGAGTCCAAACGATACAAATCAGAAGTCACGTAAGGATCGAATATTGGCATGGCAGGGTCGAGGCCTATCAATCTGAACATATTGAATTGATCTGTAAAACTTTGAAACAAAATTCTTACCAGTTATGCGTGGAAGCTTTCTTTTTTCATATTGATTGAAATATTTGCCGACTGAACCTGATATCTGTGCTCCTAAACTGAATCCTACTACATGTGTTGTTTCAATGCTGACATCTTCACTCCTTTCGTCAAGGAGATTTTTAACGGTTGTGGCAATGCACTTTCCAATTAAATCTGCATTGTACACACTACTCGGATAACACCATTGCTTCACCAATTCAGAATAGTCCACGGAAATTATATTGTACGTCCCCTTTTTGAAATAGGCTATGAAGAAACTTTTCGTAAAAATTAAGATCAAAATAATTTTTACTCTAGTTTAAAATAAACATTTTATTCTTTTATTATTTTTATTGTACGTCGTTGAACAAATTATTGCAACATGGAATTTTATTTATTAACAGAACGTTTTCGATCTCATAACATGAGTTCTCTTCATTGTTAATTACATTTGTCCATCCTATAAAAAAATCAGTGGACTTCCCAATGATGTGTGAGGTCAAAAAGTTCTGTTAATAAATAAAATTTCATGCTGTAGTATTCGTTCAACAACCTACTTACAACACAAATAATAAAATAAACTGAAAAAAATATTGTTTGAAAAAATCATTCTTTTGATAGATAAAATAATTTATCTAATATTACCATTTTATTCTTATTGTGTTTTATAGGCGTATCGTACAACTTACATGGTCTAAGTTCCATGTTAGGTGAGTAATTTACATTTCCAGTATATCCGTGGAGTATTATTACAAGTGGTTTTTTACTTATCAAAGGAGCTTTTATAAATGAGTTTTTAACTTTTGGGTCTAATTTATACGGATTGTTTTGTAGATTGCTGAAATAAAAAATAAAAATTACTAATTCAGCAGTAAAAATGGAGACAAAATGCTATAGACCTTGTGAATAGGTAATAGGAGACACCTCTGCAATCTTCATTTAGTATTATACAATCGGTGGTCCTGTTAAAAACACTGTTTAACCATGAATTACCTAAAAATAAATAATGTAAACAGTCATAATAATAAAAATAGGAATAGAAAAATCATAAAAAAGAGTATAATTTTTGTAAACTGTAATCGTTAAGTATACCATGGAACAAGAGAAACAGTAAGGCATTCCTCATTATGGCTAAAATGTTTATAATCAGCCAACATGCTTATGCATGCAAATATATATATATACAAGTGGCCAGAGATTAGTGTGACACTCATAACTAATAATCTTTTACTGACAACTCATTTATTCACAAGTGAAGTAGTTAAAAAATAACATATTTTGAAAATTGTCATCAGTCCTGACCAAAACCAGACAAATTTCATTTAATATGTCAATTTTATGTAGTAGAAAAATGTTGAATATTTTTACTAATTAATAATAATGTAAGATTTCTCTGGGGTCTGTGGGGTGAGGAAGCTGTAATTTTATCGTTACAGATAATTTTGGATTGCCTCTCTGTGCTGATTTCCTAATAATAACATGGTATAAAGAAAGATTTGCACAATTATCCTCTAGGTTCTATGTTTGTATAATAGGAATATTTTTGATTAAACTTTATGCTTTTTTACTGTCACTATTTGTTTGTTAATACAAAATTTATATTATACTACCACTTCTTGTGATATATTTTGTTAATAGGCATAATTTTATCCATATTTTGACTTGAGATTGTGTTATAACTTTGTGGATTTCTTGAAGTTCTAGAAATCATCACCCTTTTTAAACAAAGCTAGAAAAATGTGAATGAAAACTTTTTTTCTAAAATAATCACTGTGTGTGAAAAACGTCACACGCTTTATTGTTTTCCCCATATAGACCTTGAAGGACCGTTGGTTAACTTAAACCTTGGTTAAGGTTGACTTAATTTTCCACCATTTATCTCTGCTTTCCAACTTTTTATACTACCTTCCTCAAATCTTACTCCACCTCCTCTGACCATCTTCTCTTCGGTACCTACTTTCTTCCTTCCTTCTACTCTATTTCTATATAATTTGCTCACACTCCTGTCCATATCCGTTCTTTCCAAATGAACCAACTTGTTGAGCCTTTTTCCCTTAATTTTTGCCACTAAATCTCACGATGAGTATTTGCTCTTATTTTCCAGACCCCATTTTACAGTTTGGAACCAAATATTCTTTTCAAAACTTTTCTCTCCCAAATTATAAGGGGGGGATGCTTTGGCTAAGTAACAGTGTTTCGCACGTGTGCAAAACTATAGAACAGATAGCTCTTTTATAAATTCGGAGGACCATACATTCTTATGAAATGGACTTGGACTTCATAAACCAATTTGATGAAAAGAGACATCTGCTGCCTGCAGCTAAGCTAATCTTCCTTTTACTTCATTTTTTACCTCTCACTACTTTGTGAATATGACGCCAAAATACTAAAATCTGTTACATTTTCAATATTTTTTCCCATTTTCAATAGCTTTCAACAGAAATATTCTGTTCAAACCTTGAAGCTAGTATAACTTAGTTTTCTCATAATTTAACCCTAACTACACCTTTGCCATTTTTTCTTCTGCTCAAAGCTCCCTTCTAATGACTTACCAGTCCTTGCCATTGAAACTACATCATCGGCATAAACCATGAATTGTCTGGATCGACTGAAAATTGTACCATTATAGTTAATTTCAGTATTTCCCATTACTTTTTCTGAGCTAAGGTTGAACAGTAGAGTTGACAGAACAACACCCTGTCAGAGCCCTGTATTAATGTTGAATAAGTGTGTGTGTGTGTGTCTATATTATATATGATGAGATTACAGATGTGTCATTTTTATTTTACAAAGCCATTATAATTGATTTATTTCTAACTCCCCTTCAAATTTACCTTAGCTCACGTTTTGTAGTAGGTTGTAGGTATTTTGTTGTAACCTCAGTAGAACGTGCAATCATGACCAAAATTTTAAGTTTTGTAATTTTGACATGTTCCAACTGATATTGGCTAACATTTTATGTCATTCAGATTATTGCAAAGAAGTATCTTACAGCAAATTTAGCGTTCTTTCAAATGGTGTAATTGGATTTGTTGTAGTCTCACCATTTTGGAAGTTGTAAGCGTATTTATGTGGTAAGGTAGTAAAAAGTTGAAAAAACCTAAATTGACGAATATCTTCAAAATAGAGCACTTTCCGAAAATTTTCTCCTGGGCATTTTTTGCTCCAAACGAAAAGTAGAATCGATTCCCTGAGTTTCGTCAGAAGGAACTGGGACACCCAGTATAAACTATGATTTGTCCATTGTTCAGCCACCATTTTTTTTTATTGAACACATAGCCAATTAATTTAAATATTCTGACTCGTATTTGCCAGATTAGCAAATCCCATAGCTTTTTATTTGAGAATAATATGTAAACAGTATAGACAGTTCGTGTAGATAGGTTTGACCCCTCATCCACGAAACCTAACTAGCTGAACATTAGAGTTTTCTATTTGGTAAGAATTACTTTGTGCTATGCAAATAAATGAGCAATAGAAGTGTTGTTATTATAAAAACAAAAGTGATCCTATGATTTTCTTTGGCACTGTCTTCCTACAAATGTTATTTATGCATATTTTGACAGGGACCATCCATTTTATACAGTTTCCAAATTATTAAACCATTGTTCAGGCATTGTAATTTTCAATTTTGTATAAGTTACGCAGCAAGGGAAAATAGAATAAAGCTAACAGTTAGTAGAAAATAAAACTGTTAAGGAAAAATCATAAGATTAACTGTAGAGGTCGAAATATAAGAAAACATCGTTAAGGAATAGTTTGGAGGGTGTGAAACAATACCTGTTTACAGATAAAAACAAGACCATTCATTTTGGTTTTATCAAAAACATGATTATTAAAACAAAGCATTTTATTTGAATAGTCAAAAAAGCCTTTTGTTATTACACGCCATCTTAATAAGGAAAATGTTGGAGTAAAACATTATATAAATTTTATTTTATCAATACAAGCACTGGCTTGGACGTCAAAATTCTATGAGGAAAATAGCACAAAACAAAAGTTCGGGAAGATGAGCAAACGGTTCGAAACGTCGACACTACTGTAAAAAAGAGAAAAAATAGAATTTTAAATAAAAAGGACTGCGTGCTCATTATTGGAAAAGTAATACTAAAATAAATATAAAACATTATATAAATGTTAAACTGTTATAAAAATTTACTGTTATAACAAAAAAATATTATTGTGAGTATTATTTAGTTGAGGTTTGCAATGTAAACAACTTGTAGTTTGTACTCTGACCATCCTGAAATTGGCTTTTCTTTGATTGCATTTGTCCTTTTTTCTTTTTAAATTTACAAAGCACTGAAGATTGTAAAATGCCAAAACACATCTGACAGATTAAGCCGCTGAGAATAGAATGACCAAGATGAAGAAAGAACAAGAAAAAAAGTTTATTGTTACTAAAATTATGTACAGATAAAATAATGAGAATAAATCAAATTTTAAGCCATACAGCAATGGCCACAGACTGCTAGAGGTTTGGGTACAAGCTACACAATAATTATTTATGAATAAAATACGGAAAAAATTCAACAACAAACTTACTTCTTTTCATCTGTCTTTCCTTAATAACTGAAGTGATCGGTCCAAATCTCTGATACTTTAGAGCTGAGTGAAAGATACACACTGCTCTGTTGCTTTGGGTTGTAAGAAAAAACTTGAAGACCATAATGATCAGAGTTACAACTAAATTATATAAAAAAATATATATTATTTACCCAGAAACAAAAAGGTTAAAGGAGTCTCTCTTTACAGCCTTACACCCTTTTGGTCTATTGTGCATCAATGTCTAGAGCTCTTCATTAATCTTAAGACTTTTTACCAGATCCCAGGTGTTCCCTTCAGCTTCAGGCTTTGGCTTGTCCTCTATCAGGAGTAAGAACCTCAGCCTCCAAGTACATTCCTCTGTTTCTTCTTCTTCCTGGCAGTATTTGCACAGGTTTGTTTCTGCTGCTCCAAGTCTATAGTCAACAGTTCTACTATCATTCTAGTCCTAACACATCATAGATTTAGTAGTTCTGCCCTGATGACCCTTTGATGAAATTTTTGCTCCCATAAAACTGAGGACTTTTATTTTTATTTAAATTGTTGATTTAATTATACAATAAAAATTAAAGAATAAAAAGATATTGGAATGTAAAAAAATGAAAATTTTAGCAAAAAAATTATTTATTATTTTTACAAAATAACATTAATTTATTTACATTCGTAAAGTTCAATATTATTACCTATTGACAATTCATGATCTTTCAATATAAGGAAATGTGGAAAGGACATAATTCATTATATGCACATAGCTGCATAGTTATGTATTCAAAAGATAGGCAAACACTTAATAAGAAAGCTGGTAAACTGGAATGTTAAAAAAAAGTTATAATAAAGTAAAATTCATCTTCTAATTATAATTTAATTAAACTTATTGCAGAAGTTTGAAAGGTGGTTGTGATGACAAAATGTCAATAGCTTGCTTGTACTAGTTCAATGAGCTTAAAATTAAAATATCTTTTTTATGAATTGAAGAAATAAGTTCCTTACTTATTGACAAAAAGTTAATTACAATTTACTTTTATTATAAAATGATCAAATGATAAATTTAAATTATTGAAATTTGTAGGTTTATTTCCTAACTCTTTTGTCTGATACAATGTAAAAAGGGTTCTTAATAAACATATCGTCTTTTACCCTTGGCATCGCGCACAATACTTTTGGAGTTCCTCCCCCTCCTCTCACAAATAAATAAATTAAAAAAGTACATTTCTTGTAATGAGATCTCAACAAAAACATTCCTTCAAAGGATAACAAATGATATAAAACCATAAGTGATTTATTTCCAGGCCTGCTTCAGTGCTTTTCTCGAGGCCAACCTCTTAGTAACGTATGCAGCTGTAATTAGACCCGTGAGAACTGCTGTTATCAGCCAGTATTCAAAGTCATCCTTGAGCACATCAAAAGTCTTTGATGGTGAAACTCTGGTATAAAATAAATCTAAAAAGTGTATTAAAAAAAATGAAATTCAAATTTTGGGTATCATCATGTTTGTAAATTTAATACCTAATCCATAAATAAATACTAAAGATGTCGATTCCAAACCAGCTGGTGATGTATGAATCCCTTCAATTTTAATAAGTGTGTGGTTGTAAGTTATCAATGCTTCTGGAGGAAGTGCCAATTCTGGTATGTAAGGCAAAACACCTTCCTCCCTCATTTCGGCGGTTGGAGTTACCCCCCTTCTAGAATCTAAGAAACTCCATGGAACTTCCATTACTCCTCCACTTCCCAATCCGACTGAAATAATGGTGGAAATATTAATTTATGAAGAAATCAAAAATGTGCAGATTATCTTACCTAGAATATGTTTGCTGGTGATCCCCTTCTCAGTTATAGTTTCCTTCATTGTTGTTATATGGTGAGGAAATATATAAGCCTGCCTACCAACCAATGGCTCTAAAGGTGGATCCAATGATGAAAATGCTGAAATTTTTGTGATTAATGTTTAATTTGATTGTCTTTCAACTATTAGCTAAAATTCTATTAAAATTGGACTTAGCAAAAAATAAAAAGATAAAAAATTTACATGTTACCTGTAGTGTTACGTTGTGTTTTGCCTTCATAAAGATCGAGCATTACAATTTCTGTACGTCTTGATTTTTCATTGAAAAATGTGTAAACAACCCAGTTTTCAGAGTGAACAATATGGACCGGTTCCATAGCACGTTTGTGAACGACTGAAAATACTATAGCTCCACTGACGGTATCAACTAAGTAAACTGATATAATACCTAGGGGGGATAAATAAACAATAAACATCTATTTAAAAAAAAAGTTATCATAGTTTACTTTTGTGAACAGGATCAGAAGCCTGCGTGGCGACAGCAACAAGATTAGGGTTTATATATTTATAAAGTACACTGCGATCACCCAGGACTCTACCTTGAGAATGAACCTTTTCACCTCTTCTTTTCCCAGTGACTGCAATGACTTTATCTGTAAGCTGTATCGACCACACAGGGTAACTTTTTAACGAAGCCTAAAAATAGAAATTTTTAAAATAAATTGTTAAAGCCAAATATTTGTTAGCACAAAACACTTACATCTTGAGAATTTTTAATAAAAGTTCTTCCACTCATGGCGTTATTTTTGGAATCTATAGTGTACACAAACATTGACTTGGCATGTTCAACAGCAACATCTTTTGTGCTCTCGGGATAAATGTCAACATCACCAGACTCATAAAGTATTAAAATTCCATGAACAAACTCCTCATTTGTCTCCGGAAGTAGAAGGCACTGTGCTACTGGTTGTTTTAAATTGATAAAACCTTCTAAAAGACAAAACCACGTTAAATTTTCATTATAGAAGCAATGGATACTGTTCAAATACCTAATGATTGTCCTGTGATTGGATTAAAAATGAACAACGCTGATGCACCTGTGTCCTAAAGAGAAAAGCAAAATTGCATTTCAAATTGTAAAAAAATAAATACACAGTACAAATTACTTTTCTTTTAAGGAGTAAAGTCATCATTGTTGGATTTGGTAAATGTCGTGAAGTCCTCTGAAGAAATAATGGCACAGTCTGAGATTCCAACTGATTCAAGGGTGTAAAGTCTTTCAGGTAAAACTGCCAAATAACTTCACCATTTTCATTGTCAATGCCAAAAATCTTAAAAAATAAATATATTTAATTAAATGTATTATTATGTTTTATAAAAAAAATGCCTCTAACCTTCATGGCACTTGTTACAACCAGAATAAGTTTATGAAATCCGAAAGAATCTCTGACGAGATCTTTTCGTACTCCGGGCTCAATGGTAGAATCCTTTAGACCGAGGACAGTAACAAAAAGGTTTTTTGCTTGGAGTACCTGGCTGCTCAATCGCCTGGTTACCATACCCAAAATTCCACCTGTTGGTCAAGTTTAAATTTTATAATATAACTAGTGAAATCTTCAATATGCCACTCTAAGCTATCCTATTGCTTTTTCTGTCATAAAATTAAAAATATTAGGCAGACTCACTTTCTACATTAGGTAGACTCACTTTCTATCTAAATCACACAACTGAAACTGAATAAAAATGTCGAATAATTTTATCATGACAATTTCTAATTTTGTAGTGATTGATCTATCAGAGAGATAATAGGTTATTTATTTATACCTCAACTTAATGTATCCACTTTTTGCCTGTTGCGTATGAGCTTCATCTAATAGATACTGTCTGTGTTGCTTTACTCCAAATGACTCAAAATGACTTTACTCAAAATGACACACAACAGGATCGATTGTCAAATTAGATGTTTTTCCTTGTCATACCAAGAGAAATTGATACGAGTGAGTCACACATGACGACCGCAGTGTTGTCTTTTGTTGCCTACCATCATTGTGTGGTTCAATGTTTACTCATTGTTTAAAGTAAGTCTTTCAAAATGGATTAGGATACCATTCTTGTATTCATGGAAAATTAAAAACAAGATGCATGGGTGGAACTTGCAAAAGAAACAGAAAAACCGACTGAAGAGTGCAAGAAGATGGAGTTTCTGTCTACCTGTAGAAAACTCTGATTCCAGCCTACATGTAGGCCTGTTTCTGATATTTATCATGAACGAAAAAGTGTATTGCACCATTGAATATTAATGAATGACATGCAACGTTATACTCGATAGCGATTTGCAACTGGCAAAAACAGGAAGACAACATTTCTCTCACAATTTCTCAACATTCTCGTTAATTTTTATTAGATCATCACCTACTGAATAATAATCTGATTCCGCAAAGGAACTTTTGTAATATAATAATGGTAAATCATACTTCATCATGTTCAAATTCTATGATAGAATCGGTAATGTTTGTGCACGAATTTATGCTAAGCCTTACACGTCCTGCCCCACTCGGCTCTCTTTTTCGCTAAACCTTGTCAGTCGCCCGGAGACTGTTGACAGCTCTCCAAAAACTCATTTTTTACAATACTCCAGCCAACCCTCTGCTTCACAATCTTGCCTTCTTGACATGTTACTTCTTAATTTTTGACAAACTTCACTTCATAGCTGTCTGGAAGAAAAGCAACAAATTGGAAAGCTTTCCTTCTTGGGTCGACCGGTCTGGATGCTCAGGTATCTTCCACTTATTTCTCCTCTTGAAAAAGTAAAAACTTATCTTTAGTTTCCTCTTTTCTCTCTTAAAGTTGTTCTTTTCTCTTTTGTTCTTTGCATTTAAAGTAATTTCCACTTTGTTTCCCTTCTCTTGTTTTCACTATATTTTTTTTTATTATGTGCGAACCTAATTTTGGTTCATCTGGTATCATGACAATTAATCAATAGAACATGCTTAGGATATTTATAAATACATATAGAAATGCAAATATTAATTCTAACATTACAAAAACCAAATAAATTTGTCCTTCAATAAAATTGCTTTTAAAAGAACAGAGATCAAGCTAAAAAAAAGTATAATGCAAAACGGAATGCAGATCAAATCAAAAGCATTCAAAGAAAAACAACTTACTTGTCAATCCCCAGTCCACAGCTGCAGGAAATTTAATATGTATTTTCATTAAAACTGGAAGTACTTCTTACACACATAGATATATTTGTAATATAAGTAATATTTCAATTAAAATGAATTTATTATTTTGGTACACGAGGACAAGAGTAATATGGGCAAGTAAAACAAGTCTGTTTTAAAAATTTAAAATAAAATTAATTTTGTTTGGAAGAAATTATTTTCAATAAATGAACTTGATGGTTATTTTTTCCATATAGAGGGATCTGATCAATTTCCTAGCAGTATTTCCTTGGATTTTGATTGTCATTTCCAGTTTTTAAGTTTTTTAATGTATGAAATGTTTTTTTCCCATAAGGAAGTGTGACATTGCCTAGATAATGGGTAGTCTGAAGGAGCAAGGCCAGGACTATTATGGAATACTAGCTCCATTGCTTTTTTTTTATTTTTTCAGAAGAAAGTTTAGATAAGAACCAAAATAATAAATAAATTTCTTAAGTTGGTAGGAACTTTTGCCTTTGAATACTAATTTATTAAATGAAAAATAATGATTAAAATTGTCTTGTGTAGTATAAACATTTAAACAGAAATTAATAATAAATTACAACTAAATAAAAAAATATTACCTCCTTTGTTGGCAAATTCCTTTTCAATTGCAGCTTCCTCCTCCGAAACAGGCAAGTCTATCATTTCAACGTTGATAACATTAGCCAATGCCTCTTCTCGGACCCAAAATAGTTTGCCTACAATCACATCATTATGGGATGATAACAGTTTACCCATCAGTAATGATAAATTAATTATACCTTTACGTAAAAGGATGGCTGAGTGGTCTACCGAAGAAATGAATGTGTAGCAGACAAGCTCGTTGTTATTACTGACAATGGTACAACTCGAGGAAGTATAATCTGGTAGGGAAAATGGATAAGTGTAGCTTGCAGTAGCTTTGTATTCACCATTCGATTCTACATTTATAGTTCTTGTCTCATATTTCTTTAAAAACAAGAAAGGATTAAGTTAAAGAATAATTAAAAATAAAAATGTTTTAAACAGAAATATCCTTTATTTTAAATTTGAAGAAACAAAAACACATTTATTGTTAGAGCAAATATAAATGTAAAATAATTCAATAATTACCCCACTTGCAAGGGCTGTTGTTATAATGTAATGATTATTTCCTTTCTTTCCAATAGACACACTCGCTCCCAAAGGCACGTCAACAGTTGTCAGTTTTCCTTGGTGACTAACAACGGCAGCTTTTTGTCTATTTTTATCAAGTCTTAGCAAGCAACCGTTTTCTAATGGTTCAACATTTTCGACGTTAAAGTCAAGCTGGGCAGAACGCATCGATGAATCACCCAAGTTGAAGAATGTCAGAACATTTTGTGAATTGACACAAGACACAACACCATTTGAAACAGCACATCTGCAATTTTCCAAAATTAGTTTTATTTTACTATTTTTTTAAAAATTATCCTTCTTACTTGTTTCCTGAAGATAACCACTGAGCAGAAATTGTTTTAGTCGAACCAGCAGGATTGCCGTTTTTCAAATGAAACGCCGTCACTTCGAGCGTCTGAGAGGCAAAGGCCAATTGGTACACTTTAGAATGGTCCACAGTCCATTTTTCAGACCTTGAAAAAGTAAAAACTTTTAAATATATCAACAGGCTTACTAAAAAAGAATAAATTACTTAGAATAAGTCAAGGAGTGAGGTGTGCTCCACTCAAACGTCTGAAGGCCAGTAGTTTTGTTCCAACCCCTGACCATAAAAGGCCCATTTCCAGACACTGATACAACCTCGCTCCCAACAAACAATTGTTTTATATCTCCATACTCTCCTTTTTCAAGTAACCGCCTCCATAATATTTTACCTAAAAATATTTATCATTTAAATTCAATTGGTATTGACATGAAAATATTGAGCATAATAAACACCTAAGAAGTCATTATTTAGACCAATGAAGTTCAGAGACTTTTTAAATCAGCCCTCAACATTCAATAATCCATTAAAGTTAGGCCATTTTAGACCTATAAATTACTCTTTAAAAAAACTGTGATTTCCAAGGAATCATGGTATAAATTCTTTAAGTTATGACCGCACTTGTGTAAGAAGCAGATCCAACAAACAAAGCCACCAAAATGAGGCTCAGCAGAACCAGTCTACCATATATGATCATTCACAATTCTAAATGTACTTCCTTTAGTTATGAAATTTTTTAGAGGTTGGAGAATTTCATTGGTAGTTGCTGGGGATCTCTAAGAACATAGTTCTCGGAGTTCTGGACAGAAATGAAAAGCTGATGAGAAATGCAATTCAATTTGACCCAACCTCCAACTGACAACCGCAATCAAGCTCAAGCACAATCAATATGATTATAATTAAGAATCAGATCTTTAGATTTTAGAGAAATTTAGTCGGTTATGAAAAGATTATCATCATCCAATTGACCACTCATAATTAACACTCGGACATCTTCCTATAAGCCAATCATGCTAGCATGCAGAGAAAAATTTCTCGGATTTGTCTCACACAATCTAAGGGCTGCTTATATTCCATTTAGAGGGTGAGTAGGATATAATAACTTTCCTTGTTTTTCATGACCGTGCAAAAAATGCAAGAATGGGTAAAGTAATACTGCTAATCATGCCAATTTTTTCTCTAAAAATAAGACGATACCCTTCCATTGAATTAGTACCATAGAAGTAGTTTTGTTTTAAATGTACTTAATAAGTGAATGGATTAATGTATTATGTATGTTATTAATGTAACAACACAAACATCATAGCCATTTTAAGTCATATTACACTAGTTTATGGGCTTTCGGTCCATAAACAGTTCAAAGAATTAATGTCTCTGTATACAAAAGACAGTCCTTGGCAATGTTACGACTGAGTCGGTCTATAAGGAAATTTGAGATTGCCCTTAAAAAAAAAAAAAATAAATAAATAAAACATAAATATGTCAATTTATAGACATATTTAAGACTGTTTTACCCTGATGATGATCTTAAAATAGGTCGAATGCTTGGAAATAACAACTGAATTTGCTTTTTTCTTCAAGACCATACCTTGATTCAGTGTTTGTGAGTGAAAAAGTGGTCAATACTTGTAACATTGAAAACTTATGTTATTAGTGTATATTGAAACTGAATGTACTTTTTAGCATGAATTTATTGACAGAATATCGATACCTTATCAATCCTTAATTAGAGTAGTTATATATGTACAGGGTGATGGAAGTATCAAGTACACCACTATCCCCCCTGAGTGAATGGTTTATACATAGGAAAGAAAGTATTTAAGGGTGAGTGAGCATGTGAATGGGTTTGGACTGAGAGAGTGGTTGCATTAGGTGCTGAAACGACCTAACTGTTGATAGCTCCCAGAGCCCAACCTCAGGAGAAGAACATAAGACCGACATCTGACCCTGAACTGTCAACACTCGAGGTAGGTGAATCTCCTGTATTGTAAATTACACAAAAGCTGGAATTGCCAGCAAGCTGTGAGAAGTGACAGGCTCAACTCTGTACATGTGTTTGAATGTTTATACATGCAAGTTATATATAAGTTATTATATAAATAAATAATGAGTGTTATAGAACAGAAACAAGTTTCTTGGCCTAATAGCCGGTATTTTTTTATCTTTGCAGAAATAGCTTTCTATTGTATACGATAACAATGTAAGTAGTTTGCTGCTCAGTTACTATGAGTAAAGGTATTTAGTATATTGTGAGGGTTAATAATAGAATATTAAATACTCCGTCAAATCAAACTCAGCTTATTTACATGCTTTGTTTTATTGTTGTATCTTTGTTAATAAAGAGATGGATATCAAGTATTGTACTTGGCTGAACAGTACGTACATGCTAATGAAAGTCTAAAACTGTTCAGCATAGCAGCAATATCAATTTCATCTTAACTAAGACCTTAGATAAATAGAATAATTAATTGAAATAGTTAATATGGTAAATTATGACCACTATCATTTATGGATTAATTGGATTACATTGTGCCATGAATGCTGAGGATTGTCTAATGTCAGATACTTAAAGGTCCGTGTTGAGATTGAGCCTTGGCTGTATGTAGGGAGCTTGTAGGCATACCGCAACATGGTGAGTGTAGTTACAGCCTAACAGTTTTGTTTTCTAAATCATCTTTCACTTTGAAATTACAACAGCCAGCTTGGACTTATGAACATTGTTTACAGTTATAACATAGAATTTAAGCTATTTTTCTAATTAGGTAGACAGTTACCATCTCCTTTTAGGCCAAATGCTGCAACTACATTGCTATCGGTAGCGACAAATACTCGAAATTGTTTCAGGTCCAAGTCCACATAGGAATACCTCACTTTTCCGACGTACGATTGTTTCCTGAAATAGTTTGGAATTGAGGAAAGTTAGGGTGTACAGTCATCACAACAAGGCCTCTAATTTTGGCCTGTTTTTATTGAAACTTACCAATCGAACTTGCCGACTTGGTCTTCATACAGGGCGAAAGATGCTCGGAAGAATAACAAGAAGCTCGATAAAAATACAATACTTTTCCGGCAAGTGAACATGGTAAAAGAGTAGGACTTAGAAACCTTCCTATATTTGTGCATGAGCACGATGATAACAAGAGGTGTAGAAGAATGCGTTCATGTCAGATAGGTTGAAGCAGCATCGCCTCCCATCGAACGTTGAAAAAAAAATCGATTTCGGATGATTTACAATTTAAAAAATCTTTGAAAAATTAAATATTTCTCTCAATTTTTGTGGGGAAGTACCACAAACTGTCCTTCGACATGATCACATTCTCCAGGTTTCATGCTGTTGTTATGATCATGCTCATGCCTATGCAGCAATAATATTACTGCATATTTATTAATATATTATTTCTTATGTAAAAGATAAAATGGTAGCATACAATGTGTAAGTAATGTATATTATGTTTTTCTTATAATTTGACTAAGCACTAAATGATCCAAAAAATAAGTTGAATTCTGCTAGGAATTAAACTTCAATACTGCCATGGTGGATTCACTAAAAAAAACCAGTTCAGTGCCAACAGAAGAAGGGTTCTATTTTTACTCTTTCCTGAGGTATTAACATTTTTGTTATTTTAATCAAAAAGCAGATTTTTTAACATAAAATCATAATTTCTCAACTTTAGCGTCATTAAAAAAACAAATCTGAGATTTATTTTGTAACATTAAATTTTCCTCGAGATAACATTTCTGTTAAAAAATTCTCACTTTCGTATAAATGGTGGCTGCTCAAAGAATGACTTTTTTTTGTAATTACTCAATTATGGCTCTTGTAATGACTTTTCCTTCAAAATTTTCAGGGATTTCACCAAAGTTGCCTTATTTTATAAATATTCCAAGGACATACTCAATTTTACATTTTTTAGAACATTTATTAGTGAAATCTCCTTTGCAAGGTTGAAAAACCTGATATCGAACCCAAGGAGAGCATCAACCCAAGAACATTGTACATGTCATATTTTTAATTAAAACATTTATTAGTTGGTTACAACAATAATTGTCTATCTAATTATTAGATACATTCTTCTCTAGGCATGGCCAGCAAGGAGCCCTGATTTGACCCCATTAGATTTTTATACATGAGGAGCGGGAATGTCCATATGTGGGAAATTAAACACCACTCAAACGAAAGGTCCACTACCTTCAAGTAGCGACACTAGAAGATACAGACCTCCTCTTGGGAAACCAAAAGGTAAGAAAAAAGCNAGAGCACAGGGGATACAATAGCTCTTAAAGGGCGCAGTATACCATACCCTGAATTATTACATCTATCTATCTATCTAATGTATATTATGTTTTTCTTATAATTTGACTAAGCACTAAATGATCCAAAAAATAAGTTGAATTCTGCTAGGAATTAAACTTCAATACTGCCATGGTGGATTCACTAAAAAAAACCAGTTCAGTGCCAACAGAAGAAGGGTTCTATTTTTACTCTTTCCTGAGGTATTAACATTTTTGTTATTTTAATCAAAAAGCAGATTTTTTAACATAAAATCATAATTTCTCAACTTTAGCGTCATTAAAAAAACAAATCTGAGATTTATTTTGTAACATTAAATTTTCCTCGAGATAACATTTCTGTTAAAAAATTCTCACTTTCGTATAAATGGTGGCTGCTCAAAGAATGACTTTTTTTTGTAATTACTCAATTATGGCTCTTGTAATGACTTTTCCTTCAAAATTTTCAGGGATTTCACCAAAGTTGCCTTATTTTATAAATATTCCAAGGACATACTCAATTTTACATTTTTTAGAACATTTATTAGTGAAATCTCCTTTGCAAGGTTGAAAAACCTGATATCGAACCCAAGGAGAGCATCAACCCAAGAACATTGTACATGTCATATTTTTAATTAAAACATTTATTAGTTGGTTACAACAATAATTGTCTATCTAATTATTAGATACATTCTTCTCTAGGCATGGCCAGCAAGGAGCCCTGATTTGACCCCATTAGATTTTTATACATGAGGAGCTCTGAAAAGTGCAGCATATAGCACACCCATCGAAACGACGGAACAGCTCATAGAGAAAATTGATAGATATAGTACAGAGCCCACTAGACCTAATTTTAAATAGATAATGATGTTTTGTTTTTAATGGTTTAATAGCACAATAAATACACAATTTTTTTCTTCGTTTTATTTATTTATTACATACAAATTTCAAATTTTAATTTGAAATCATTTTCAGGGCATCTTGGCCTTTAAAATTGGGTCAGAGACAAATTGTTAGGTGTTAATTTTCTTGTTTTTAGTATCTTGATTCTATCATTTTCTTGTTTGAACAACCTGCTCATACTCATAGGACCATAATATTTTTTTAAATTCTGTTCTTTATATTTTAGATATTTTTAATATTATATTTATTTGCTCAATAAGACAGAATGTGGTCATTTCTGAAAAGATTCATTGTGCTAGTAAACCATGAAAAACAAAGTAAATAGATAAGTAATTATTAGTATTTAGTTTTATTTGAACATGGGAAATATTCTAAAATGTAGCTTTATATAACTAAAAAAAATTGTTCATTTTTTCAACAAACAGCCTGTGACTTAATCTGGGTAAAGCAATAAATAATTGGTAAAATAAATAAACAAAACTTTTAATTATTTTTGGTATTTTGTGACATAGTTTTGAAACTAAGATATAATGCTTACAAATACTTAACACAATTTTGGTAACATAACAATAATTAGTATGTTATTAACAAAACAAAACTTCAGCTTATCACACATTCAAATTACACAACAAAAACTTAAAATTTTAAACAAATAAAAACTTTATAAATATTTGTCATCTTTGTGAAATAGGAAAATAAATAAATGTGTTATTTCACACCTCTTTGTTATAACAAGTATGTAAAATATCATCTCCATGTCTAACAGTAGTTTGGTGCTGAAGGTATGACAAATACAAAAATAGATATTATTTATATTGGAAGAAAAAAAATTATCAAAGGTCATAAAAAGTGTATAATTTATTGTCACGAGTAAATTTCATAACAATGGGGAAAACATGAAGTTTAAGTACGAATATCAAATTGAAAAGAATTTACAATGAAGAATCTCAGGACATTTTTTCGACATTCTTATTACTGGATGGAACATATATCTAAAACAAATGTTATGAATTTAAAAAAATATTGGGAGAATTGGAGCAATAACAACTCTAATTTTAAGATTTAAGTTTAACTATAAAACGTAATACAACTGTAATTGACTAACAGGATAATATAAAATTTACAAAATACTACTAAACAAATTACCATTTTGAACATCATGAACTGCTTCGTTGGCATCAATAAGTGATGTTATACTTTCTGCTTCTTTCATCCACTCGTCCAACTTGAAATAAAAGTTGAAAAGTTCAAAAGAAATAATTGTAAATTCAATTGTTATTGTACCTGCATTGTTAACAACTTTTTCCTGACTCCTTGCGGCTCTTCATCAAGCAATGGGATGAGAATGGCAAAACACGCTTTCAGTTTTTCTAAAGCGATTTCATATTTGCCTTCGAACAAATACATCTGTGCAGCATATCCGATGTCAATCCCGTCTAACATTTTAGGTGTAGAACTGCAAAGTGTCTCTGCAATCAAAGTTATAGTTAAAACTTAAATATGTAAAGGGCTGAGATAGAAAAAGAACAAAACTTTGCTAAATGTTTGATGAATTGCTTACTGTTCTTAACACAAAAGTTTTTAAATTATAAAAAATATATAAAATAAATAAAATACTAACTGAGATATCTAACATCCATGAGTGGGTTATCTCCCTGAGCTAGATCTTTTTCAGCAGATTCATCATTTGTATTTGGTCTTGCTACAAAAGCCTCTTTAGCTCTGTAAAGTATGACTTTGAGGGCATCTGCTCGTTTGGTGTATTCAAATATCTTCAAGCGAATTTGTTCTCTTTTAACCACATTGAACTCATCTAAATAATAATTCTTAAATTATAATCATTCCACAAATAGAAGATATAAATTAATTTAATTCATTTCCGCACTTAAAAATGGCAATAAGTATTTCAAAACTTCACAATATTTATTAAAGGCGTCCATGTATTTTTTCTCATAATCTAATTTCACAGCTTCACGGGCCAATTTGACTGCTATTAGATAAGACTCTTGATGAGGAAAGTGCTTCAAATCTATAAATGGATGCTTGAAAAACTGTTCATAAGATATTCTTTTTTCGTGATCATAAGTCAGAAGTCTCCTCAAAAGATCTTCGCAATCAGATGACAATAAACCAGGACGCACCTAAATTCTAATGCATTAATTACTAGTTAAGAAATAAACTCTTAATGAAGTTACCTCGATCGGCACTTGGTTTTTTATGTCAATTATTAGCTGCTTGCATGTTAACGTGACAAAAGGTGCACTCCCTAGCAAACATTCATACATAATTATACCAACAGACCATAAATCAGATTTCTCGTTAAAATATCGATATATGAGAATTTCTGGTGCCATATACAAAGGTGATCCTCTTAAAGTCCATTTCAAAGTTTCTTCGGATAGAAAATCAGCAAAGCCGAAATCTGTAAAATTGTTTTAACGAAATGTAAATTAAAAAAATAAATAAACTATTGAAACATAAGCATCCAACAAAGATAACTGTAATCATTATAACAAATTTGACAATCCATTATGTTTAGTGTTCTGATTGACCAAATTTGACATTGTTTAGATAGATAATTTTCAATCATCCTGGTGAGGCATTTCATTGTTTTGACAATTGTGTCCTTTTTTAAATTGGTTAAAAGTAAAGAGGTGTGTCAGCACTGACATAATTTTATTAATATTATTGTTTTTATAGAAAAATGCCAACAAATCTAAAATTAATCTTTTGACTCATGAATTTTAGTTAGTTACTGATTTATATAAACTCCTACACATATGCATGTACTTACATACATACGTGTACAGAGCTGAGCCTATCACTTCTCGCTTGTCATTCCAGCCCCCAATGCAATCAGTCTCTCAATGCAAACCCATTCAACTCTCACTTCTCTTAAATACATTCTTTCCTATTTACATACCGTTCACTCAGAGTGGTGGAATCCTTGATATTCTTTCGTCAACCCTTCCATACTACAAATTCAAGCTAATAAATACATTCATTCTCAATATACATCAAGAAACTTAAGATGAAATGTGTACATCTATGAAGTACTATATATAGTAAAATAGTTCTGCTTTGGAGCAGAAGACCCAATACTCTTTATATGGAGCCAAAGAGTGGCAAGTTCAATTAAATGGGACACATCGAGCAACCTTTCTCTACATGCTGGACAAAAGTGTCTGTGTGTCATTAATCAGGTGAGGATGGCCCTTTTTTTATGGTCAGATCCTCCGAGGACTACTATCATGATATGTGAGAGCTCCTGTGTTGATCCAACCCACTTACACTGACACTCTTTTAATCATATTTGTTATTGTGCTGTTAGTGCAAGAGGATTGGATTATGGTGGTTATATTCAGAGGTTTGGACACCTCACAAGTTTTATTATTGTATTTGTTGATTTTATTAGTTTTTATGCTTAAATTCAAAAGTAGGTTTCGTTAGTTCTTATGCTTTATTTTAAAAAAAAGAGGTAAAAACTTCATTCACTGGATGGCGAAATGTGAAAGTTTTGATAATATGTACCACTAGGATGATCTAAGATTATCATGCCAGCTCATCATATCCAATGCTTAATATTTCACTATGTCAAACTTTTATAATTATGAAAAAAATATGTAGAGAGAGTAAAAACATTTTTCCCTATTGATTGTAAGAATTGTGTAAAATAATAATATTGTAATAAAATAATAAACAATTGTTGCAACTTGAACAATGTTTTCACGTTTATTTGCAGTTTTGAATCATATATGTTTCATAAAATTTGAAAATAATTGAAAAATATTTGATTGGAGTATTGATTTTGAACTTTGAACAATTTTGTATGATTAGAATCAATGTATCAAATCACTATTTTTGGTCAATTTAAGTCATATTAATAAATAACAAAGATTATATTATAAACTATGTAACTGCATTATCATTCAGTAGATCCAAGACAAGTGTTCAAGTAAACGAACTGAATTTCATTGAAAAGATCATATGTTACAAAATATAAATAAAAATTTTAAAAATAACTTTTTTTTGGAAAACAAATAAATGTCTCAATATAATTTATTATAACCTGCTATTTTGAGTTTCAAGTTTGGTTTTGTGACCAAAAGTAGGTTAGATGGTTTCAAATCAAAGTGACAAACATTTTTTGACCTAAGAAATTCAAGGCCCAACGCCAGTTGCTGCATAAATCTTTTACAGACTTTTTCCGGGAGTCTCTGGCGTTTTTGTATGAACTGGGAAAGGTCGCCGCCATCACAAAATTCTAGTATAATATAGATGTACCTGGAATGAAAATTTTTTTTATAACTTTTGAAATTGAAGAGTGGAAGTAAAGATAGAAAACAACAAAAATTGAAAAAATGACAAATTATTACATATGTCTGTTATAAAAATAGGGGTAAGTAAATACATTGATTTAACACATTAAACAAGCACAACATAAACAATACAAATCTGAAACAATGAATTACACAATAACATTTCGACCCTAAACAAGCAGAACCAAAACATACTAAATGAGATCGTTAAAAAAACACCGGAAGATAGTTCCAATGATTTTCAGTTTAGGTTTGAAGAAAAAAATTGGACATATGGCAGAGTCAAACACAAGGTCGACACTGTTGGTTCATCCTGGCGTCTACTGAGGTTTCCCACATAACCCTTACTGGAATGAAGCGTCACCATGAAGGTAATGTAAGAATATGTGTTTTCCTCCCTCTACTACGACTCTTTCCTGCATCGCAGGGACACCTTGAGGTGTTACTTGATCTCGACTGAATTTCGTTTATTGTCAAGGACCTTTTCATGGGAATTTGTACTTTTCAACATTTCCTTATCAATTTTTTTATTACTCTATAATTATTCATCTACCATGATAACATATGTCTTTTTTCCCATCTAATAATATGATTTGATACAAATTATATTTACTGTGCACAGTGTGTTTAATTACTGATTAACCTAGATTGGTTTTGTTAAAATTCAAAAAAAAGGCTAGATTTAATTGAATAATAAATTCAGTACCAGTTACAGAATTTATTTACTTTATTAAATGAAAATTCATTTTTTAGAAATTAAAGGTAAAATTGTTTCTTTTTATACCTTCCCTTTTATATTATACATTTATTTATCATTGGTAAAAAGCAATAGATTTTTATTATAACATTTTATTATTTACTTTACACTTTCAAAATGTTTAGGATAAGATTGATTTATTACTAAAAATTAAAATAATAATAATGAAATAAATGAGAGCTGTGCAAAAACTGTACACGGCAAAGACCATTACATTATTTTTATTTTAATGTCATGCTGTACTGTGAAAAAATTATGTAAAAGTAATTCCTGTCATATGAGGGTTTAATAGGGTGTAGGCAAGGGGTCAAATTTTATAATACTTTTGTATTATGATCAATTACAAAGCCATGGGCTACGTCGGGATTCGAACCCATAATATCAAGTGCAGCAAATATGATCGGACATCTTAACTCCTTGAAAAATTAATCAAATTCTCTAATCAATTTACCATCCCTAACTTGCAAGTTAAAAAGCTAGCCAAAGAACAATACTCACAGTAAATAAAATTTCTGCTTTCATGAAATACCCATTTGTCGTTCTATTCAAAAGCTGTTATTTTGTGAGTGTGAGTATAAGGTATAAACTAGAATAAACATACTTTTCATCCCATTGGAAATCTTTCATTTCAACAATGTATTCATTATGAAGAACTTCCTTCATGAGCTTGATCTCCTTGACAACATTTTCTTTCCCTGACTGCGACAGCCTGCTTCTCTCTATGCATTTTACTGCCACGTATTCGTTGGATTTCTAAAAGAGAAAAACTAATTGACATGTTGAAAAAAAAATTGATTTGGGGGAGGGTTATTATAGGTAAAAATACAAAATAACTCAGTTACCTTATTTTAGTTTTTATTTGTGATTTTTTTTTAATATGACAGATACAGTACAATAAGAAAAAAATCATAGTTGTATTTTTTATATTTGTGCATGAAAAGTTAAATAAAAATTTGAACCAGCCATTTTCAAAAATCAATTTCCAAATCAAAGTAAATACTTTGGCAGTAATAATGAACATTGTCATTACTGACTATCTTGAGTTTATTTACTTTCGGCATGTGCGCTCTGTAAGGAAATATTTTTCTTTGTTACTGTGACTGACAACAATTAACTGGATGATAATGTAACAATGAAAAATTCTGTTATCAATGTTAGATAAGCAAAGGTAAATTAAACAACTGTATTCTTATTGCTTGTTTAGAAGGATTAAAATGTTTTGAAAAGATTTTTTTACATGGGAAACTTCTTTTCAATTTGTCAGCATTTCAAATCAAGATCTAAGAGTAGCTTATGCTTTATTATTTTTCCCAGTAATTTTTATCTTTCCTATAAACCAATGGCTATCCAAGTCACATTGGATGTTTATCTAATATGCATTTCTTTCTTCTTATACTGACAAATAAGCCAAAATAAATAGTGATTATTATGACGCAGATGATAAAGAAAAATATTTTGTTTGGGCTCAGGATAATAAGTACAAAAAAATCAAAGATATTGTCATTAAAATGTTCTGTAGGGGTGGCAGAGGAATATTAATTACTTCACAACCAACTATTGAGTAAATAGTACATAAATATTTAAGAATAAATGAGTGTGCCTAGGTTAAAAACTAATCTAGCTGTTGGAGCTAAATTTCATGAGAATGAGTTTATAATAAAATAAATAATATAATAAAAATGTTCGGTTTTTTGAGCCATCAGCAGGGTCACTTTTGTTAGCAGTTCAGTTATTCAAGTCAAAGTAAATTATCAATGCTCACGTATTTTATTCATTAATTTTATTTTGTTGGTTATTTATTGAACATTTCCAGTCTGCTTGTGTGTTTTTGTCATACACATCTTAACATTTCTTCATAAATGTCAAATATGTCAAAATATACACACAGGATGATCAAAGAGGATGAAATACTTTGTTCACTTAGGTTCAGAAACATAAGTAATGAGAAACAAATAATTTAAATTTATATTTAGTTATTCTTAAATTTCTTCTAATTTTACTCATAAACTTGGTTACTATTTTATTGAATCTTTTGATCATCACATTTTGGTCATGTGCAACTAGGTATTTTACCACTGGAATCCATCCATGGTATAAAGATGATCAAGGATGATGAAATAGGAAAATAATACTAACTCATCATTTCTCCATCAATGGAGGGAATGTATAAAAGTACCCAGATGATGAAGGAATAATATTTTTATTAACTGTTATATCATGTCACATTAGTTTTGGTTACTCACATCTCAGCTTTTCTCCTTCAATGAATGGAATGTCCAAAAGTACCTAGATGATCAAAGATCATATAATATTAGTTTTGGTCATGATAATAGCATTCCTCCATCAATGGAAAGTCCAAAAGTACCCAGATGATGAGTGTTTTGCTTGTGTTCAGAAAAATGTCTGACTTTCTTGAAACATTAAACTTCTTTGAATATCGTAAGTTAATGTCGACTGGATTTATACTATTAGCGAAAGACAACAAAACAAATAATTATCAACATTGGTAAAACAGCTGATAAAAAGTTGGTCTGAGGAAGGCTTAACTTTTAACTTTTTAACTTAACTTTTTTTTTTTAAATACAGTCTGTACTGGAAGTTGCTGTTGTGAAAATTTTCTTGCTTTAACTTTAATTTTATTTTACTGAAATTTTGATTACCACAGTTGTCATGCACATTTTGCTCATGCACAACTCAGCATTCCACCATTATATAGTTGCAGCATCCAACAGTACTCAGATGATTGTAGATAATGAAAAAGGAAAATAAGTAAATAAAAACTAAACATACAAAATTAACTTTTTTTTTGAGTTGTCAAATCATGTCAGATTTCTGAGCGGTTCAGTCACTCAAGCTAAAGTAAGCAATGGATATCGAAACATTTTCATGCTCTTAAAATGTTCTGAACAATTTTTTTTTATGTCAGTTCATATCACATTAATTTTGGTCATGCAGAATCATTGAAAGGAATGTTCAAAAGTACCCAGGCGATGAACGAATATATATGTACATTACTTAGGTGTTATGTCACGTTAGTCAGTGGTCGTTCAAGTCAAAGGAGAGTTTGATATTACTAAATTTATTCATTAATTTTATTTTATTGAATTTCTGGTAATCTCAATCTCCCCTTGAAATGCATATTGGCCATACTCAGCATTGATCTAACACACAAATGCAGCATCTAACAGTACTCAGGTGATTAAAAAAGATCAAAACAAAAAAAAAGTATGTCCTTAGATTTTTTTAAACTGTCAGATAATATTACATCAGCTTTAGTCATGCACAGCTCAGCATTTTTACATCAATGAATGTTATGTCGAAATGGATAGGATCCAAAGGAAAGTTAGCACCACAGTCATTATTGTCAAATGAAATTATTCATTCTACAAAATTTATTCATTCCTTTTTTTATTGAACTTTAGTTAGACATTTTGGTCACGCACAGCATTGCATTGCTTCATCATAAGAAACAACATCCAATAATACTCAGATGAGCAAAGATGAAAATAGAAAAATAAGTACAACTTTAGAATTATTATTATTTTTTTTTTTTAATATCAGATCATATCACATTAGTTTTGGTCATGCACAACTCAGCATTTTTACAACAATGAATGGAACGTCCAAAAGTATCCAGATAATGAAGAAATTTTTTTTACCTATCAGATCGTCACATTAGTATCACAGTCATGACTCATCTTCCAAAATCTATTCATTCCTTTTTTTATTGAATTTTTGTTAAACATTTTGGTCATGCACAGCACTGCATTGATTGAGCATTGAAACAGCATCCAAACATACTCAGATGATCAAAGAAGATCAAAATAGAAAAATAAGCATGTCTTTAAAATGTCCTATAATTTTTTTTAATCTTATCACATTAGTTTTGGTCATGCACAACGCAGTATTTTTCCAACAATAAATGGAACATCCAGATATACCTAGTTGATGAAGGATTTTTTTTTAAGTATCAGATTTTCATTATTTTTGTTTTAGTGAATGTTTGATCATGTCAGTCTACTTCATGCACATTTTGGTCATGGAAAACTCAGCATTGTTCTAATGAATGCAATATCCAAAGAGTATTCAGATGATCAAAGATCATGTCATATTAGTTTTGGTCATGCCTAACAGCATTTCTCCATAAATGGAACGTCCAAAAGTACCCAGATGATGAGTGTTTTGTTTGTGTTCAGAAAAACAAGTCATACAATGAGCTTGGTCATTTACTTTCTTGAAATATTAAAAATCTCTGAACATTGAGATAAGGAAATATTGTATTTTTATTTTTAAGAAAGTACAACAAAAGAAATGATTAGGAGCTATGATAAAACAGCTGATAAAAATTTCGTCCGGGGAAGGCTGAACTGTTTTTTTTTTTTTTTTTTTTTTTTTACGAATGTTTGTAGAAACTGTAAGTTATTGTTGTGAAAGTTTTCCATCCTTCGCAACAGCAACTTTAATCAAGGTTGATTTGACAGGATTGAATTTGTTGTAAAGTATGTTGAAAATTTACCAAATCGATGGCTTTAACGACTTGAGCGTAGCTCCCGTAGCCTATTTCACCGACGTACTTGTAGCCATCGAGTTCCAATCGGAAGCTGGAAATGCTTTTCGAAGAGTTAAATGACATTTGTTTGTGAGTCGCCCCGAGAGGGAATTGTCCGTTGTCGACAAAAGTTGAAACCCTCCCCGACTGTTAGACTCGCGACCTCCTTTATCCGAAAACGGTTCGCGTCCGTCGAAGAGGATCTCACAGAAATCTCATTCGGACCGTTTTATCCGTCGACTTTGTCCGATTTCTTCCGAGTTTTTTTTCATCCTGGTAAAAATGACATTTTCCGCCGGTGCCTTCTGCAGGGGGTCCGCGTCCGTGGGTGACGTCAAGGGCGCCTCGCTCCGTGGTGGGGGTGCAGAAGGGTCGGATTCAGTCGAGATTAAGACAGGTGCCTCTGATGTTATTTGAGTGCGACGGAAACTTTTCAAGGAACGTCGACGGAAAGTCAATCGCCCTCCCCGAGTGCAAAAACACCCGAGGCAGCCCCGTCTAGCGTTTTTATAAACCGATACCCGTAATATATAACTGCTCTAATTTTAAGTGATGGATTCAGAGGAGGAGACTCTTTACGACGATGTCGACTCTGGGAACGAATCCAGCGGAGACGACGTTGACTTTGCCATGGAAGTAGAGAGCAATAACGCGAGAGAGAGGCAGCCGGAGATCGACGACTACCCGTTTGAAGTCCTCTCGACGGAAGAGATCGTCCAGCATATGATTGATTGCATTAAGGAAGTCAACACGGTCGTCGAGGTGAGCACTTTTTTCATTTATTATAATTTCAACCGCCTCCTAGGTTACCTTCCTCATATCCAAGTTTTATTTCTAGTGCTAATAATACTATTTTTATATTTTGATCACCAAGGTTGATTATTGGGACTAAACAGTCCTTGACTCCTCATATACTTTCTATTACAGATTCCCTCGTGTTATAATCCTTTGTTATTATTAATCATGTTTTGTTTATAAAAAATGATAAAATATCACTATCGGTAGGTGTACATATGATTAAAGCGATAACCGATTCATTCAAGGCATTAGGTTATGCATAGTAAAGATGTACACACAGCCTGTGACATCACTGACCCCTCTGGTCTTTCCTTTTCTGGACGTTTTCCCAAATTTTTATTTAGAAGAGACTGTAAACAGGTTATTTTTTCATGGGGGTGAACAATTTGTTGTGTCAGAACGGTGTAGTCATGCTATGTTTTCTGTGATGTTTTGCTCTTGGAAGTTTATATATTAAAACTTGTAACCCCCTCCCCTTCATTTAAAGAAATTCTAGGTCAGGTTTTCCGATGTTTTCTTATATTCCTCAGTGCCAGACATACTCGTAGGGTCCGAAACTCAATTAAACCCGTATAAAGCAAACTCAATGTTTGCTGAATGAGGAAATAGGCAAATGGGTTGTAAAAGAGTTAAGCATTAACAATAAAAACATTAAAACATTGACCCTCCACTGTTTTTATAGACCTTTTCCCAAATTTTTATTTAGAAGAGACTATAAACAGGATATTTTTTCATGGGGGTGAACAATTTGTTGTGTCAGAACGGTTTAGTCATGCTATGTTTTCTGTGGTGTTTTGCTCTTGAAGTTTATGTATTAAAACTTGTACCCCCCTCTCCCTTCAATTAAAGAAATTCTATGTCAGGTTTTCCAATGTTTTCTTATATTTCTTCCATCCAAGTGCCAGACATACTCTCACAGGGCTCAAAACTCAATTAAGCCCTTATAAAGCAAACTGCATTGTACGCTGAATGTGGAAATGGGCAAATAGGTTGTGAAATATGTAAGTATGAACTATAAAAACATTGACCCTCCATTTTATTTATGGAATTTTTCATGGGGCGAACAATTTTTTGTCACAATGTCATGCTGAAGTTGAATGTCATGAAGTTTATATATTAAAACTTGTAACCCCCTCCCCTTCATTTAAAGAAATTCTAGGTCAGGTTTTCCGATGTTTTCTTATATTCCTCAGTGCCAGACATACTCGTAGGGTCCGAAACTCAATTAAACCCGTATAAAGCAAACTCAATGTTTGCTGAATGAGGAAATAGGCAAATGGGTTGTAAAAGAGTTAAGCATTAACAATAAAAACATTAAAACATTGACCCTCCACTGTTTTTATAGACCTTTTCCCAAATTTTTATTTAGAAGAGACTATAAACAGGATATTTTTTCATGGGGGTGAACAATTTGTTGTGTCAGAACGGTTTAGTCATGCTATGTTTTTTGTGGCGTATTGTTCTTGATGTTTATGTATTAAAACTTGTAACCATCCCTTCATCTAAATAAATTATAGGTCATATTGTCCATTTTTCTTTGTTTTTTAATATTCCTTCCAATCAAGATATAATTTGGTTTGCAATCCATCCAGTTTCAGTCAATGCCTAGCTGCCTTTTATTAAAAAGGGAGGGGGTCAAAAATTAAAATCTTCCAGAATCAATGGATGTTTTAAAAATATCAAATGTTGAATATCTCATAATTCGATATTCACTGACCATTTACACTTTATTGTTGTTGACATTTTCCCATTTTTTACTTAGAAAAGACTGAATAAGCAGTTTACGTTTGGATGGGGTGAATAATTTGGATCCATTTGCGTCACCACAGTGGATTTGTTCTATTATTTCTGTGATGTTTTGCTTTTGAAGTTTTATGTATTGAACCATGTTACCCTTCCTCTTCAAGTAAAGAAATAGGTAGGTCAGTCTTTAGCTTCATGCAGGTCTGGGAATGCACAACACATCAATAGTAGTTTACCAAAACATGTTATCCTAATGATGGTTTTAAAAAGAAAGGAACAAATAAAACAATGAGCCAAACTCCCAGACAACAACTCAGTTAAGCTAACTTATAAAGCCAAACTGTAGTGGATGCTGAATGGGGGGAATGGGTAAATGGGTTGTGAAAGATGAAAGCACAAGCTATGACAACACATTGACCATTCAATTTCTTTTTGTGGACCATTTTCTAAATTTCTGAGGCATCATGCTGAAATTTAATATGTCAATTTGAAGATTTTATTAATTTAGCTTCATACATTCCTTTCCTTTTGAATGACAAAATTCTCTGTCATATTTTCCAAAATTTTCTTACATTCCTTCCCTTCATGATATAATTTAGTTTGTAATCCATTCAATTTCAGTCAAAGCCAAACTTGCTCAAAAAGGGTTGGCAAAAATCGAAAACTGCCAGGATTCACAGATCTTTAAAAACAATCAACATTGTTCCATTCATTGGTCAGTTCAATTTCAATCACAGCTGAACTTGTTTAATAGAGTTAGCGAAAATTGTCAGGATCGACAAATGTTTTAAAACTGTCAAATATACTTAGAATTAATTCACTACTTTCGTGGTCCGCGTGACCAATTAATACATGACAATTAATTAAGGCTTTTAGTTGAGATGAAAAAAAGTTAATGGCACGAGCGGAATTCGAACCCACGATCTTCAGCTAGATACGCCGCTGCTCTACCACTTGAGCTATCGTGACCTCGATCCACTCAGACATCAACTACCTATCAAACTCATAAGGTGGGGTTGAGATAGGAAGTTGATGTCTGAGTGGATCGAGGTCACGATAGCTCAAGTGGTAGAGCAGCGGCGTATAAGATCGTGGGTTCGAATCCCGCTCGTGCCATTAACTTTTTTTCATCTCAACTAAAAGCCTTAATTAATTGTCATATACTTAGAATGTTGAGAAATGTTACAGGTTACCACTTAAGAAATAATGTGTTTGACAGTCGTCTGGGAATGCATGACACATATCATAGAATGTTTATCTAATGTGTATGAGGAATTGGCTCACAGGATGAAAACTGCAAAGTATGCTGAAGACTGGAATTGGACAAATGGAATGTGAAAGATGTTCTCACGATCTTTGACAACTTTGACCTCTCTGGTCTTTCATTTTCTTGTAATTTTTTTAACTCTCAGGACTTTTTGTTAATCAGAAGAACATTTTCTTTCCGTTTGTGTATCAATGAAGGATTCATGCTGTCCATTTTATGTTGTTCAGAATTTTATATTGACATATGGTTAGGGATGGTTAGGATATTGACATATGTATGTTATATAGACATATTTCAACCACTATAGAAGTAATTTGTTTGGAAATCGATTTAATTTCAGTCCCAGTCAAACATGTTCAAATAGTGCTTGAAAAAGTTAACAACTGTCTGGATTGACAGATTAAAAAATGCTATATGTGGAGCATCTTATATTCAGTAGGCTGAAATGTTTGGTCTCATTGTCAGATGGAAGTTAAATGTTAAGGGTTCATCATTGATACCCTCAAGAATTTAAAAAACAGAAAAAATGCAAAATTTATTGTTAGTTCCCTTGTTGCCTGGTTTAACACAGCCCCTGTTTTCATCACGATTGCCAGATCTTGGTTGAAAGTTATTGCTCATGTAATGCTAAATACTAATGGAACTTGACTGAGTCACATTTTAATATGTAAAACAATTAGGCCAAACAACACTTTTTACCCAGGATCAACGGACATAGCTATTTGTCAATTTTCAGTATTAAAAAATAACAGTCATAGTTTAAGAAAAGTTAATTAATAAAAGTATATTACTTTTTGTGTATTAATATGTGCATATTTTAAAGTAACAGTTTAAAGCGATGTCTTCATTATTTTATTTATTATTGTTTTTTTAATAGAGATTTGTGTCGATATTTTAATTTTATGAGTATACATTTATTTCTTTTTTATTGTTGTCAAAGATCCCGGCAACAACTACTCGCATTCTCCTAAATCACTTCAAATGGGACAAAGAAAAGCTGATGGAAAGATTCTATGATGGAAACCAGGAACAGCTTTTCTCCGAAGCGAGGGTAGTCAATCCTTTCACAAAGCCACCCGTCATCACAAAACCAAAGGTAATGTTTTTAGGATTGTTAGACATTGACCGATTTTTGAAAGTCATTTCGTTTGAAATGCTGAAGCTGGTTATTAAGAACTCAAGTTCCTAACTTTTTCAGGTATTGAAACAGTCAAACTCTGGAACCGAAGACTGTGAAATATGTTATATGGTGCTGCCTGCTCCGGTGAGTTCTCTAAATTTAGTTCGTCACTTTTCTCTATCCTTTGATGATTCAGTTGAAAAATATACAACTGAAAAGATGTACAAGGATATTAATTATCACTAAACCACTAATATATTATAAACACTAGGTGCTATAGCATTTTATTAAAACAACATTTTCAAAATTAATAGGATGAAAGAAAATAAATTATCAAGTGTTCAAATTAATAAATTTATTATTTATATGATATTAATTATTATTTGCATAATAGAAAATAATAAATGTCTGTTATTCAATATGCAGTGAAACTTCCATTTTGACACCTCCCTTGAACAGACAAATTCTTATTCCTCGGTGTCTTTCCATTAGTTTCTTTATATATAATCTTCTAAAAAGTAGATACTCCCAATCCTGGACAGTTTATTTACATCTGCAATCTGTCTTTAAAACTCTCCCAAAAGCAGACGACAGCCTCCAGAAAATAAAGGTGCTGTTTGCCCTATGTGTTTTGTTTGCCATCCAATATTTTCCTAATATTCCTATATTTAGATTATACCAAAAACATGGTTAGGTATTTCTTCAACATGTTTGACACTAAGAAAAAAATTAATATAATTAAAGTAAAAAAAAAAAAACTAAGTGTGCAAGACTTGGTTGAGAAGTTTTCCAACAGAAAGATCCAGGCCAGTGAAAATCTAAAGAATAAAAAGGAACTTTTAGATAAATTATATAAATGTGGAAATGATCAATCCCACTGGTCTTTTCCCAAAAATATCTGGTTTGGCCTGGACAAGGGTATATTTGAATGGTCTTGCCATGCTTGTAAAATGCCACTGTCTGTTCCATTTATCCATGAAAAAGTCTCAGAAGCTGCAAAACATTTCAGGCAAATAGATTTTAAAGCATTTTCAGGTCTAAAAATCTAAAAAATTGAAGGTGTCAATATCTTGTAATCTCCATTGTGGCCCATCTTGTAATATTAATTTTTTTTCACTTTTATCTCAAAAAGTTGGGATGAAGTTACACTGTAATAATTGGATAGAAATTATAATCCAAGTTCTTGCTGCTGACATTTACTAGATACATTTATGAACTTATTTTTAATCTAATTAACAATAATTACTAATTTTAATTGTGAAATCACATTATTTAAAAATAAAATAACAATCAAAGCCTTGACCTGGATTTCTTAAAATATGTCAAACTTTACAATGTACAGCCTTCAATTGATTACATTTGCAATAATCGAGAGATCTACTGACTTGTAGAAATTGCCTCTGTTATCAAGCAAGTTAATTTACAAAAAGAATGTGAATTTTGAACTAATTACAGGGAAAAGTCAGTAATTGTTTTAAAAAAATTAAACAAACAAATCTGTAATTTGGTTTGTAACTTGTGTAAATTATACACTATCTTCAAAAAGCATGATTCCTATAAAGCAATTGTTTATTTTTCAATTTGGTGAAAACATTTTTATACTGATATTCAGTTATATTATATATGATATACAAAATATAACATTTTTATCTTTTAGAATTTATACAATTATATCAAGTAAATCGAATAATCATTAGTCTATATTGAATAATTTTCTTAAAAAGTTTTATAATATGGAAGTAAAAGGCATATTGTTCCCTAATTGAGAGGTTTAAACTTTCAAGATGATGACTGGGCTGGAGTGTGGCCACAGGTTTTGTACTCAGTGCTGGGGCGAATACCTCACCACGAAGATCATGGAAGAGGGCGTAGGCCAAACTATTGCCTGCGCAGCTCATGCTTGCAACATCCTTGTTGACGATGCCACCGTAATGCGCCTTGTACGAGACTCCAAAGTCAGGCTCAAATACCAGCATCTCATCACAAACAGCTTTGTTGAAGTATATATTTATTTTTTTTAATAATCAGATTATAATATCACTTATTTAAAATGTGTTTATTGACTTGATAATCCTTGATCATTGTGCTCTGCCAGTTCTCACAGTTTTAGTCTGTCAGGTGTGTTTCTGCATCTTAATTGCTGAGCTGTGTGTTACCTCAATTGAGTCCCTTGTGGCGGATTCCTAGATATAAACAAATGACAAAAATGAAATTTTAAAAATTAATACTAAGCTTAAATATTGTATTTTTCTGACAAAAAAAAAAAAAGTGGAGAAATACCGTAACTAGTATTCTAGACTGATCAAGGAAGGTCAAGCTTCATGTTCATTACCCTCAAAACTTCACAAATTTATCCTATCCCATATCTTTTGACTGCTGGTCCTTAAATGTATTGTTTTGTTTTGTTTTAGTGTAATAGGTTATTGAGATGGTGCCCATCACCAGACTGCAATAATGCAGTAAAGGTGTCTTACGTTGAGGCACGACCGGTAATGTGCAAATGCTTGCACACTTTTTGCTTTGCATGTGGAGAGAACTGGCACGATCCTGTCAAATGCCATCTCTTGAAGAGATGGATTAAGAAGTGTGATGATGACTCGGAAACTTCAAACTGGATTGCAGCCAATACTAAAGTAATGAATATATGTTTACGGTTTGGTATAAATCTGGGTTTTTCATTTTTCTTGTCTTTCTAGGAATGTCCAAAATGCAATGTCACGATTGAGAAAGATGGAGGTTGCAACCATATGGTGTGCAAAAATCAGAACTGTAAGGCTGATTTCTGTTGGGTCTGCCTTGGTCCCTGGGAGCCACACGGTTCTTCCTGGTAAATGTTTTGAAATGTAAACCCCTACAATGATAACATCGTCAATTTGTTTTACCTTTTTCAAGGTACAATTGCAATCGATATGATGAAGAGGAAGCCAAGGCTGCTAGGGATGCCCAAGAAAAATCTAGAGCCGCTCTTCAACGGTATCTATTTTACTGCAATCGCTATATGAACCATATGCAATCGTTAAAATTTGAACATAAGCTGTACGCATCCGTTAAGGAAAAAATGGAAGAGATGCAACAGCACAATATGTCCTGGATAGAAGTGAGATTCCACTTCTCTTACAGTGTTAAGAGATAGGTTTTAATTTTTGTTTTCCTTCTTCAGGTTCAGTTTCTGAAACGGGCTGTCGATATATTATGCCAATGTAGACAAACCCTTATGTACACTTACGTGTTTGCCTATTACTTAAGGAAAAATAATCAGTCAGTTCTCTTTGAGGTAAATAATATAAAAATTGATTATGTTTTGTTGTTATAAAATTTTAAAAAAATTCTACTTTATTCCATACTTTCAGGACAACCAAAAAGACTTGGAAAGTGCAACAGAAACATTATCAGAATATTTAGAAAGGGACATTACTTCTGAAAATTTAGCTGATATTAAACAAAAAGTGCAAGACAAATACAGGTATGTAACTTGAAGTAACTATTTTTTCTATTGTTTATTGATATTTTTGAAAATCCTAAAAAGAAAATTGCGTTGAAGTTTTTACTGATTTATTAGTTCACTCTATTGTAAAGAAATTCCTGCCAAACAGGGGAGCTTTATGTTCAGATAACTGTTGAGTGTCGTGAACGAAGAGTATACTTCACAATACTTTTTCACATTATTTACAATCAAAAATCACATTTTTTTTAAATATTAGATCAATTAAAAAGTCATGGGTTATGACAGGAATTGAACCCAAAACTGCTGGTCCTAACCTCTCGGCCACTACAGTCTTCTTAGTTTACTCTGTTGTTGAACCAAAAATATTTAATGACAATTCAATAATGAATGAACAACTGTCATCAGCACAGTGATCAAAATGTTTATATTCAATAATTTATTTGAAGTAAATGTTTGTAGAAACTGAATGAAATTAGTCATGGTGGAAAGCGATTTCTGAACTATGTGATCTGGTAATCTAGTTGTTCTACCCCCCCCCCCATTTAAACCCTGTCAGACAGATCACAATCGTTTCTGTTCTTATTTTGTCGTGACGATAAGCAATCTGATTGTATAAAATCACAGATTGCCTGTACAATAGCACCGATCTTACTGCCTTTGGTTCTCTTTAGGTACATTTAGAGTTAAGTAAATAAGTAGTTTATCAGAGACTGTGAAGTGACAGTGGCCATGCAACTATTTAGTTGCTTAACGTCGACAACAGATATTTGCCATGCGATCTCTACTCTGGTGGTGAACTAACAGCTCCCAACACTATAGTCGCCGGTCATGCCTTTCACATCCTTTTGTGTGAGTGTCTGTGCATATTTACTTGTGTGCACATTCATGGCATGTTTTTTCCCCCCAACATTTTTGTCTGTTGCATGTGTAACCTTTTCAGGACTGATTTTAAGATGCTAAAATGCATTCCCCTGCCTATTCTTGGTCACTATATGACCCCTAGCCTAACTTATTTTACATTTTGCATTGAAATTAAGCACTTACATCAAATCGCTCTCAGCATTTTTGAAGTGCACCAATTCCATTCAAAATTTCACTTGGCAGACAAGAGGCAAAAAATCAGAAAGACAAAAGGGTAGATGGTCGGGAAGGGAAGAGGATTGGGATGGGCAGGGGCAAGAGGTAGACAAAGTAGTACATTCCCAATGAGAGGTAGATGTGACTGAATCGTTTTCTAGAAAAATAATTGTGTTGCAATTCACAAACATTTTATAGAGGCCATTTTTTGTTCAACTTACACTCAACAACATTATACATTTTTTTGTTAAATACTGTTGTGAAAATTACTACAGTAGAAGTCCGTTTATCTGGACTTGAAGGGACCGGGACTTGTCAGCATCAAAAGTTTGGATAATCCAAAAATTTGAGATTTTATTAGGATGTCATAAAATCGGACTTACAACATACAAAACATACAAAAGTGTACTCTTTTATTCATACATATATCAGTTGCATTTAATAAAGTAATAGATAGTCTTTTATTGTTGTTTATGTCCGGACTCGCGTTTCGTAAAAAATTTCTATGTAAAAAAATACCTGATAAAAATACATGTAATAAAAAAAACTCTTCGATAGTAACCAACATATGAACAACATGACAGCAATTTCTAGTCTTTTAAAATAGGATAAACCTTTTTTTTATTTTTAATATATTTTTTTAAATCTTATTTTTTAACAAAAACGTGAACATTGGTCTTTCTAATTGTGTGACTTGTGGAAGGGCGATTTGGTGGCCTTTACGAATTTCGAACAACGAATTAAAGGTCCCATAGTTGAATTATGATTTTTTTAAAAATTAATATACATACATAAAGAATTATGAAAAATGTGTGGTGGTTAGTGACCGTTTGTCGATGATTATTAAGATAAGTGATATGCTGTCTGGTGTGATATAAGTTTCAGAAAAACATTTTCTTTATCGTGCCAACGTTTCGATCTTTATCGAGATCATCTTCAGGGCCTGGGATTTACAAACATTGTTTAAATTTAACAAAAACATGTAGGATGTGGAAAAAAGTGAATTTATACAATGCAAATAAATATTTTTTATACTCAATCAAAGTGTTTGTTTTCTGTGTAATTGTGCCATTCTTGTGTGTCGTGTTGAGAGTGCCAGTGAGATATTGCTGTTTTATGTTTATATACATTGGATTTTGATGGGGTGGGGAAGGAAGTCGGTTTAGAAAGACATTTTTGTATAAGGAGTGAAGCTGACTGTCTGAGTAGAAACACTATGATTGAATATAAAAAAATATTTATATGCATTGTATAAATTCACTTTTTTCCACATCCTACATGTTTTTGTTAAATTTAAACAATGTTTGTAAATCCCAGGCCCTGAAGATGATCTCAATAAAGATCGAACGTTGGCACGATAAAGAAAATGTTTTTCTAAAACCTACATCACACCAGACCGCATCTCACGAGTTCTGAATAATTATGAAAAATTTGTAAATAATATTTTAACAAACGGGTCCGGATAAACAGGTTTCCACTGTATATGTGACTGCTCTATATCACAGACCTCCAATATGACCACTGGATCCCTTTCTGCTTTACCAGACCTCGGCTTTTTATATTGAATAAAATATAAGATTTTTTAAATTTAATTAATTAGTTAATGTTGTAATAAAGAAAATAACTTTTCTTTTATCATTGTTCATCTTTGCAGGTACTGTGAAAGTCGGCGTAAAGTATTACTAGAGCACGTTCATGAAGGATACGAGAAAGATTGGTGGGACTACACTGAACAGTGATTATAGGTTTTTAAAAGACAAGTGTGATATTCTAGTGTGGACGTTAACACACTTAGCATTAATTTAAAATATATACCTACCGATAGAAAATAAGTGTACAGAACTGTTTAAAAAGAATATATTTATATATTATATAACATATACATATATATTCCATACAAATAATGTTGAATATACATGTATAGTAGATATAAATATTTTATATGTAATAATTGGAAAATTTTTAAAACCTATGTAAGTAATTGTGTTTTAATAACAACTTGTGATCATTTTTCCTTTTATTTATATATATTATTATTTTATTATTATTAATTTTTTTTTTATATGGTTAGTCAGAAATTCCTCATATATTTTCAAAGTGCCGATTTAACAAAAATAAATATAAATAAAGCACGCTTCATGTAAATTGTAGTCACCAGTATGCAATTGTACTGGCGGTAATGACGGTTATTATTTTATGATCGATGAAATAAAGAAAAAAAATTGTATATAATGATGTATGTAAAATAAAAATGGTTATGTACTGTTGTAGTTAGAAAACAAATTTTATTGAACTGAATACAATTTTTTTATTAAATTTAAAATAATGAGTCGTTATTGTTATAATTTGATTGAATTCAAGTTTTATTTTATTAATTTTTCTAATTCTCAGGGTATTACAGATTTAAAAAATACATAATATATTATTATGTATACAATGTTTTCTTTCAGTATTTAGCTATCACTTGTGTAACCCTTTAAAATAATTATTAAGAATCGCCTTGTTGCATTTTTTCTTCCTTTAATATTAAGAATAAATAATAATAAATAAAAAAGATCTGATAAAATTACGTTTATTTTGCTTTGTAAAGGAAATTTATTTTTTAATAAAACTTTAGTAAAAGACACAATTGCTATTGAAAATAATGATATAAAAAGTAGAGGACAATTTATTTTATTTTACTTTCTTTCATTTTTTATTACTTTTTTTTTGTTCATATAAAATACAACTGAAATTGAATGGCATTGGCAAGGAAATTTGAAATTGCCACTAAACAATATTGTTGGTTTAAAAAGATTTATTTTATTGACTAGTCATAAATGTTTTTAGTATATTTCTTATGTTGTTATTGATTTAGTTAAACTAACGAAATTATCAAGAAACTTGCCTTCATTTTTCTGAATAAATTAATTTCTTTAAGTGTGCTCGTCTCATTTGTTTTGTTAATTTTTGTCACTACACTCCTGGCATATTAAAAAATAAATTTGCTAACTGATTCTGTCAATAGAAAATCTCTTCTTGTGTATTTTATTGTTATAATGTTTGTGAATGTTAATTTATTTTATGTCTTTAATTTTAAAAAAGGTTGTGGTGCAAAAAAAGGGAAAACAATGGTGTAAAATATCATTGTTAAAGCCAATTAACTTTTTTTAAATAAATTACATATTTCTTTTAAATTCAAATGTTACATAATTTTTCCAAGCAAGTTAAGTAACATTTTACAAATTTTTTGTTTTTTTACAATAAAATAATTAGTATGTACTTCATTCCAATTTTGTCCTTAAAAGTTACAGTTTTCACTGAAAAAAAAAAAAAAATGTTGCAAAACAGATGAACAAAATGCAACATGTGTAGTGTAGATAGAACATTTAATGAAGAACTGTTTTAATTTTTTGTCAACTTCAATTTTTTAATTTATTGCCCAAATTTTGTTTTAGTACCACAATCAAAAATGGTTTTTTATCCACAAAGTAAAGCTTTGAAAAATTGTATTTATTTATATGAGTACAATGATGATGTGTGTAGTACCGATGCAAAACAAGCGGCTACAAAGTTCATAGCAACAACCATTGCAATAGCAAGGATGCATTACATTGAAGAAAATAATTTACACTACAATATAAGACACTTATCTTCCATGGATATTTTTAAGCAATTTTGGCCAAATATGTGTGAATTCACAATTTTTAACGCCATGCCTAAAATCGATGATTTCATGGCAAAACAATACAATTGGCTTGAATCTTGGCCCCACTCTTTAAGATATATTAATGAAGTCGTACTATGTGAGTACATTTCATATCATATTTTTGAAATTTGCTATGGGCCGGCACGTATATCATATCCGGTTGTTCAGGCTACATTTTCAATTTATTTCGTCTTTGGAGTAAACAAGCTTGTAGACCCTAATTCAGAATGTGCAGTAAGATATTTCCTTGAAGGATCTGATGAGAGATTAATTCCATGCAATAACGATAAAATAACAAAGTCCCAAATAAAATCGTTGCTTAAAAAAAAATTAGGCTTATCCTCTTTAATAATGCTCGGATCACAACCGGCACCGAAGCTCAGTGCTGAATTCAAAAGAGATTTTAAGAAATTTATCCAAAACAAAAAATGCATGCTACAAGAAATCACTATCCATAATAATGTCATATCCCCTGAAGAAATTTCTCTCTTTCCTTGTGATTTCTACGTCAAAACAAAAAGAAACTGTTTGTTCCATGAATATGTATGTCCGATAATCTATGACAGAAGAAGAGCATCTTTAGAACTGCCTCATGATAAATACACTTATGAAAATTTTATGAGATCGGGTTGGAAGCCGGGAGAAGAAAAATTTGTCGCTGAAGAACTGTCATCTTACACAGAAAGTTCGTTGTTTTCATCATGCAGTGAGGAATCATCTAAGGAATCGACGATGTCTGAGGGACCTTCTGTTGACACCCATGTGACTCCAGAAAACAAAGAATTGAGTCACGATATCAGCTTTAGTTTGTCAGAGATGGATTGGTATGGAGATGGAATGCCCCCATCATACTTGGATATCAATCAACCTTCATTGCAAGAAAATCAACAATAAAATTATTAATTTTGGATTATTTTATCAATTTATTTGATTATAAGGAAAATGACGTGGATCATAAACGATTGTAAATATACATATATTATTTGGAGATAATGAGATGTGGTATAACAGTCACTAAACACCACACGTTTATACATATATTGAGCATTTTTTGGGGGTGTCGGTAGCCCCTTTCTAGGGGTTGACACGGCACTCATAACTGTAAGGTAAAGGTCCCGGGTCCAAACCCAATAGCCCTGCATTTGAACCCAACATACAAATGGGCTTTTTTTCAAAAACATCAAACTTCGAGGATTCATATAGCCTCATAGTATATACTATAATAAAATACCCTCCTAAAAAAAAAAATTTTTACTTATTTCTTTATTTATAACTTCCTCCATAGAGGGAAAAATATTGATGAATCTTTATTGGGGGGGGGGGGGCAGAGCTTGAAAAAAAATGCAGGAGTGACAGAGGGAACCGAACCCACAACTGTAGGGTATACAAGCTGAATCTTTCACACTAACCACTCAACTACCATGGTCCCCCATGCAAATTAAATTCCTTGATTTTGCATTTGTTTGACACATTTGAGTAAAAACTATGTCATGACGGAACATCAGTTAACATTTTCAACATCTGATACATTTTATTAACAAGCAAAATTAATAAAATGCAATTTAAAAGATTGTTACAATAATTCTATTGATATCATAGAAAAGTAAAACTACAATTAAAAATTGTACTATTAATGTGTAAATAACCACATAAACGTAGATACATAGTTTAATGTTAAAAATTAAAATCTAAGCCATGAAAAAGAAATATATTCTAAATGTTGCCCCTTATTACCTTAATACCATTAGGCAATAAATTGCAATTAGTTTAATGTATTTATTTTGTAATAAACAATATCTACCAACATTTTAACAATTATAATATTTCAGTGTTTTACTTCACAAAACAAATTAATGCGTTAAGTTCGCAAAAATGGTTTTGTACTCATATTTTCCTTATCCTCCAGCTCGTCTTGGCAATCTATATGTAAGTCCAAGAGAAACTCGTGACAAGCATGAAAAGTCCGATTAAATTTTTTTTAGTTTTTCTTATTATGACATCACCATTTTTGACAGGTAGCATGTTTGTGAAAACATTTTCCTAAAAGAAAAAAGAAGGGGAAATGATAATCCTTAAAAAATGTAGTTTTGCTTTACTAATTACCTTTGTGGCGTTTTCCAAGAAAAATTTAAGAGTGTCTGTATTTTGTGAAAGGAATTTTCCAATGTAGGTTGCAGCCGAGGCTACCAGGGTTTTCTTACCGACGGTGTAACAGTATTCAGAAAGTTTAGCATAAAATGCAAACAAACCGGAAATTTTGATCCATGTTACCTTGTCAAAAACAAGATTGTTGGCAATTTTAACAAAACTCTGATACGTGAAGTTATTTTGTTCGCAAACATTTTTGACGATCCGATCAAGAAAACCGTTACTTTTCGCAATGTATTGTTCGATTGCTTCATTGATCTTTAAGAAATTGTCAGACATAACAGTTTTATCGTAAAAATAATACCTGATCACTTGATCTGTCAGGATGTTGCTATCGGTGACAAGCGAATTTTTCAGTTCTGTTAAATCCCAAGTTATCTGTTTAGCCTTGCTTTGTGAATGTTTGGCATTTAAAGCAGTCAGCAAATAATTCCAATTTAGAGCGTTTACACGTCGTTTCGCTTCACTCTTCTTATCAGCATAACACATTTGTGGAATTTTTAAATGCATTTTCCTTTTTTTAACAAGCAACAAAGTATAACTTATAACTGTTTGTTAACATATGGCAATATTAAACAGATACTGTGCAAACAAAAACAAAAAACTTTTTCAACAACCAAAGTCANATAAAATCATATATTAAAGTTATATAAAAAATTAAATAAATAAAATAAAGGATAAATATCAATATACAGACATTTTTTATTTATATGACAGTACAAATGAATTTCAAAATTTTCAGAGTTGTGACTAGTTTTGGCAAAATTTTAATGACCCACTGCCAATCATAATTGAATAAAATCATGTATTATTGGAATGACATGTAAATAAGACAAAAATCCAACTTCTTAATTAAATGATGGGGTATATATATTTGTAATTAATACATTAACAGATATTTAAAACGTTAAGAATGAAAAAGCACATAATTTATACTGTAAATTTGAAGGGGAAAATGTAATTTAAATACTAACAAACATGACATTTTCTCATTAAACAAGTTCTGTGCCATCATCAAGTTAAGATTTAAATTTTTTTTATACAATAAAAAACACAATGTTGCTAAGATGAAAGCAACTGATTAGTCTTTAACTAAAATGATTGATACACATATATTTAATTCTCAGAGATACAAATACAAATAATTAAAATGAATAAACTTGAAGATGAGAATGTTTTTTGTGTTTTTCTGATTTAATATCTTGATCTTCTTTTATCTCTAGATCTCCTTGGTGAACGGGATCTTCCTCTACTTCTACTTTTTGATCTGAAATATAAATATTTTAAAGAAAATAATCGAGAAACAATTCATTCGTTCAAAATAATTACCTTCGGCCACCGCTTCCTTTCCTCCTCCTGCTGTACAAGTACCTTCTGAGCTCCCTTGAAATTGGTTTCAAATGCATAAAATTGCAAAAACCACTTCGAGTACATTCTCTGAAATTATGTACAGGAGTAGTTATAGTACATTTATGTGTTGGAATAAATAAAAGAAAAAAAATGCCCTAACAGCTCAGGATGGTCTGTTTTCTTACCCCATTTCGTACTGCCGACAGCAAGCTTCTCTGAAGTCAGTGACGGGGCTTAACTCCGCATAAACTGGCCTTCCTCCAAACCATCTATTGTTCAAATCGTTAACAGCCCTCTCGGCATCCTCTTCCCGGCGAAACTATTTCAATACAATTGGAAAAAAAAGAGGCTATAATTTCCAAAACAAACATTGATAAAACATCTTATCTTGTGCATACTTTGATGTAAACATTTCCGACAAGGTGATCTCCAAGGTTGTCACAAACATTCATCTCTTCTATTTCTCCATACTAGAAAAAAAAAATTGCTATGCATAAAAAATTTAAAGATAAAAATCAGTAAACCTAATCAATGAGTTACAATTTTTGCAATCTTTCCTCGATCAAAAATTTCTGTTGGAGAAATAACCAGAAAATCTACCAAGTTGAGGGATTGAAAAGCAGTACCAATTTTTATAATTTATTATTAACAAAAATAAACTGTACTATTAAATAACAAAATACAAATACATATATACCTTATCTTCACACTCGACAAAGACATCTTCAAAAAAGTTGTCATAGTGCTCTTGCATTTCTTCATCTGATACATTGCTGACCACTAAAATACAGTTTTTTTTTTAAATTAGTTATGTGCTGAAAGTATATTTGCTATGGTTAACAATCTTAATTGTATTGTTTCACAAAATGGAAGGTGCCTGCCTGCACACTCCCTATTTGGAGCCAAGAACATTATTAAAATTGCTTTAGAAGCACAGAAGCAAGAAGTTTCTCAAATCATTAGTGAGAAAATACAAGCAAAATAGTTTCTTGCTGCCTAGCTGCTCGAGTTAATGAATGTATTTAATAGCAAGGATGATTTGAGAAGGTTAATAATAGAATATATATGGCACCATAAAGCAGTATAATCAATAATTGCAGTATAGGACTGAAAAGTATGTACGAACAAATAAAAATGTTTAAAAATTAAGAACAATGAAAAATCAATATTTGGCTTTATAATTTGCATTCCACCACACCAACAATAGTAATTTTTGATATGCCCAGATATACCTTTCTTACCTCTGCATAATCTGTCAATGTGTCAAACCTTAGCTCTGTATAGGGAGCAAATAGGCAAGCATCCAGCATGTACTTGAAAGAAAGTTTTTCTGTCTTCTATTTACTTTTTGGGCATAGTACAAATAGGAGTTCAACTATATTGTGCTTAATGTGTGTGAATATATTTATTAGTTAAAACACAGTGTGTCAGAGTCAATGGCAGACTATAATGAAGAGTGAACTTATGTTTCATTTTATGCATTGTACATACAAGAGGAACATCAGTGAAATTTATGTTACATGGTAAGGTAATATTGTTTAACTTATTAAAAAATAATAATAATAATAATACTTACAATGAGAACCGTCCGCAGATTTGGCTGAATTCTGAGGGTTGACATATAAGTTCTGTAGAAGAACGGTCTGTAAAATAACTTTGTATTATTTTTGGATTTTATTTCTAAAATAAATAAAACAATTCTTTTCTTCAGCTAGAAAGAACATGCACCTAACGTGGTCTTCTGCTAACTTTTGACATTTGTAAATTTAGAAGTGAATTACTGATTTGCAATGCCATTTCATTTGTCGCCGAGAATCCAATCTGATTACATGACATTTGAAAATGGCAAAAAGGAGGGAAAATTCAAAAAGGTGCGGTTGTAGATGGGAAGTTGGTGTCCGAGTGGATCGAAGTCACGATAGCTCAAGTGGTAGAGCAGCGGCGTATCAAGCCGAAGATCGTGGGTTCGAATCCCGCTCATGCCATTGACTTTTTATCTCAACTAAAAACTTTAATTAATTGTAATATATTAATTGGTCAAGCGAACCACGAAATTAGTGAACATTAAATTAATTTCAATTTTCAAGTTTATTCTTAATCTTATGTGAGCCATGCCATAAGGCACACTAAGTAAATCTTGGCCAGCAAAAGACAACCAACCGATTTGTTGGCAGTGATTCAAACTTTGGCAGTAACACCAAAAGGTTGATGTAGTTGACTGTGATTCCACCTGGCCAGATCCTTTGGCCCCAACCCCTTGATTTGATGAGGATGGTACAGGCGTTGGTGACTAACATTCAGCCCGATGTATTCGTTGCCTGAGATTTACTTAGTGCATATGTGCCTATAGAGGGAGATAAACCACAGAGACAAGTGAACCGCAATTTTCAAGTTGAATCATGAGGACATGCCTTTATGCTGAAAAATTTGGTCCCTAAACCCATTACTCCCATTCCATTTTATATCCGTATATTTTAATATTTTTAAAAGCGATTTGTATCTGAACTTGTATGGAAGGGCATGGCCGAAATTGAGCCTTTCCTTTATTTTTGATAGCATCTCATTTGTGTTAAAATGGTCAGGCAATCAACTATAGCCACTTTAAAGCATACTGCTCAGCAGTTTTCAAATTTTAGAAGAATTGAAGATGCAGTATATCAAACATGTGTTATTTTGGTTTAAATCTGAAGTCTTCATATTTGAAGGGTGCAAGATCATTAGATTAAACGGAATAGGTCAGTTCGTACTAAGGGCATTTCTTTACAAAATATTACACACACAGTTATGAAAAATTGTAAAATTCTTTTACCTGACTGAAAGTCGGCTTGTTGTGAATCCTGGAGCATCGGTCTCCGTGCCGGCAAGCACCGATTTTGAAGTAAAAAGAACAGTTAACCCTGAAAATAAAACACCAAGATAGGGGAAGGATTTTTTTCAAACAAATAACGATAAACTTACTTGTCCTTTTCGGTGCCGAAAATCGAAGCAAGGTACTCAGCCATCGTCGAAAACTCAACGACAATTCAGTCCGCTCACAGAATTCTCACCCTGTTTCACAAAAGTACAAAACAAGAAAGCTTCACTATGTCGCCGACGCACTGAATCGATGCAGCGAGTCCGATCTGTCGATTACTCATCAATTACAAGCACAACTTTCTTTATTATTATTTTTATATAATAATAGCTTATAATAATATTCCACTGTTTAATCATTTAAAACAAAATTGTTCAACTGTGTATGACACCACATATTTTTAAAAAAATTGAATTTCTTTCTTAGGTTGAATAAATATGGTATAATTCTACCAAGGGAAAATAACCGTTTTGATGAGTAAATTTATATCTCTCACTCTGTAAATTGTGTTCTACATAAAAGTAAATTTGTTGCCGATTTTTTAATTTATTCAGCAATCGATAATCTGTTTTCGATATGGCTTTTGCTTCTGAAGCACTTAAGCTCAAAGCCCCAACCTATTCCATAATCCATATGTGCTATGGCGTACATCGTCCTGAAGGATGTTTTCTTGCAGACAATCCGGAAAATGGAATTTCCCTCACGGAAAGCTCCCTGTTATTTTAAAAGCATAAAATGAAATATTTATTCACAAAAATAAATCAAAAGGACAAAGGTAACCAGAAATTATTTATGAGAACAAAAAACGCCCTCTGTTGTCTTAAAACAAAAATTGACTATGTTAATTATTTTTAAAATTTAGCATGGACTCTGGAAGATACAAAATAAGAAAAAAGCTGAGAATATTTTTCATTCTTCTATTAGTTCTGCCAATTATTTTGAACTTGGACAACCTCAAAGTTCTGGTATGTTTCACTGTGGACTTGGCGAGTAAGTATAGAAAAATATTTTTTAAATAATACTAATTATTATAACAATAATTCTTCATTATTAAACAGCAAGCGAGGGAACTTCCAATAAGCAGTTATTATTTAAATTGTGGGATTTCTCGTGTCTTTAGGGTAATGAATTTAAGGAGTATATAAATAGATAAAAATTATTATTTAATACTGTGTATGGATAGATGGATTTATAAGATGTTAATAATGCACTAAGGTTGGTTGGTCTGAAACAATGCCAGAAGCAACTTTTTTTAAATTAAAACATTATCGCTATGCATAATTGTAGTATAGCTGTAATGATCGTGATCTAATCACTGAAAGCTTAGAAATTAAAATATTCCTTTCTTTTAGATGTGTATCTACCTTTTTTCTTGTTTATAAAAAGACTGGTTGACTATTTAACAAACAATACCATACAAACAGACAACACACTGAGGTAACTGCCTAGCTGTTTGTATTTTAAAAGTTGGCTTTTGTGTTAGATAATAAAACATATAATTTAGTTGCCACTGACGATGGCAAAACCAACGCAGCAAAGATTGGCCAGTGAGGTTGATCAGATATCAAGATCACACAATATAGACAAATTTTCAATTATGCTTATAAAAACGTACTTAAAATATTATCTGAATGTATATACTAAAACTATTGTGCTAACTCACATTAGAATAATTAATTAAGGGTTCAACAATAATAATATCAGATAGCCCGGCAGGTCTAAAGGCTCTCCAAGTCTATGAGATCAACTCAAAACTTGCCTGGATTGCCTAAATGCCCTAACAATCTGGGATCTACAAATAGTTTAGTGATAAGGTGGGTCCCAGGTCATGAGGAATGGGACAGAAGATATATTTGCTAAAAAGGGAGCTTTGAAACCACATATAGGTCCAAATCCATTTTGTGGTCTAAACTATATAGCTGCATTAAAAAAGACGTGGAACCTTGGGTACAAAAAAAAAAAAAAAAAAAAAATATTGGGAGCACAAACTAGACATAAGGCAAGCAAAAAGCTAGTTGCAATAAGGACCTAACGGGAGAAAGAAGAAATCCTACTCAGCAGAAAGGAATTAAAAACACTAACAAGTATATTTATGGGACATGCTCTAATAAAATATCATACTAAAAAAATTGGGCTATCATTGGATGACTATGTTGACTTTGATTGATATTGATGTTGACTATGTCTAACAGATCATTTTCAGTGCCACTGCCCTGCAATAGTTCGGAAAAGACTATGGTACTTGGCAAAGGCATTCCTGTTCTATATACTAGATACCATTCCCCTGAGAAGAACCCGTGTATTTCATTAACGAAACAAAAAACTTCCAGGAAATTCATTAGCAGAAATAGGAAAATTCTCTTGATGAAAATACCCCTTGACACAATTCTTTGTTGAATGACAGGGTGGCATACTTGTGTTTGGTCTTTCTCATCATTTTGATTTGCGTATCCTCATTTATTTGGTCTTCCAAACACATTTCGGCAGTTGGTGTCTCTAAGAGTGTGGTCTCCCAGGCTTTAGCCCAATTCAGAGAGACTGGAAGTTCCAATAGGAGGCTTGGTGGTGGATATCAGCGCATTACAACACTAAGGGTGGTCAGAAATATTGTCTTTTCTGTGCTGTAAGATGGAATCCTTTCCATAGTGCTGGCCAGATCCTAAATGAAGTACAAGAACTTTTGGCAAGGGAAGTTGGCCTCACATTATATGCAACTCAGGAGAATTATAAAATTATACTATTATAATATAATAGGCCCACCATAGGGAATACCATTTGAAATGATTTTATATGTATTGATGAGTCCCGTCTCTGTCTGAATAGTGAGAGCAGGTGTCAAAGAGTTTATTAAGAACAGAGGATGCGTACAATGCCCCAGTTCGCACTCCTTTCAGTACAGTTTGGAGTAGGCAGTGTAATGGTCTGGGGTGGGATTTACACTGGAGGGCGAACTGGACTCTGTATTGTTGAAGGCAACCTCCCCACAGTACGTTCTGTCCGAGAATTTGTTGAGGAATACATCCCTCAAACTAGGGATCTCATTGGCAGGGATTTTCGATTTCTGGATGACAATGCCAGGTAACATAGAGGCAGAGTTGTCCATCAATGTTTAGAAAACCTGGGAATTTCCCATGTTCCCCTTCCCCAATTGTCCCCAGAACACAATCCCATTGAGCACATGTGGGATGCATTGCATAAAAGGCTTTTCGATCGCCATCCGCAGCTAGTTGACCTGAAACAACTGAGTGCAGTGTTGCAACATCTACGGAGTGAAATTTCTTATGAAATTAGTGACGACCTTACTAACAACATGCCTAACAGGTGCACATAGGTTTTACTAACAGAGGTCATTATACACATTATTAATTGCTTAAAAAATCATGTGTGAAATAATGGAATTAAAACCTTTTAGATTCTTATTTTCAAAATCCTTTAATTAAATTTTCCTTCAGTAAAAAACAATAATTTCTAATAAATTTATGCAATTCATAGTAAAAATAAAATAAACATGCTAGGGAAAGTAAATACTACAAAATTGGCAATATCCCTATTCATTTTTGAGCAGTTTATTATAACAATTTACCAATTATAAGCAGTTCAAAAGTTTCTATTTTAAATAATGTTTTAGAGGAGAAAAATATATATGAATCTACCAGTAAAGTACCTCTTTAAAAAAATGGGTCTATTAATATATTTTCAATCATATCTAGAAGAGACACATCAGAATGTGTCTTATGCTATTGCCCCACATAGCTAGAAAAAATGGTGGGTACTGGGTGTTGGTCTGTGAGTTGGTGCTGAGTGTTGGTTAGAACATCCTGAACTGGCATTGCACCATTTTCAATGTTGGTCTGACAGGCCAAACCATCAAGGATAGGCAGAACAAAATATCAGTCTGCAGACCACATGGAGAAATTTCAAAATTTAAAATTGAAAACTGTATATGTTAGGCTCATTCTATGTTCATAATCATTTACATTGATAATTTTGGTTTTGCCTGGCAGAACATTGCCGCCACATTTCACAATATTTAATAATTGATTTCATTTAAAAAAAGAGCACAACTGATACCACTTTCTGACAGAAGTGTAAAGGGACAAAATTATTGGAAACGATCAAGATACATGTTTCATTAATTTTCATTTATATCAATTGAGGATCAGTTAAAAAAATAGAACATTTTGAACAATAAAATCCCAATGAATTTACAAAAAAAAAAAAAAATCATACATATATATCTTGTAGATTGTCATCAGCAAAAACTACAATTTAAAAAAATCTTTTATTCAGGACAAGTTTTCTTCGGTCAAAAATTGTTTGTCATCGGAGTGATGAGCGCAAGGGAGAATTTCGAAGAGAGACAATCAATACGTAACACTTGGATGAAACTAGTCAGCCCAAACGCAGGAGAAGTGAAATTTTTAATCGGCTCCCATTCATGCAATGTGCCAAAAAATGACAGGGTATCGCCGTATTCGTGCCATCGTTGGTCTCCTCAGTTGCCATCAAGTGGGTTATTGTCCACCTATGTTAAAATTAGAAGTTTTGCATGCAGCAATGGTTTTCCATAGGAATGTGAGTTTTATTCTCTCCTTCGTAAAAGTTAATATATAAAATTATACTCCACATCACTAATTTGTAATGTTTTATCTTATCTTGTTTGCACTGTATAATTTTTTTTTTAATTTCATGAAGTTCGCATTTTCATTTGTGTTTGTTTTTGTAATATGTGTTGCTTGGTGTAATTACATTAAATTGTGTGCATAACTGAAAATTTATAAATCTTATAAAAAAAAAATTGTTCCAGGTGTAAATTCAAATACAATACTGTCTTTGACAGAACAGACAAGCTCAAGGCACAGGATCTGTGTTGGATTTACATTCATGGTTAGACACACCATGTCACTGGAGATGCTCGGAATATCCTCATCACTTCGGAGAGTGAGAAAGGAAAGGATGTATCGTGTAGAGCTGCATGACTCTCAGAGAGGTGAAAAAGTTGTATCAGCGACTTTTATAATATCTGGTTCAGACTCTCCTTCAGGTACATTTAACACATCTATCACAAACTGTGCTGTACTTTAACCATAACATCAATTTACAGGTTTCACTTGGAAAAAAGTTCCAAAAATTGTGTTCAATGAAGGTTTTGAAGGGGAGATCAAAATAATTTCTGATGACGACTATACAAACTTGAACTGTACTCATAAATTTCTAACAAATGGGATAGTAACCATTTTTGAAGTTGTGGACACTAAAGGATTTTTTTACAAATTTGAACCACCCAATTGTCCTATAGCAAGTTTTCTTTACCAAATAATGGGTATGCCATTTTCATCTGTTTGTTTTAAAAATATTAATTGAAACATATATATGTTAAAATGTAAGCCTTTCAGATGTGGATAAACTACAAAACCATATAAATGAAACTTCAGTGAGGCAAATTTTGTGGGATGAAGAGGTTGGCAGGATTGAAAATAGTTTAAAGGAGGAAAAAAATAAGTATTCTGACTTGTTAATAATTGATACGATTGATGTTTACACCAATTTACCTATAAAATTAAGTAATTTCATGCAATGGTAAATGCAAAAAAAATGTAAGTTGTAATTTTATATAATAATTGTTATATTCATATGCAGGGCGACAACAGGAGACAAATTCAAATACATTATCAAAACAGATGATGATGTGTTTTTAGATATTAAAAAGATACAATTGCAGTTCAGTCGCCTCTCTGACTGGGATTGGTGGAGTTGTTTCAAAGTCGGTTGGCCACCACCTAACTCCGGAAAGTGGAGGGATCGACTGACCGATGAGAGCGTATACCCTAAATTCCCGTCCGGTTCTGGGTACGTTTTGAAAAATTCCATTGCCAAGAAGGTGTTGAACAAACCGCCGATGAATGTAGGAGAGGACGTATCGATGGGATTCTGGATTTTGGAACAGTCGCCGCTCGATCTCATTGAATCCCAGTGTTTCTGGGCATGTAGCAGTAAGTGTAACAAGAACCCTTGTAACATGCCAGAGCTCAAGGTGGATGAAATGTATACCGTTTGGAAAGACTACAACAAATGCGGGGAAATTTGCAATTGTTCTCCTTAATAGTTTGAACATAGAACTTAAACTGACAGAAAAAAATTATACATAAATGTAACCAAAGTTATAAAATATCAAAGAATAACTTTATAATGAAAAAAAGTAACATAATTTTCCATATGTCCCTAAACTAGTAACATCTTACAAAAGTCCAAACTGATGTCCATCAAGAATAAGTGATATTATGACTATATTATTGTAAATCTATTTTATATTTTTTGAAATTTGCTTTTTTGTAGTGTATTTCTTATGTTTAATGTGGCTGTGATCTTGTATGAAAGAAATTCTTCTTATCCTGATGTGGATTTTTAACGGGAAATATTTTGGAAAATTGTGTGTCTTCATACATTCCCAATTATGTCTTTTTATTATTATAAGTCTTATGTCTTTAAATATAGTTTTTGTTTTTTAATCTGGCTGTGATCTTTATGTGAAATTATATTCAATAAATTATTCTTGTCCTAAATGTTGTTTTTAAAATGAGATGTTCTAGAAAATTTGGTGAATGCCAGTACATATCATCATTTTCATTGAGGATAATTGTAAGTTGTTTTTTAAAAATTATTGTAATCTACTTTAAATATGTAAAAATTGTTTTCAATAAATTATTCTTATCGTAAACGGGATTTTTATAGTATAAACAGTATGGAAAATTTGTTGTGTTCTATTTTAATAGTTTCATTTAACTGATTCATTCATATTTTATTAACATCCACATATAGCATGGTGTATAATTGTATTGAAGCGAAATTGTAAATAATCTTCTACCAATTTCCTTACAATGAGTCAGGTCATACTATTCTTTTATCACAAGTGTTCAAATACAAATACAGATAACACACTTTATTAACGAAAGTAAAGAGCCCATTGAAAGCTATCAAACATTTTATTTGTGCATGAAAACCGATAAATAAACCCAATGAGATGTAAATGACGAGGGAGTATAAAAGTTTGTCCCATCTGTGCCAAAAAACTGTAAGTTCTCATTTTGCAATATGAAAAACATTTTATATCATTTTTTATTTGTTCTATTATTATTATTGTGCATTTTTTATTCACATATTTATTTATTTTGCAAAGGGTCGAATATCCTTCCTGTATAGAAGTCTGATTAGATCCAAAAGTGATTATGGATCCAATGTGTAACGCTCTGCATCTGTCAACAAAATGAATTCCCTAAATAGCATACAAAATTCACAATTCACACAAGTATTCATTCACATTGTTACTAGTGTTTTTCAGTTCAGTCCAGCCGATTTAAGCACAGAAGTAGAAGAACCTCCTCTCAAACATTGACGCACATTCCTGGATTTGAAGTTTTTTGCAAAAATTGTGTAATAAATCACATACTTTCGCAATATTTTGTCCATTAATGTTTTTATTAAGAAGAGAAAACATGCTGTGCTAGAATAATTCAGAAAAAGTAATAGAATAGTGCAGGATTGGTCTGAGCACACTGCCTTGTGACCACAAGACGATAGTCGAAGTAGTCCAAACCTAGGTGAACTTGAAAATTCATCTATGAGGTTGGAGCAAAGGATTAGGTAAGGAGGATATGCTTTAGTTTGTATAGGAGCCCCTCGTGCCACAAACAACTGAACACTTCTGACCCATCCAGGAATCGCTTCTGGCTATTTACTTGTCTGTACACCATTACAGACCAATAATTGAAGAAAGACTTTTTGCATCTCAATCACAAGCCACTCTCCTTCTAGCAGAAGCAGTGAACGTCAACCACATATTCGTTGGGTGGATTATATAAGCTAATTTTCTACCGATTTATTGCATTTGTATGGGCAGCATTGTCACTGGTGACCTTTCAAGTAAAGAAGAAATAGGTTGCACATATAATTTCGAACATTTGGGGAAAACAAATATGTGATGCAACAATACAGGAAATGATGAAGAATCCTGTAGAGTCATAACCACTATCACATGGCAAGTGCTACTGCCTAACAGTCATTGACAGGTTCATCAGGTGCCTGGAAGCTTATCCACTTGAAGAGATCACGCGTGAATCAGTAGTGGAAACCTCGATGATTACAAGGATATGAGGATTCTTTCACGCATTACCACAGACCAAGGTGGGCAATTTGAGGTAAACCACTTCATCTGGCTGACAATTTTCTATGAATTAACAGATTCTCTTCAGATTACCACCCACAATCTAACGGGTATGTTGAAAGGTGGCATTGGAGTTTGAAAGCGGTACTCATGGCCCACCTATCAACTGAGAATTGGCTGTTTGTTGCTTACAGTACTCCTAGGCCTTTGTTCACGTGCAAGAGACTAAGTCAGTGTAGCTAAGATGGTATATTTGTAGAAACCATTAAGCCATGTAGCATTAATGCAAAGTTTACAGTTAACCATGAGCAAACAAAACTGCAAGTTTCAGAAAAGTGTTTTTGTACCAAGGGATCTGGAAACCTGTATTTTTCCAGGACCATACGATGAGATATGACGATTCCACCTTTCAACAGTGTGTATCAGGTGCTGAGAGGAAATAAAGAACACTCCAATTGCAAATTTTTGGTCAAAAAGTTAATCTCTGTGGATAGAATTAAACCAGCACACCTACTGGAGGAACACCTACTACAGGACAGTTCTGAAACTATTATAGAAACCAACTGTACAAAGCTGGATCTTCTGAATTCAAGTGTTATGGTGAAACCCAAAGTTTATTTCCTTGACATCACTGGAGGTATACTGTAGCAGTTGCTGCAGTACCCATACAGTACTCTTTAGTTCAAAGGATGAGAATATGTCATGGGTTGTACTATTCTCCAGTGGTCTATAGGAAAAGGTCTAAACATTGTAGGGATCAATCGTTGCCGGTCTTTGAAAAAAGGATATGAAGTATACTGTTTAAAGATAGGTGAGGAAGATGACTGTATTTTATCAACTTAATTTACAAAATTTGATCTGAAACGCATATATTTAAATAAAAGGAAATTGTTAATATCATTGGAAACTTTAAAATTTATTTGGCTCTTTTTACTTCTAGAAATCACTTGAAATCCTGGAATAAATTAAATATAAAACTATACAACGTCTTGTAAAAGGGTTTGTATACTTATAGTGTAAATAAACGGGAAAATCAACCGTATAAAATCTGTTGTCAAACCTGAGTTAGTAAGGTATTAGTGTTTATTGAATAACTGATAATCCCCGTGATATTGAAAATAGGAATAACAAACGTTGATAGTACTTATAATCGTTGTCCTCCGTCCGGAGAAAATGTTTTCCTCTAACCCAATCAGGGGCAAAGCTGCCGAGATTTATCTCATTAAAAATACCTAGAAGTGAGTCCGTTATGTTTCCCCACGTCATCAGAAACAAACTGTCAAATAATTTTTTTTTCTGAATTCAGGATATGTCGGAAGAGGAGGTCGAATGTGCGGAGGAAGCTTTGAATTATGACTTTGATTTCGAATTATTCGAGTCCGAGGAGGATGTTGTTAATTTGGACGATCCTGTAAGGAATTATGTTTTTCACGTTTAAAAATCATATGTTTTATTTTCCCCATTAGTGCAATAGTTAGGACATTATAATAATTACCAAAATTGATGTCTCGATTCACATCGAATAAGATTCAAAGAAAATTCAAAGAAAGAAATACATCTTGTGCTGTAATCGTACATTAAACCAGAACAGTTTTTCTTTTTTTCATCTAATATTTGCTTCAATTGTTTCAGGTTGTCCCATTCCTGCATCACTTCAAATATCCTCTTGGACTGAAGAGCGATTTGTTGGTCGAAGGGGAAATTCTTGATAATGCTGATAGGTATATTTTATATCAATATACTTATTTCAGTATGCCGGGTATCAGGCTACTCGTGGCCCAAACTTTGGCATTAAATTTCATGCCTCCAGTGACAAAAAAAGTTCGTATGAACCATGGTCCGATTCTCACCCCCTTCATAGTTATTTAGCTTTTTTTATTTTTCAAACTATCTACAGTTTTCTTCATAAATCTACTCATAGCTGCTGAACTATTCATATTTGTGGAAATCCAAAAAAAAAGCATTGAAAAGAGCATTAAAATTCCTCCTTCTAGAACTTTCAATTTAATTTTTGGTATTTATTTAGAAATTGTGAGGTGCGGTCTGGTGTGATGTAGGTTTCAGAAAAACATTTTCTTTATTGTGCCAACGTTTCGATCTTTATTGAGATCATCTTCAGGGCTCGAAGTCGGCTCAAAGTCAAAGTCGAGAGTGCCCGACGACACGCAAGAATGGCACAATTACACAGAAGACAAACACTTTGAGCCCTGAAGATCAAAACGTTGGCACGATAAAGAAAATGTTTTTCTGAAACCTATATCACACCAGACCGCACCTCACGATTTCTAAATAAATATCGATTAACGGTCACTAATCACCACACATTAATTTTTGGTAAAAAACTAAATATTTCAAAAACTACTAAATTTAAAATTTGTAAATGAAAACTGAATTTGCAAATTACATAACAATTTCTTCCTTTAATAAGCTTTCTAGCAGTGTACCCTTTTCTTTAATTACGTCGAACCAAAGTGCAGAAATTTTATGTTAAATGGGAAAAAAATGGTGTGAAAAAGGGGAATGGGACAAATCTAGTAATTCAACTTTTTGTTTTATGGTTTGTTTATGTTACCTCCTTATATAGGGTAATTAAACGAGGTATAAGGGTAATCAAGTCCCAAGCTTTGCGAGTGAATTTCACACCTCCAGAATGGCATAAAAGTTTGTAGGAACCATGGTCCAATTCTCAATCCTTTTGTAGTTATTTAGCTTTCTTTTATTTCTTTTTTTCAACTATCTACGGTTTTCTTCATAAATCTACTCATAGCTTCTGAACTCTTCATTTTTATGGAAGTCCAAAAAATAGCATTGAAAAGAGCATTAAATTTCCTTTAAGAAGTCACCGTTCTAGAAATTTTAATTTAATTTTTGGTAAAAATCAAAACAACAAATCTTTCAAAAACTACTAAATTTAAAATTTGTAAAAAAAAAGAAGAAAAAAAACTAAATTTGCAATCTTGAAGGAAAAAGTCACGGTAGAGCTGAGCAAATTTCATAACAATTTCTTCCTTATTCTTTTCTTTAATTATGCTGAACCAAAATTCAGAAGGTTAGTAACGGTCTGAAAAAGGAGAATGGGGTTAATCTAGTAATTCAACTTTTTGTCCTGCACAAAATTTATTTCCCAACTTTAAATTAATAATAAAGCACAAAAAGATTTGAATAATAACAAAAAAACAAAACAAATAAAATAAAAAAACAAAAAAACACCAACAATAGAGTTGAACTATTTGCAATAATAAATAATGTGTAAATAGATATTAAGTCTCTGTCGATTGATGTATTGTGTATAGAATGTACTTGAGTATACATTGTCTTATTAATTTATTGAACTCATGTACCTGCATCTAATGTTATGTTTAATACCTTTATTGTTTTGAATATTTTTCTTTCCAAAAGGTAGATTGGGACAGGCGTTCATCAGGACTTTGAAAAAATCGTTATACTATATGAACAGGTACATGTGTGGATTACAGCTCTCCGTTATCCACACATGTACCTGTTCATATAGTATACCAATTTTTTTGAAGTCCTGATGAAGGCAATATATTCTGCCGATAGCTCGACAAGAAAATAAATGTTGTTTCTGTCTTCCTGGCCTCATCCCCAATCTACCTTTTAGAAAGAAAAATATTTAAACTGAGAAGGCTGATCAATCACCAATGATTTTATTGTTTTGTGTAATGTATAGGGTTTTGTTTATATTTTTCCCCTAAACTTAATGCTTAATTTATATTTTGAGATAGTATGGTATGGTAGAAAAGGATCCTAGGAAGCAGGGTTTGCACTCCCCAGGCACTGCAGCCTTCTGACTTATTGTACCTTCCTAGTTCCTTAGTTCAGTACATAGACTCAATCCTTCTTCTTAGAAGTATTAGGTCATTGACTGTCACTGCTGCAATTCTCCTAAGTTTTTTCCGTACGTTAAATTCCATTGAGCTGTTGCTTCGCATTCGAATATGATGTAAGTGTCTGTTTCCTCCTCCTCATTACGTAATCTGCAAATGGCATCATCGCTGTATATACCCATGTTGTGTAGATGTTTTCTCAGATGGCAGTGACCGGTTAGTAGTCCTACCACTCCTCTGTGTTTGGCCCTCTCCAATTGCAGCAGGGCTTTTGCCAGTCTCGGTGAGGGTTGTTTCATCATAAGTTTACTATGTCTAGCACCGCTAGAGTTTGTCCACTTCTCCTTTTGTTTTGCTTGGATCCATTCTGCAATGGAAGATTCTGTATTTGTTCTTGTTATCCCAAGAATAGGTTCGGGGCCTATGTATGGTCTTGCAGATCCTCCTCTGGCCAGTCTGTCTGCTTTCTCGTTACCCAGAATTCCCCTGTGCCCTGGCACCAAAGATATCATCAGATTGTTGTGTTTCCCCAGGTTTTGGAGATTTTGGATGCATTCACTGACTAATTTTGATGTGATTCTTTTACATGCTAATGCTTTAATGGCTGCTTAGCTATCTGATCTTATGAGGATTTTTTTGTCAGTGTAACCTCTTATAAGATTTTCCAGGGCACAAGCATTGATGGCATGTATTTCTGCTTGAAAGACGGAAGTGTACTTCCCTAATGAGTTTGATTGCTCATGTTTTGGCCTTGTACAGAAAACGACTGATCCGGTTCCTTCATTTGTTTTGGAGCCATCTGTGTACCATATCATTGATCTGATGCTCTCCTGTGTTCTTCCTCTCCTTTATAGTCCATTGAAACTTTATAGGAAGATTGTTTCCAGGATCATATAATTAGTCCCCATTTCTAATAATGGGTGTCTGATTTTGTTGATTATGGTTGTATGCCCGAATTGTTTAGTTCCTTTCCAATTTAATTGTTTCTGGAGCCTAAGTGAGCTTTTCCTAGCCTCTCTTTTTATGAATATTTCCAGTGGAGGAAGGTTTAGCAAAGTTGCTAATGCATTTGTAGGGGTTGTTCTCATTGCCCCTGTGATATATAGGTTTGCTAGTCTTTGTATGCTGCCTAATGTTTGGGTAGTTACTTTTTGTTGAGCTTTGTTCCACCAGATTAGTGATCCATAGGTTATTCTGGGTCTTATTACTGCCGTGTATATCCAATAGGCCATTTTCGGTTTTAGTCCCCAAGATTATCCTAAGGTCCTTTGTGTGGTCATTAGAGATATTTTACTTTTTGCTATAGTATGTTGCAGGTGAGGATTCCAGGTTAGTTTCTTATCAAAGATTATTCCTAGATATTTGACCTCATTTTTTAATAGCAGCATTTCGTTATAGAATCCTTGTATTTCTATATTTCTTTTCTTGATGAAAGCAATTAAGGTGGTTTTTGAGGGGTTTACTTTAAGTCCCCGTTTTAAACACCATTGTTCCACCAGGTTTAGTGCTCTTTGGGTGAGCTCTTTTAATGTTGGATCGAATTTTCCCCAGACTAGTATGACGTTATCTGCATAGCCTTGAGTGTAATTCCACTTTCATTTAGTTTGCATATGAGGTCGTCCATTACCACATTCCACAGCAGAGGCGAGAGTATTCCTCCTTGCGGACACCCCCTTGCCACCACTGCTTCTACTTTTTTGTGGAACATGGAGGCCTGTACTTTCGTGCTTTTTAGCATTGATTCTATCCATCTACAGCAGGTTTTGTCTGTTCCTTGCTGTTTAAGTGATGTAACCATTGATTCGAAAGGAGTGTTGTCAAATGCTCCTTCAATGTCCAAGAAGGTTCCCAATGCTATTTCTTGGTCGTTCAGTGAATCCTCTATTTGTATCATCAATTGATGTAGTGCTGATTCACATGATTTTCCTTTCTAATAGGCATGCTGATATTTGTGAAGGGGTTTTTCTTTTAAAGAACTGCCCATTATATGTTTTTCAACTAGCCTTTCAAGTGTTTTGAGTAGAAAGGATGTTAGACTAATCGGTCTATACGATTTTGCATCTGTGTAGTTATTCCGAGCCGCTTTAGGAATGAAAACTACTTTTACAGTTCTCCATATGCTTGGGATGTATCCCATTGCTAGGCAGCTTCTGTATATTTTTACAAGTAGGGGGATTAGTATAGTTTTTCCCTTTTGTAGTAGTACTGGATATATTCCGTCTGTTCCTGGAGATTTGAATGGGCTAAAATTACCTATAGCCCATTCAATTTTATCATAGGTGATTACTGTTTTGGCTATTTGCCAATCTTCCCTTCTGGCTTTGTGGCCTTTGGCGGGTTCAGCGCTCTCCTTTATCTCCAGGTTGGCAATAGTTGTACTTATTAGGATTTCTAATGTCTCCTTTCCGGTTTGTGTGTGTTTTCCATCTGGTTTTTTTAGTGTTCTGATGGGGTTTATAGGGTCTTTGGCAAGGATTTTGTGGAGTCTACTTGCCTCAATTTCCTTGCAATATTTCCTCCACGATTCCTGTTTCTCCTTTTTAATCTCCCTATTGTATTCTGTTATGGTTTTACTATATTCTTCAGTATTCCCTGTTTTTTTCGCTTTATTTATATTTGGAGATAAAATGTTTCTTACATTTTATGCAGACTAGTGAAAAAGGTGCAACAATACTACTATGTAAACTACTGTACATCAAAAATTGTATGCAATAAATATCATTTCATGTAATGCATTAAACATTAATGGAACAGCTGGGAGTACAGCTTCCAGAATCACAGATACAGCTCAATGTACCTTAGTGCAGTCACAGATCCATTCTGTATGAAAAATCAGTTCGATTCGAGTATGGACGTTGATTTCACCCCATAGCATAACTGACTGTCTTTGAAAAGGCACTCACACATGGCACATGAAGCAAAGCGTTCTCCATGTCTTCACACACAGTCCTGGTCATCTGATTTCCACAAAACGAACTGGCATTCATATGTGACACATTGTCAATTATTATTTTTACCAATTGTTTTGTATAGAAACTTATTCATACGCTGCTGAAGGTTTACCCATTTAAAATGGAAAAATACAATTGAAGGGAAAAGGACACAAGTGACTTGGATGGCCTTGTATCACAGGGTCAAATATTCCAGTCATACAGGAGGGGCTAGATGTTGTGGACGAGGGATAAATCTATTTACAACACTTTTTGCACATTATTCTCAATAAAAATTCAATAGGTTATGCTGTGATTTAAACCTAACAATGGCTACTAACATTGCAAATATGAATCTAACACTGTAACTATTCATATTAATTTTTATGACTTGTCCAAAATACCCATTATACTCAATAAGAAGTTGGATATAAAGCATAGCATGAATTTAATCTTGCTAAAAAATTCTGTACTCCATCAATTTTCCCTCATTTAAAATTTTTTTGAGAGATTTTTACATTTTTCATATAGTGAACTCAAGTTTGAATTCCTGCTTTGCTCTTGAAACTCCCATTAATTGAAAAAATAAGTAATGTATTAATTGCTTAAATTTTTTGTAAAATATACTTTTTGACATATGTTTTGTTGGTTATGACTGTCAAAGAGCTAATAAATATTTACATTTTATCTTAATCTTTACAAAATTGTACAGAATAAACAATATGAAAAAATGCTTTTACACTATTACATTTGTTTATGCATACGTATACTTTGTTTAATGTGGTTTCCTTGTGAATTGCAGATTTAATATAGATCTTTGCCAAAGCACTGACTCTGGAAAAAATGTAGCACTTCATTTCTCTGTTAGACTGAATTTGAATTATGTAGCCAGGAATACATTATTAAAAGGATTATGGGGACCCGAAGAAGGGTATTCCATGGGCAAGATCCCTTTTAAAAAAGGAGAGAGATTCATAATAGAAATTTTCCTCATTAAAGAACATTTCCTTGCAAGTATTACATTATTTTATTTTATAATGAATAACAAAACTTTAAACCATATTTTAAAATGCCAGTGTAGAAATAAAATTAGATAGCTGATTTCAATAGTTGGTTTCCTGTATTAATAGATAAATTTGTCTTGAATCATTGTTTTTTTTTTTTTTTTTCAGATTAGTGTAAACAGCACTCATTTTTGTAGGTATGTACATAGAGTGCCTCCCCTGTACATTGATTCATTAGAAATTTATGGTGATGTCAAGCTCAGAAGGGTTGAGCTGTCCAAAAGAGACGTATATCCTACAATTTTATCATTTCATGATTACAATTTATTGGGAACACATTTAAGAAACTCTACAAATACTGCATGGGTAAATTTAATTAATTATTAACAATATTGTATGTATTTATTAATAATAATGTAAACATATTTTTTCCTTTAGTTAACACCTTTGAACTATAAATTTGAAGATATTTTAAGCCCTGGTTGGAAGATAGTGATTAATGGCAGAGTGAAACTGTTACCACACCGAATTAACTTCAACTTACAGTCAGGTCCGCATGTCTATCCAAGCCCTTTGGTGGGACTTCACCTAAGTGTCAGGTGGAATGGAAAGGGTGATGACACAATTGTATTTAATACGAAAGATGAAAACTGGAATCAAGAAATAGTTACACCAATGGAACTCTTGTTTTGTCCAGGGAGGAAATTTGAGTTACAGATTTCAATCAAAAGCGAGTATTTTAAATTGAAAGTCGATTCAACTCCTTTACCATTTTATCCATGTAGGCTAACGTCTAAATATGTACCGGTTTTAAATTTTTTAAACACTTTGTACATTGAAGGAGATGCAGAGATTTTCAATATAAAATCTGTAAGACCAGAACATAATGGACAACAATTTTTATAATGATTAATATAAATATTTATTTTCATTTTATATAGTTTAAATATAATTTTTATAAATTGTTTAACTTTTAATTACATTACAAACAATATAGTCATATTTGTAAGAATTGTTTTGTATAGTTTTAGAGATTTAAAAACATTCTTGTTTTTAACACTTTTGTTTGATTATATATTGAATGTAATATATGTATAATATATTGAATATATATTATATCTTTAATTTAATTAAATTTTATATCTAAAGCTTGCACATAAACTTGAAAAAATTCTGTTAGATTGGTCTTGAATAAAAAAATATATTTAAAAAAAGCCGTTTTTGTAGCACTGATACAAACAATTAATTAAATTAATCATAAACACTTGTAGATATTAAGTTTTTTGAATAATAATGTTTAATTGCAAGATTTAGATAACATGACAATTTACCAAATTCAGTTATGTTAGTCATGAAAATATGTGATTTTATATGTATGTATATTTATAATTATTATCATTGCAATATGTAAATTTTAAAAAGAACTTCCTTCTGATTGACAAATGCAATGCAATCAATGCATTGATAAAAAATATGCATTGTCAATTTTGTATAATTATACAAATTCATGTTATAAAAAATCTACTTGAATATTTTTAAATTAGTATCAAATTATTTTACAAGTGTTCTATAAATACAATCAATTGTTTGACGAGAGGAGAAGGAAGTTGTTACCAGGAAGTGTCCCTTATATATTCCTGGCATAATCATGCCAATAGTCCTGTTAGAAAATTATTCAACATAGCCCAATGAAATATGTAAACTATTATTGCTAAAAGAAATATTATGTCATAATTTTGTATTATAAAATCAGGGATAAGACCAATTTGAAATCAAAGAATATTGGGGATCTCGGTAACCAAATGGTAGCGTGTCAATCACTTGTCTCGTAGATTCCGATGTCATTGTCTTTCATGCTATCTTTCCCCCAAAAAATACAATTCAATCAGCACCCTCCGGCTAATATTTAAAAAAGGCTATTATTTTGTAAGAGTGAAGAACAGTGATTTTCTTTCAAATTGGCTTTATTCCTCTTTAATCCAAAATTATAATATAAGGCTGATATCAATTATTTTAATATTTTTCTGCATGCATTTAAGTTAAATGTCAAACTTCATTGAGATTACTGTATTTTACACAATTTTCATACTCAGCAAGATAGAACCAATTTAAGAAAAAAGACAATATTAAATTTTTTATATTTAATTTATTGGTAAGTAGATTTACCTGTCTTATAACAAAAGTACATAATAATGTTATTAAACTCATCGACATTACTTAGAAGTATCTAGATTTTATCTGATAAATACAATTTGAGCTCTATTGCTTTTGTTGTACTGCTCAACATCTACCCTTTAATTTTAAGAGTTCTTAACCTTTCATACAATGTTTCCTTGGTCTATTTCCTTAGTCATTTCAACGTTTGTACCATTGTAGTTCAGATTTTAAGCCATTTTATTCAGCTGCAATAAATTGTTTTTCTATAATTGTGTTTTGTTTTGCGATTAACAATATATTTCACATTTCATGTTCCAAATTAAAATGTTCCACAGTGATTATTAGACCCCATGATATGGTTTAATGGACATTACCTACAGCTAAAGGTGGTCAAGATCCTCAGGCCCTTACCAATCATCTTGGTCTACTAATCCTAGTTAAATCGGTCTGTTAGATGAGATTTGGTAAATGAACATTTCTAAATCATTGAAAATATACAAACACAACACTAAAAAACTCAAATACACAAACTAACAATAGTTAACGTACAACTTTTGTACTCCAAACACGACCTTCAGTGAATAATATTTGTATGGATCAAATTACATGATTTTTCTTATTTGATAATGCTATTTTATATGTGATTAACAAATACTATGCGTTTATGTAGATGGAAAAAATATGATACATATTTAAAAATGAAAGTATTTCTTACTACAAACACATACAAAAGTACAGTAAAATTTACAAAAATTCAGGTACACTTTTTACATGACGTTACAATATTATTTTACATGGAAAATAAGCATAAAATGATTTACAAATAACAATCAATCATTTAATGTGTGGGGAAGGCAATTTTTCCCATGAAGGTTCAATCCCCCAAATTTCCCTGGCATACTCTGCAATGGTCCTGTCGGAAGAGAATTTTCCTGACGAGGCAATATTATTGATCGCCATCTGAGCCCATTTTTCCTTATTCTAAGATTAGAAAATTTACATATATGAATATTACTGTATAACAACCCCAAGTATTTTATAATTAAAGAGGATTTACACTTACAAGATAAACTGTGTTGACATTATCTTGGCATTTTATATAATCTTCATAGTCAGCTAGTAAATAAAATCTGATGGGAGAAGAAGAAACTTTATAATACTTGTGGATAGTCGATTTATTAGAGATTAGATTTACCTGTCATATTTCAAAAGTACGTTGACGATATCTTTAAACTCATCAACATTACTTGGACTGAAGTATCCATCTTTTATCTGATCGATACACTGTTTGAGCTCTTTGTTGCTGTTGTAGTATCGTTCAGCATCATATCCATTCATTTTAAGAGCTTCGACGTCTTCAACTCTCATACCAAATATGAAGATATTTTCTTCGCCCATTTCCTCAGCCATTTCAACATTTGCACCGTCCATAGTACCAATTGTAAGTGCTCCGTTCAGCTAGAATATATATTTTTTAATACATACTACTCTTGATTTTTGTTTCATTGTTACTAATAAATACCATAAATTTCATGTTTCCAGTTCCAGATGCTTCAGTACCTGCCGTTGATATTTGTTCACTGAGATCTGCAGCTGGAATAATCCGTTCAGCAAGTGTAACCCTGTAATTCTCTAAATAAATGACCTTTAGTCGGTCACCAACATCAGGATCACTATTCACAACATATGCAACCGAATTTATGAGTTTAATTATTTTTTTAGCCATGTAATATCCTGGCGCTGCCTGAAAATGTTAAAAATTAATTATTAAATATTAAAATATGTACATATTGATAAATTTGCTTTCATAAATTTGTACACACTTTCCCTCCAATCATCACCGTTCTTGGTACAAAGTCTCCATTTGGGTTCTTTTTTATTCGGTTGTACATTGTGATGATGTGTAGACAGTTCAATAATTGGCGCTTGTACTCGTGTATTCTTTTTACCTAAATGTAAAATACAATTAAATAAGTCAAATTAACTCTATTATTAATAAAAATAACTTTTTACCTGTATGTCAAATATAGAAGCAACATTTATTGGAACATTATATTCCTTTTCCAAAAATTGAGCCAAGCGCATTTTGTTATCCTGCTTCACTTTCATGACAGCATTTTGAAACGATCTATTTTTTGCATACTGTTTCAATTGGGAAAGTTCTTCTAAATGAACAATCCAATCTTCTCCAATTTCCTTAAAACAAAAATAAAACAAAGATAAAGAAATTTCACGTAAATTTATGAAGTGTTATGTGATAATGTAATGTAGGATAAAAGTGGATGAATTACTTCAGAAATTAAATCGGATAGAGATGGATTACAAAGGACGAGCCATCGCCTTGGAGTAATTCCATTAGTCTTATTCTGGAATTTTTCAGGCCAAATTTCGTAGAAGTCTTTAAAACTGAAACCAAAAACAAATTAATAACAGATACATTACAAGAAAACTTTAAACCTACATATCAGTTTTTATAATTTCAGAGTGAAGCTGGGCGACGCCATTGACTGTATGAGATCCAACAATCGAGAGATGAGCCATGTTCACTTTTTTCTCACCATCCTCCTCAATTAGTGACATCCTACGCAATCTGTCTGTATCATTTGGATAAAAATTTTTTACTTGTTCAAGATGTAGGAAGTTTATTTGATAAATAATCTGTAAATGGCGTGGTAGTATGTATTCCAACATAGATACAGGCCATCTTTCTAGTGCTTCGGGTAGGATGGTATGGTTTGTATAAGCACATGTGCGTGTTGTAATATCCCAAGCCTGTAAAATTAAAGTAAAATTAGAAACATAGCTATTTATACTATTTATTTATTTTTTTATTTAAAGGAAAAAAGTTTATCATTTTTACTTTTTCCCAAGTGAGATGCTCTTCATCCAACAGAATTCTCATCAATTCTGGTATGGCAAGGGATGGATGGGTGTCATTTAATTGTAGAGCAACCTTTTCAGGAAAGGTATCAAAGGACAACCTGTCTGGTTCCCTTGAGCCGAACTTCGATGTTTTAAATCTCCTAATTATGTCCTGAAGAAAAAGTTGATACACAGTTAGTAAGAATTGTATGTAAAAATTCCATTCCAATTATTTACTTTTAATGTTGCAGCACACAAAAAATATTCTTGTTTCAGACGTAGTTCTTTTCCTTCAAAAAAATTATCATTTGGATAAAGAACCCTGGAAATATTCTCTGCCAAATTACCATCAATTACGGCTTGAATGTAGTCTCCGTTGTTGACTGCAAAAAAATATTGATCTTATACAATAGTTCCTTTAAAAAATAAATAAATAATAAAATAAATATATTTAAAAAAGACTTACAAAACTTGAGATTAAATTGAACTGGTGACTTGGCAGACCACAGTCTCAATGTGTTTACCACATTATTCCCATATCCTGGTATTGGGGTATCATATGGCATTGCAAGTATTACCTAAGACCAAAAAAATTTATTATCTACTATTATAATAATTTTTTCTGAAGAAAATAGTAGTTTTAGCTATAAAAACGTTTATGAATGCATCAAATCAAATAAAAATAAATAAATAAAATAATGATACTACAGTGATTGTTTTTATTTTTCCATACCTTTGTGTTGACCCATTTTTTCCCTTGAGGGGTTTCCTCAACTCTTCCATAAAAATTGACTGGTATTGTATATTCAGGCCTTGCCTTTTCCCAAGGGTTGCCAAATCTCAACCAGTCATCGGGTTCTTCAACCTTTAGAGAAGAAAGTAGATAAGTAAAACTATTAGTCAAACAAAAAAATTTTCTTGTGACTTACTTGCTCACCATTGACAATTTTTTGTACAAAGATTCCATACTCATATCTGATGCCGTATCCATATGCAGCAAGGCCGAGAGTTGCCATCGAATCAAGAAAACACGCTGCTAATCTGCCCAAACCTCCGTTTCCAAGACCTGCATCCTCTTCTACGTTTTCTAAGTTTTCGATATCTAAACCTAACTGCGTATAGAAAAATAGTTGGTTTAAAGTATGTAGTCCATTTTAAAATTTAACGATTCTTACCTGATACAGAGCTTCGTCACAAGTTCCTTGTATACCCAAATTGATCATCGTGTTAGTTAATGACCTGCCCATGTAGTATTCGAGAGATAAATAATATACTCTCTGTAAAAAAAAAAAATCAATTTTTGTCTATGACAAAATTTAAAACAGTCACAAAAATGGATATTGTGGACGAATCCACGCTATCAATTGATTTTCTGTTTAAACTTGAAATTAAAGTTTTGTAAAATCATTTAAATTGTCAAACCAATTTTGTAGTGGCATAATTTTCCTCAATTCCTTTAGGGCTCAGGCCAATAAAAGGCTTTTGTTATTAAAATCACTAATTATATTTGTTGATTAATCATTAATTTTTAAATTTTGTCTTCTTTTGTGACCTGGTTCCAATGCAACAAGTATTTTTGCTGTTTAATTTTTGGCAAACGAAAAATTGTAAGCTTGCAACGTATATTGTGAATATATTGTCAAGTTGATTCCTGAGGGAATTTTATAAAAACTTATGGAATTTTCTCAAAAATAAAATATAAATAGTACATGGAAGAAATCCGATGTAATGTTAGAACATTCCAAAAATGGCCGTCCATTAAAGGTACAAAAGCAAAAATACTTGTTGCATTGGAACCAGGTCACAAAAGAAGACAAAATTTAAAAATTAATGATTAAAAATTAACATTCCAGAAAAAATTCCAGGCTTAAAAAGGTACAAAAACGTTTAGTTCCCTTTGACTATGTAATAGAAAGAAGAAAAAAAAGTGAAAAAAAAACTAAATTAGGCCCTAAAGCCGTCTATCGTAAATCATTGTAAATATACTAAGTTTATTAAATGTATGTTAAAAATTTAAGTATAACGATAAAACTATAATCAACTCCTTTTTTATTGAAAAAGAGCAGAACTACTGGACGGCCATTTTGAAAAGATCCGACATAAATTATTTTAGCTATTTCGTCTCAAGTACTGGAAAAGTATGGAAAAGTATGTAAAAGGAAGTCAGGTACGATAGTTTGACATATTGACAAAGGACAGTTCAAGAATCTGGTTTCAGGTATCAGATTTGCCCTTTTACAGACCACAAGTGGCATTTTTGAGATTGTTAAAAATAAAAAAAGGAGGCTTCGTTATAAAGTTAATTCGAAAGACTATTAAAAACCAATTCCTATTATAATCTCTAATGGTTTAGTTTATAATCAAATAGTGAATTTGTTAATTTAAAAAAAATTTCTTCGTTGATTTATGTATAAAATTTGTTTTTCTCGGGTTACAGAAGAAAAATGCTTTTAGCAAATTACCTTAGGATCTTTTTCGTAGTAGTGTTGCTGGGTTTTTATCCATCTTGAGACAAGATTGTCCCTGACAGTATGCGCCAGTGCAATGTAATAGTCCCTAGTTGTAGCTATGTTTCTGTCTTTGACGAGCGTGTAGTGGACGTGCCTGTTGAAAGATTTTTTGATAGATGTGACATCCTCGACATCTGTGATGGCCCGGACGCTGATCTGCTTACTCTTTTCGTTATGATTTTTAAAAGAAGACATGATTCTGAGCAACAAACTAAGAAGGATCATAAGAACGACTGAAGAAGGCCGGCACAGGACAGGTCAATTTATATCTATTCCGTTGATTGAGTTCGAGTCAAGTGGGTCTCCCTCTCGTGGCACATTCGGAGACTAAGGGTTCACGTTCTCTGCACGTGTGGAATAGTAAATTTATCTAGTGCCTCAACAAAAATATAGTCATTCACCTATTTTCAAGAGATTAGAACAACAGAGAAGTACTGATTGTGAACCCCACACTCTGTCACGTTTTTATCTCAAAGGACATCAGATTGCCACTAAATTAATTATAACGCACACTGAATTTCGATAGATTTAAATTAATTTTAATTGAAAAAAAAAAAAAAAAACAATAAAAACACATTTTTCTTAGTCAAGTTTACAAAGACTACATAATACACATCTTTGGTAGTACGAATACACTTTAAATTTATATGAAACCTAATTTATTTCGTTAACTAAAATAAAATTACGTAAAAGTCAAATAACTTTATGTTTAAAACATTCAAATGTTAATTTCAGTATAAATAATTAAATTAATTAACCGTTGGAACAAATTTATTACATCGTTCGACGTAATATTAATGAACGCTGATTACAAAATGAGGAGTCTGAGAAAATCAAATAAAAATTGATTTTTTACTTTATCAAGTACATATAACAAATAAATAATAAAACTACTACTACTAGGTACTATTATATATGTTTATTTATTAACACAACTACAAAAAAAAAAATCGTTTGAAACAGTCAACGAACTAACAATCTACAAATATTTGTCATTTTGAAGACTATTCACTCTGACAGTCAATGGAAAGAAAGTATCAGATAAGTTTTAGAAGTTAAACTTTATCTGTATCTGTTGATTTGTATTTGACTGCACTTTTATAACTTTCTCTTGATAATTGTACTTGTCCCTAGTTATGAATTTAGAGATAAGTAAAAAAAAGTTTGATTTTCGAAATATCTCTCGTACATTAGACTTTCAGATTTAAATACAAATTTGTACGTCTCTTCGAATTTTGTGCGTACATTTCCGTCTGATTTGATTATGAGAGGAAAATTTTGATTTAACTTCCGCACCGGGAAGATGATCGATTTCACTCCATTCTATTTCTACTGAATACAAAAATCCAAATTCGAGGCTAGCCAACAACATTAACACAAGCACAATTTCACTAAGGTGGTTGATAGATTTTCGATCTGACCCTTGCAAGATCTTTACCAGTTGAGATCGTGCCCGATTTTAAAAATAAAACGGCTTTCCAAAGTGAAATGAAAATAATTTTATTGAAAGTTATTTTCACAATGGACTATTAATAGAATAAATAAAAAGTGAAGCGCAGTGGAATTTCCCAAATAGCGATTAACAAATGCGAAAGTTGTAAAAAGAAGAGAAATAAAAACAGAAATTATAGAATAAAGCATATAAAGCCTGCAGAAACAGATAGAGTGGGAAATCAATAAAGAACGAACTAGAAAGGAGAGAGAGAATGTGTGTGTGTGTGTGTGTGTGTGTGTGTGTGTGAGAGAGAGAGAGAGAGAGAGAGAGAGAGAGAGAGAGAGAGATGTTTATTATATTTTACGAAGACTTTTTTAAAATTTACAATGTTATTGGGAAATTTAAAACGTATTAAAAAATTGTACAATAAAATAAATTGGATACAATTTTCGTCCTAAAATGTACCAAATGTTATTTCTCCTACTTGCATGTACCTTAAATTCTATCTTCTATCAGTTATAATAAATTATTGTAATTTTTCTGCCTTGTTGACATTTACGTTTTGGACGCTAATAGACCAATAATATTTATTTACTTATTTTTATGAATACCGCTAATTACTGAAACTTGTGTGGATCGCGACAGTATTTAAGTTTTTCTCGGTCTCCGCCGTATTTTATTACATTCTGTCCATTCTATCGTGGATATCTCATTGTTAACATTTTAGATCATTTCAATGAAATTATTAAAAGACAGGAGAAAAATTCTTTTTTTCCTGGGCAGCACGAGTACAGGTGAGCACACGTTTTTTTTATAAAGCCTGTTCTTTAATTTCTTAGAACAAAATTATACAATTAATATTAAAAGTTTGTAATGATTTAATTTGATTTTTTTTTACGAGGGTTCGCAACAGCAGAGGTCATATCAACCCGGTGTTTTTGTAAGTATGTCGGGTTCGAATGCAGTGCCGCTGGATTCGAACCCAGGACCTTTACCTTATAGTGATGAGCGCCGTGTCAACGCCTGAACCGTTGCGGCACCGACGTCCCTTAATTTGTTTTTTAATCGAATTTTCAAATTTGTTAAACAATTTTATAAATCGTTTTTATTGCATCAACATTTCAATAAAATTTTCTCCTTGGTTAATATTAAACAAATTAATTTTTGATTATTCCTTTATTTCTCAATACAAATTCGAGGCATGGGGCAAAAAACATGAGCACTTTTCATACAACTGAATTGCAAGAATGTCCTACAAATATACATTTATAAAAAAAATTGAAATGCTTATTTTTCAATTTATATTAACATATAATTATATTTATAATTATACACTTGTTTTTGCAGTCAATCTCTGAAACACATCTAAAGTCAATAACAATTTCATCCATATCTATCCTAATTAAAATTTTGTATTTTGCCCAAACTGATCATGACCTTTAGTGAAATCTGGTCTAAATATAAATGCAAAATTACTCTATAAAATTTCCTATTGAATCCACAAATTATTGTATTGCATAAACTTGTGACTACGAAGCAGTGAACAAACAATACAGAATTTTATATAAATTTTCTCATGTTGGGACTTAAATTGTACTATTTTCTTTGAGACATATACATTTCATTCATTCAGTTTTTGTAATCTATACAAATAGGAAAATGTAATTGCTTTCAATATAAATTTTTTCTATCTTTTTACTACTTAAATTAGTACATTTTTAAAATAATTAAGCTAAATTGAACACAAAATATAATTACACAAAAGAAAAGAAATTGCTATTTTTTAAAACAATTTATCTTGGACATCAAGAAGTCGCAAACCAAATCTTGTTTGAATGGGGCCCCATGATCCTTAAAAATGTTTCCTATACTTTCTACAATAAGTATCCATGAGTAATTATTCAATAAGCAAAGAGTATCCATAATTAATCCATGTCAATTTATGGAAACTGTTCCATCCAAAATATGGAATTTATTTATTTAGTATTTTACTAGTGTTTGAGTCAAAATCTTGGGCTTTGGAATTTCGAAATGAGATTAACTATAAGAATAAAATCTGTCCAAAAAAAGATCCTTTGTTGGAAAAGATACTTTATCCATAAAATATTTGCAAATCACTACTCAAATAAGTTAGATAGATTGATTAAATTATAGATTGATCAAAAACATGGCCTGGTGCAGGCCAGTTTCTTTTTCTTCTCGTTACAGAATTAATTTTTGAACATTGTCCATAAAAAGGAATGAAACATGACAATATTCACTTTTATCGAACTTGAAAGCTTGAAACTAACTTGAACTTGAAACTAAGAAAAACAAGTAAAAATAACATGGACCAGCTAATTCTTAAAAGTTAAAAGAATAATAAATATTAAAATTTCTAATTTGAAAAATATTTTTTTTACTTCATGTATTAACCAAAAAGTTTTTTAATAACCGTATCGTATTCCATGAAATTAAAAACAATAAAGTATAATGTTAACTACAAGTTCTTACTAATTTACATAAGCTCAATGCTGTTCGTACAAGTTAATGTGTGATTTCAAATGATGTGTAATGACTAATTCAGCAAAATTATTTAATTTTTCGTTTATTGTGAAAATTTTTGTTTTTAATTCAATATAGATTTTATTAATTATGGACATTGTTTTATTAAATTCTTCTATAATTTTTATATTAAATGAGTAGTGCAATCCTATCTGACATCGAGCCTCAATGTTTTCTTGACGTTGTCTCAACTGTTTGAACTTTTTGCCATGGAAAGAATATAAGTATCTAGTTAGCATCTTTACAACAGGCCCTACTCCATTAAACAAATCACTCTTATTTCTAATATCATTCTTATTTTCTGCAAAAACTATTTCTAAATTTTCAGTAATCACTTGTTCAGCGTGATTAATTAATCTTAAAGTATTTACAATATATCCTCTTTTACTACCATTATCAGTCGTATAATCTACGTTTTTGCTGATTAACAAATCATTTTTAGAGTAAACAAATTTTGATATACAATTATAAAATTCTTCTAAATAATCTACTTGGTTAAATTCTCTTAATCTAAAATAGTGGATATATGTATTGTGAAATTTCCAATTTTGTCAAACCCAAATTCACCGGAATTATTCCAATACCATTTATGATATCAAATATGCTATGGTTGATGACAAGTGTGAAAGAACTTGTTATGTTATGAACATCCTTTAGTTTCCTTGACCTTTTAATGTTTGATAAAAGATTTTTTCTACTGTGTTATGGTGATTTCAGCAGTTTTAAATATTTGTTTATAGACTTTATGTATTTTCCTTAAATTTCCTTTTTGTATTTTTTGTTTGTATTTGTTTATTTTTCATAAATAACTGATAGAATTTCTGTTAAATCTTCCTTATTTTTACTTAAATTTTGAATTATTTTGGCTTTACTTACTTTGCTCCATTTATTAATTTGGGAATATATTTTTAACTTATCTTTGTGGGCAATAACATAAATGTTTATTAATTGTGCTTTGTCTATTTCCAACAATGGGTCATTTTCAATGTGTCCGCTCAATATTTGAAATGGGGTAACTTTGTAGCAGAGCGAATATTATTATTATATGCAATGAGTGCATATTTTACCTTTGATCTAATTGAATTTGTGTAAATTTCTTGATTGTTTAATAATCTTAAGTGTGCTATAAGAGTACGATGAAATCTTTTTCTAATGGTCAATTTTCTTTTGGATGAAAATTTTTCAACATTGTTCTTGTGAATTGTTCATAAATTTCATTTTCAAAATAAAGTCCTTATTTTAGCCACTTTAGTACTAAAAACAATGATGTTATATAGATGACATAAACGTATTTCATTGTTTATTACCTTTAATATATTTGCCATTACAAATTTATCATCTATAGTTTTATTCTTTAAATTTCTGAAGTGGATTACCACATGCCATTTTTTTTTGCCACCTCCAAAATTTAAATGGTGTAACTCCAGGCCTGAGAAATCTACTACAATCTTTTATCGCAAAAGAAGGTAACAATTTCAACTTCAAGTAATTAATTTAAATTTGTTTGTGGTGCTAGTAATTTAATTGAGTAGTTTGATAAAAATCATGGTACCACTCTTGAAAAAACTGACAAACTTATTATAAAATGTTCATTTTGTTCAAATTCTGATCTAAATAAAATTCAGTTTAAATAAAACTAGTTTTCTAGAAATCGATATGAATAACATAAAAAAATGTTTAAAAATTGGTATATAAAAAATAGATATTTAAAAACACACATACACTTTATGTATTTCTTTGTAAACATGATTTTACAAAACGAAATTTATATGTAGCAGGATTTTAAATGTATACTTTGAAATCAGCGTAAAATTATTAAAATAAATATAACCATTTATTTGACATGTGGAGAGGGCAGTTTTTCCCATGAGGGTTCGATCCCCCAAATTTCACTGGCATACTCGGCAATAGTCCTGTCAGAAGAGAATTTTCCTGATGAGGCAATATTATTGATCGCCATCTCAGCCCATTTTTTATTATCCTACAAATAAATAATACATTTATGTTAATTTTGTATCAAAATGAAGTTTAATGTAGTTATAACAATATTTTCTAATTGATAAACTCACTAGATAAACTTCGTTGACATTATCTTGGCATTTTATATAATCTTCATAGTCAGCTAGTAAATAAAATCTGATGGGAGAAGAAGAAACTTTATAATACTTGTGGATAGTCGATTTATTAGAGATTAGATTTACCTGTCATATTTCAAAAGTACGTCGACGACATCTTTAAACTCGTCAACATTACTTGGACTGAAATATCCATCTTTTATCTGATCGATACACTGTTTGAGCTCTTTGTTGCTGTTGTAGTATCGTTCAGCATCATATCCATTCATTTTAAGAGCTTCGACGTCTTCAACTCTCATACCAAATATGAAGATATTTTCTTCGCCCATTTCCTCAGCCATTTCAACATTTGCACCGTCCATAGTACCAATTGTAAGTGCTCCGTTCAGCTAGAATATATATTTTTTAATACATACTACTCTTGATTTTTGTTTCATTGTTACTAATAAATACCATAAATTTCATGTTTCCAGTTCCAGATGCTTCAGTACCTGCCGTTGATATTTGTTCACTGAGATCTGCAGCTGGAATAATCCGTTCAGCAAGTGTAACCCTGTAATTCTCTAAATAAATGACCTTTAGTCGGTCACCAACATCAGGATCACTATTCACAACATATGCAACCGAATTTATGAGTTTAATTATTTTTTTAGCCATGTAGTATCCTGGCGCTGCCTGAAAATATTAAAAATTAATGTGTCATTAAATAAATTTTTTGTTTTAATAATTTTACATACTTTCCCCCCAATCATCACTGTCCTAGGTACAAAGTTTCCAGATGGATTCCTTTTTATTCTGTTGTACATCGTAATTATATGGAGGCAGTTCAATAATTGACGCTTGTACTCATGTATTCTTTTTACCTAAATGTGAAATACAGTTAGATAAATAAAATTAACCGTATGTAATTAATAATTTTTACCTGTATATCAAACATGGACGCTACATTTATTGGGACATTGTATTCTTTTTCCAAAAATTGAGCCAAACGCATTTTATTATCTTGTTTTACTTTCATAACTGCATTTTGAAACAGTTGGTCTTTTGAATATTGTTTCAATTTCACAAGTTGGTCTAAATGTACAGTCCAATCTTCACCAAGTTTCTTAAAACATGAATAAAGGAAAGATAAATTAAATTATTAGTTAAAAAAACAAAACAAAAAAACATGGAAATGTTATAATGTAATATGTTATAATAAAATTGGATTACCTCAGAAATCAAATCGGATAGAGATGGGTTACAAAGGATGAGCCATCTCCTAGGAGTAATTCCGTTAGTCTTATTCTGAAATTTTTCAGGCCAAATTTCATGGAAGTCTTTAAAACTAAAATCAAACATAACTTAATGCTAAAATAGTAAGACTAGAAGAAAACTAAAAAAACCTACATATCCTTTTTTAAAATTTCAGAATGAAGCCAAGCCACACCGTTAACTACATGTGATCCGACAATTGAGAGATGAGCCATGTTTACTTTTTTCTCATGTCCCTCCTCTATTAATGACATCCTTCTCAGTCGGTCCATGTCAGTTGGATAGAGATTTTTTATTTTTTCAAGATGTAAGAAGTTTATTTGATAAATTATCTCCAAATGACGTGGAAGGATATATTCTAACATTTGAACAGGCCATCTTTCCAGTGCTTCAGGTAGTACTGTATGATTAGTATAAGCACAAGTTTTTACTGTAATATCCCAAGCCTGAAAATATATTGTAGATTAGATTAGATTAAATTAGTTTTTCATAAAATAAAAAGGAAAATATGACCAAAAAAATGAAAGAAGAAACGTGATAAATTTGTTTTGTTTGAGGTAGCTACAAAGCCTTTGCATTGAGACCAACAAATAGGTTGTAGCTCACTATCTAGCTTTGGGCTTTTTATTAGCCCTTATAGACTCAATATTGGCTCAGCATTTGCTGGACTGAATTTTTATTTGCCCATGAGTAGAAACCTTTCCCATTTTGGGGCCCCCACAGCCTACTCAGTAATATGTACTTTGGTCCCCTATTTTTCTTGGCAAAACTTTCATTATCTTATGCCAATCTCAAAATTCTAAAATGCCTATTGAGTTGGCAATGATACTAAGTTTTGTCTGGCTTTACTGGTCTGTTGTAAGTTTAGCCAAGATTGCATGTAAAAGTCTTTTGCCTACCTCAGTCCTGATGTTCCATAATCCATTAGGTATGAGTTGTTAACTTTCATTAGGCTACTGCACATTTTTCCATTCTTCTTTTGTTAAATAAACTTCTCTAGTTTCACTATCAGCCTCTTTGTTAGCCTTCTGTTATTACTGTCCTGGCAAATCTTTGGTAAAGCCAGAGGGTCACTTTTGGGTTTAGACCCCAGCCATAACCTTTTGCCTAGGTTCGATTTAGGCTTTGAGTATAGCCTTTTCCTAGGCATTGATTTGGTCAAAGAGGTATTTACCTTTTGCTAAAAGAATACCTAACTTACCATCAACTTTTCTTTTCTTTGTAAGTGGGACAATGTGGTCTTATAGACAGCTCTTTCTGCTTGCTAGTCATATAAAGTTGCTAGTTATTCCCATTCCAAAATTACGCAGTAAACTTATCTCTTATTATTATTATTACAACGTATTCTGAGTATCCAATGCATTGAAATTCTTTTTGGACAAGTCAAGCTAGTCATCTACTACAACCATCCATAACATGGGTGATAGGTCACCTCCCTATGGTCAGCCCCTTGCTACCTCTGCCTGACCGTGTTGTCCAGAAAGGATACAATAACCCTTTTTCTAGACTTTCACTGATCCATTGGCAATTTGAGCTAGAGACATCCCCACTTGAATATGATCTTGTGAAAGAACTGTGTAACATGTTATTAAAGGCCCCTTCTATAACCATAGAAAGAGACAAAAAAATATAGCCTTGCATTTTTTAAAGAAATGTAGAAAGGATTTAATACTTTATCCCAACTGAGATGCTCTTCATCCAACAGAATTCTCATCAATTCTGGTATGGCAAGGGATGGATGGGTGTCATTCAGTTGAATTGCTACTTTTTCGGGAAATGTATCAAAGGACATCCTATCCGGTTCTCTTGATCCAAATTTGGACATTTTGAATCTTCTTATTATGTCCTATAAGAAAAATTTACAAATTAGAAAAATTAAAGTTATTTAATAAGATTATTAATTATTTACTTTTAACGTTGCCGCACACATGAAATACTCTTGTTTAAGTCGTAATTCTTTTCCTTCAAAAAAATTATCATTCGGATAAAGAACCCTGGAAATGTTCTCTGCCAAATTACGGTCAATTACTGCTTGAATGTAGTCACCATCATTGACTAAAAAAATATTGGTCTTAAACTTCTAAAAGAAGAAGAAAAAAAGAATGCTTACAAAACTTGAGATTAAACTCAACCGGTGACTTGGCAGACCACAGCCTCAATGTGTTTACGACATTATTCCTATATCCTGGTATTGGGGTATCATATGGCATTGCCAGTATTACCTAAGAGTAAAAAAATAAAAAAAAATAATTTGCTATTGTAATGATTTCTTCCGAAGAAAAGTTAAATCCATTTAGCTTTAAAATATAGTTTATATAGCATAAGCTAAATAAAAACAGCAAAACAATTACTGTGATAGATTTATTTATACCTGTGTATTGACCCATTGTTTCCCTTGAGGTGTATCAACAACTTTTCCATAGAAATTGACTGGTATCATGTATTCAGGCCTCGCTTTTTCCCATGGATTGCCAAATCTCAACCAATCATCGGGTTCTTCAACCTTAGAAAAAAAAAATTGTAAAATTATTAGTCAAACAAATAAAGCAAATTCTTGTGACTTACTTGTTCACCGTTGATAATTCTTTGTGCGAAGATTCCATATTCATATCTGATGCCATATCCGTATGCAGCAAGGCCAAGAGTTGCCATTGAATCAAGAAAACATGCTGCTAATCTGCCCAAACCTCCATTTCCAAGACCTGCATCCTCTTCTACGCTTTCTAGGTGTTCGATATCCAAACCTAACTGCACATAGAAAAATTCTTGATTTAAAATCATCCAATTTTTCAATTTAATACTTCTTACTTGATACAGAGCTTCGTCACAAGTTCCTTGTATACCCAAATTGATCATTGTATTGGTCAATGACCTACCCATGTAGTATTCGAGAGATAAATAATATACTCTCTGAAAACAAAATCAATGATTTATAATCATTTTTTCAATAAAATAATGATGGTTTAATATTGAAATGTAATGAAATAGTAAAAAGAATTATTCAAAAATGAATGGGTTAATTCAGATTATAAATTTATGCAACAGAATTATTATTTTTTTAAATTATATATTTTTTCTTACCAATGTGTGAAAATTATAAGCATACTTTTGTCTTATAGTCCAATAGTGGCCAATTTTTTTCTTATTTTATTGTTAAAAAGCTAAATGGCCAAATTTTTCTTACTTTATTGTTAATAAGCTAAATAATTAATTAAAAGAGAATGTAATTAAAAAACTAATCATGCCATATGATTAATTTTATTTTAAAGAAAACTAATTTTAATATTTTAATGAATTAATTTAATTTAAATTTATAAATGCGTTATTAAGAGCAAAACCAGGTAATAAATTGTTAGTTAAATTTACTCTATCACTAAATGATTTTCAGTATTTTGGTGAATTTTCTTTCAAACATTCATAATTAAATTATTATTAAATAATTTTTATTAAAAAACACATAATTTCTGATCTCATTTAACCTGGTTTACATTAAAGTATGCTGTAATTAATATAACGATAAAAATACATAGATTGCAATAAATAACAAAACATGAATGTCTGGTTTTTTGTCTTTGAGTATATAATAAATGAAATTTGGCCGTAATAAATGAAATAAATGGATCATTTTGGTCTGCATTTTGCCATCATAACGACCAAATTTTAGGTACATCATACCACACAGAAATGCCACCATAATTCATTAATGAACTAATTTTTCCAAAACATTGATTTGATTGATGATTGAGCTAAAAATTATAAAACCTACTTATTAATATAATATTTTTGTGCTGTAAAAAATAGTGTTGCATCTGCATGATGTTACGTATAGAAATGGATGTTAATGGAACATAAAATGATACTGAAAGAAAACCAAATGTCGGATTCATTAAATTTAAAATATTGCAATTTAAGAAAGCTAAATTAAGGTTTTATTATAATAAAAGGTAAATTGATTAAGAGTAAAGATTGAGTACAGTGTATGGTACTTTTCTTAACTTTATACTTATAAGTTTTGAGGCTGATGGATTTCAATTCTGGTAAAATACTAAAAATCAAGAAACTGAATATTAATGACTATCGTTGTTTGCACTTGTTAATAAAAGATTTTCAATTTTTTTAATCATTATAAGCAGTAAATAAGTTTGAGGAGCTCCAGGTTATTGTTTCAGGTTGTTCAGACAAGATTTGGTTCGCGGTTTCCTTTCGGATCTGAATGTGAAACATAGTGAATTTATCCCTATTTAGTACCTCGAATAGATTAATTAATTATAACTTTGGTTATGCTAAATGACTTTCTAAAATTACAAGTTTTTTTTTTAAATTAGGCATCTCTTAATTCTATTCTGTTAAGGATGAGTTGAGAATTTTTACCCTCGCTCATTTTCTACTTTTGTACTTTATGAAAATGAGAAACGAAATATACGCTTAATATGCACAATAGTAATGATTTTATAGTATAATATAAAAAAATCATTGTATTTTTTTCTAATAGAAATTAAATCAGTACAATTTTTTTTTGCATATTTAATAACAGTTTTTTTTAGATGCCTGTTTACCAAGAAAAAATCTCCAAATTAAAATCAAAGTGAAAATGACCCAGGAAGGAGGGCATCCTTCCTGCTCTGTGAGGACCTTGCATCTGCACTGTTCTAGCTAAAATCCGATATAAATAAGACCTAATCCATAAATTCATAATATCCAGCTTGCACAATTATAAATACAAAAAATGAGATAATCCCTAAATGATTTCAGAGTACCAAGTCGTTCTATTAACGCAAAATATAAAACTGGATTAAATTCATATTCAATTACATCTGTTAACTGATGACTAACTGTTAAAAAAAATAACCAATTGTGTTATTTTTGAATATCACTAAAAGATTCTCTTTAATTACAATTGATCTTTCTAACAATTGTAAGCCTTGATTCCCCATTTTAATTTCAGTTAAGTGGTCAAAAAGTCAGTATCATAGTCTTCTGTTTTCATGTTTTTAATTACGTTTATTTATTTAACCATGGGGGTTTATATAGGTTTCAAGTACCACAGATAAAGCAGCCTTTCAAGCTTATATATCTAGAATTCTTGTTTTCAGAAATTTTCTAAATTGTATCTTTTTATAAAGTCTAGAAGAACATTATAAGTTGATGCTTCATAGTTTCATGAAACGATTCTTTAGTTATTCCACTCAGATTTGTTTATTCCAACTGATCCTAATTTATACAAGTTTTTTTTAAATTGATTAATTTTTTAACAAAAGCTGCAATACATTCGCTATTTGTAGTTACTACTAACTGAAAGTAGTTTGGAATGATACTTGATAATTTTTTATAACCCCTGCCTTTTATTTATGTATTTGTGATATCTCGCCCAATTTGTTTCATAGATTTCCCAATGTTCAATACAGGTTCTGGTCTTGATTTGTACAATGTTATTGGTTTTTCATTTCTCCCTGCTACCAAGTCAGGACTTGATTTTTTAAGTCAGGGATCGTTTTCCGCCCGTTCTTCCACATGTTTTGTATTGATTTGTTGACAATGTTAATCTTGGATCCAGGCTATCTTATCTTATTGATTTTTTTTTCTTTAGCAAGAAGTATTAATAATTTTTATAAATTACTTGAGAATTTTGTAATGATTGTGAGGACACACTTATTTCTAGCTTATACTGATGGTAATGACCTTCCATGTATTTCCTTGGAGAGTATAAATTAAAATAAATCACTAAATGACCCAGGTTAAAAATTAAATCAGCAATAGAAAATTAAAGCATTTCTTCATCTTCAGAATATAAAAAAATATTATACATCCAAAACCATTGTAATACATGCACTTTCTGCCAGTATTGTGCAATGCAAAGATTGTAAAAAAAAATTCTTTTTAACAAGAGGCGATACAATTACTTGTAAGTTTATTGTTCAAACACTATCTTCAATTTTTAGATTGCAGTACAAATTTGCAAAAGTCAATGCATTTTTTGTTAATGAATGTTGAAGTACTTAAGGGATTTGGAAATGCCAACTTCACTCTACGTTTTGTCCATTATACATTTAAAAACCTAATTTAAGTTTGGGTTGTAACTTTCTTGCCTCAGTTCCTCAATGAAGATGGTGCTAAGAGTAACACCTTACAATTAACCAACTGCCGGTTCAACATGTGTTCACCGACTCTCTGACCAACAACCACCATCAACTTTGACTTTTTGAAATTACACAAGTTACAACCCTAAACTTAATATTTCCTTACCAAAACCCTTATGAAACATTCTGTCCTTCGTACAATGGAGGTCAATGTGATTAGAAAGGGGCTAAAAGGTGAACAGATCTCAGATAGTCTAGAGTCCTGGCAATGCTTAATATACCTTCAAGGGTGAGAAAAAAAGGGAGTCCAGGTGGATTGAAAGAAACAAACATGTAAATGAAGTTGCAGAGCACATAGCACAGAGGACAAGAAACACAAGACACAGTTTTGACTGGCTCAAACCTGAAAACTTTTATCTTGTGATGACTGCCTGTAGTTAACTATTTTCCACTAGCTGTCATCACTGTTTCAGCATTGCTTCCGACTTCCAAGCCAATGAACTTGCAGCACTCCTCTGTATAAGAGGGGAACAACCTGCTTAGTGTAGACTCGTAAATGGGATTTCAACTCTAAACTTTAAGAAAAACCACAACCACCAAAAAAAGGCATGCAAGCATAAAGTAGCCTGGAAAAAGCTTCTTACAAAAATGAATGACGCACCTTATCATTAAAGAACACATTCCATAACATGGACATGGAGTTGAGTCAAGAAATTATAAATTCAACTTTATTAATACTTATTAAATCCATTATATTTAGTGTTCTATCGATTAAATTACTTCTTTCAATTAATTAATCTTTTTATGTAAGGTTTTGGTTGAAATGAAAATACTATGGTGTTGGCAGTTATGGATGGGTTAATTAAACTTAGGTTATGCTTGTCTTGCTGGTTAAATTAAAAGCTAAGCATACTTAATTAATTCAGAGTGGCGATGTAGGACTCTGTGCAGCTAATAAGTGACTTACGTAATTAAATGCCAGTGGGGTACTTGATTAACATTCAGCCATCCATTTTACAACTCATGCTAATAAATACATTCACACACACACACATGCACACAACCAACCAAGAGAAGGGGAGGCCTAGTTTTATCCACCAAAAATTGAAACAAGGTAGGGTCAAGGAAAAAATAATTTTGTTGTCTGGAGGGCTAATAACTTATAATCAAAAACTTGTTTTGAGAATTTATTAATAGACTAAACAGAAAGTGAACTGGGTTCCTTGAATACATCAAGGCTGTGATAAACATTCTAACACGTTAATACAATTCGAATACGAACTACCCAAAAATTTCAAATAAATGATCAACTTTTCGTATTTTGGTTATATTACGCATTGATGATAGGTGGTATAATCACAGAAAGCTCGGCAGTTAAGTGTTTTTCATTTATCTGCGTGTGTTATCTTTCTTCTTTTCTATTTACGGTCGAGAAGATCTATTTAATATTGTTTCATTTAATATATGAAGTACGTTATTAAATTTGATTTGATGTGATATTTCACTGTCTGACCCTTGTCAAGTGTTCATTGTAAAAACCTGTTTTAAACCTCTTCTTTTGTTTAATGCTGCTTCGATGATTAAATAATATTTACGTATAATAAAATTATATAAAGTCTACGTTAAATATTGTAAATATATTGAATGTTTGGTCGAATTAAAATAGTGACAAGTTAAAGTGGGAAAGGATGCTGTACAGAAGCCATTTTGAAAAGAACGCGGCCCTCGGAAAAAAACAACGTTCTTTTTCTGAAATTTTTACAAAAAGTCCCTTCCCAACAGTTTTGTCTCGAGTTTTATTTTTTGTTTTGTTCCGGCAGGAGACGGCAGCATAAAAACAAAGTGTAATCTGCATAAACGAGACTTCAAGTTTAACAAATCTTGTCTTGGTTGCATAACTCATTTTACCTCAGCCTGTGTGGCAACAACGAACATTCTTTTTAAAAGTTTTTCTGAAAGTAATTTATTAAAAGAAATTATTTTCTTTAATTCTAGATTTCTGCGCTGTACAATCATTTACTAAATATTTAATATATACATAATTTATTTGTTTCACCTTAGGATCTTTTTCGTAGTAGTGTTGCTGGGTTTTTATCCACCTCGAGACAAGGTTGTCCCTAACGGTGTGTGCCAGTGCAATGTAGTAGTCCCTAGTTGTAGCTATGTTTCTGTCTTTGACGAGCGTGTAGTGGACGTGCCTGTTGAAAGATTTTTTGATAGATGTGACATCCTCGACATCTGTGATGGCCCGGACGCTGATCTGCTTCCTCTTCTCGTTGGGGTTTATCGGCGAAGACATGACTTTTAGACGACGCGGACGTACCGGACACTCGTCGACGACTGAAGAGGGTTTGGTTGCACCGGCTTTCACTTTCAACCGACCTACTGGCTACTACCTAGTTCATTTATGAGGACAAATACTCCAGTGAGCCTCCCTCTCGTGGCACATTCAAAGACCAGGCAATCACGTCCTTAGCACGCGTGGAATTTATTAAAGTTATCTTTTCTGGTGTTTATACCTGTTATTCAACAACTTCCGGCCTGAAAATGCTTTATTTAACTCAGAACTTATTTTCCGGTTAATTTGTGTTCTTTTTTGTTGAAAAGTACCCTTTTCAACTTATACTGAACCACCATATGCTGCTAAATGTATTGAGTTAAACTATTTATTTAATTATAAGTGAATTATAAGTAAATAAATTATAAGTAAATAATTATAAGTGTATGTTCAAAAGTATGCCGTTTCTCCCACACACTAGCCCACCTTTTCATCTGTATTGGCCAGCTAGATACATTTTTTGTGTTCTTTTAGATCTAGTTTGGTATTGATTTAAGTTTTTGGTTTAATTATGAAGTTTTTCTTGTCCAATATGTATAAAAAAATATTAGTACTGATTTGTCCTCTCATACTGGCCCACACTTTTCAACTTTGTAGGTAAGCTAGAGAATTTTGATATTAATTACACTTATTGGTTTAAATGGCAAGCCTTTTAATGTCCAATACGCCCAAAAATGGTTCAACCTTCGCTTGCTCACAAAGGTCAAAGTATTTCATTTGTGTCTGTCCATTAGAGCTATTTTTGTATTGAAATAAGTTCGAAGCATAATAATGATGCTTTTCTTTCCCAATGTTTCAAAAATTTACAAAGTTGTCCAACCCTTTTTGCTCACGTAGGTCAAAATATTTAGTCTGTTCGTTAGAGTTATTTTTGCATCGAGACAACTTTGTGGCTTGTGGTTTTTTGTACGTTTCAAAAAATACTAGTGCTCATTTGTGCTCTCATACTGACTGACCCATCTGTATAGGTCAGTTAGATGCATTTTGATATTAAGCCCATTTACAGGTTTAAATCTCAAGCCAGTGTTTTGATATCCATTATGCCCAAATATTGTTCAAAATTTGTGTACTCATACTAGTCTAAGTATTTTGTGTTACGCTTGTTTTTCTTGTTCAATATACACTGATGGACAAATTTAATGCACCACTCAATTTATGTAGTTTAAAATTAAATCCATTATCTTTCTATATTAGTTGCAGGTAATTAAGAGCTATCGTAGTTGAAATAAACAGTAAATGATGCTTTGTTTACTTCTGTACTGACTAAAACCATTTGCATAAAAAGTAGCATTATACCCTTCCATTCTGCTACATCCAAAGGATCTCTTTCTTTTTCCTTCATTGATTTCTTTTGATATTATTCTTATTCTTAAAGTTTTTCAATGGCTCCAGTCAGTCATTTGAGTTAATGTCAGGGTCATAATAGTAATAGGGCATAACAATAATTAGAGGAAGGATACAGCAAGCACGAATTGACAGGAGAAAGTGTAAATCACTCTAAAATAGGAAGGGTTCTTCTGCACTTCAGAGAAACATGGCTTCACTCTAGAAGTCTAGGACAAGGTTGTCTTAGATCTACAAATGAGTGAGACGATAGATCCACCCGTCATCAGGCTCTATGAAACCACAGCACTAAATGAGACAGGATATCTGACAAGTCTGAAATGTTTTGATTTCCTTCAGTAAGAAGGTTCAAAGAAAATAAACCGGCACACTGTCATGCATTACAAAATTTAAATTCTTGATTTTGTTTTATTTTGTTAAAATCACATATTGTTATATGATCAATGAATATTGTATTTTGTAGATTACTTTTTGTTTAGAACAGTAACAACTGGTTGTCTTTTTTTATAAGATGTATATAGGCACACCCCAAGTCACTATAGCTCAAGTGGTTAGAGCAGTGACGTATTGAGCTGAAGGTCGTGGGTTCGAATCCCGCTCATGACACTAACTTTTTATCTCAACCAAGACCTTAGATAGAAAGTATAATCGATTGAAATAATTAGTACGGTCAATTATGACTGCTAAACATATGATTAATATAGGCATACTGTAGACAATTCACTTTTGCCAGTAGAACTTTTCCAAAAAGTGAAGCATCACACAAGATCTTTAAAAGAAACAACCATTTAAGTAAAACAAAAAATCAAGGCTGTATGTTTTTAACGTAAGAGGAATTATTTTCATAGTTGTTTGGAACATTATGCGTTCTTTTTGGTAGCCAACAAGTTAATTTGCACCGATGGAGAAAGGCTAGCAAGATTACAATTTCAAATTGACTCATTTCTTCTTTAGCTTTTGTCATATTGTTTTTCACTTTACACAACTTTATGAAATAACAAGTAAATAATTGATTTGATTACAACAATAATGGTTTTGATGAAATGATTTTAGTTTGATCAAGTTGGGCTGAAAGGATGACCTCACACAGTTCCATTCTGTGTTTGTAATTTAAATTAAATTCTACGAGTGTTAACCAAGGCTTTTGTAGACGTTTCCTCAATCAGAAATGAAAGCTATTAATATGAAGAGTAAAACAAAATGAATGGTTATTAAAACTCTTTCATCTTGTATTTATTAATTAATTTATTTAAAAAAAAGGGAAAGTAAAAGACATTGATTCATAAAACACTGAAATGGCATTGCCTACATTTCAGGCATTAAACCTGTTTTAAACAGCAAGAAGGATTCATTTATTTTCGGTCTTACACACTTATAAAAGTCTAATTTTAATAAGCCTACTTAATAAATTGTTTATTCTTAAAATGATTATTTAGTTTTTGAAGAAATCTTAAAAGATAGAGAATATATTCAGTCAAAATATTTAAAACAATGCCTGTTTTCTTGTTTTGTAACTTAATGTGGTGACAAGTTACAAAACACAATTATGTAAAAGAAAAATAAATGAGGAAATAAAGGTGAAGGAAAATAAAAACCAAATGCAAAACCTCTTGTCACCTATTGTAATGTGTTCAAAGCATAACAAATAATTAATAAATTATAAATTGGCAATTATCCCTAGGATGGTTCTAATCAAGAGGGAATATATATTTAATTTGTCATACATATATATCTATAATATTAGATAAAAGTTTACAAACTATTGTTACATTTACAAATTTAGCTTTGCCAATGGAGTATTTTGCACTAAGCTTTGAATATTTACAGAGAATTGCACATTATATACTTTATAAGTATATACTGTGCATTTAATTTTTTTCTTTTAAAATATATATATTTTAAATATGTAGAAGTGCTGATGAAAAATTATTTAGCATAACAACACAAATAAACAGTAATAAATAACAATAAATATGTCTTACATATAAATATAGATAAATATATATAATACATGTATATATATTTATATATATACACATATTTATAAACATTTCAAATTGGAAAAATTCTGATTGAAAACAAGATAAAAATTTGACAATGTAACATAACAAAGCTTAATAAAAGTTAGGTGCATGTTCAACTGCAATTTCTAAAATGTTTTTGTGTGACAAAACTATTTTATTTTTAAAAAAATATTAGCAATAAGGTAGAGAGACTTACATAACAAAAGTGTCGTTAGCCCACCCTACTTAACAATTCTTCCTGAACATACAAAAAGAACGAAAAAACTGTAGCGGAGGGCATGCAAATATGTGACAATAAATTAATAAGTTGCAGCTGTACAAATCCCTTTGCAACACCTACACAATACTTATAAAACATCAGGCTTTCAAATTTTTTAAATTTAATTTCTTAAATGTATTATATTTACTATTCCACTGTTGCCCTAACCATACAATAAAACAAGGATCTTTTTTTTAAATTAAATTTTCAATAATCTTTTAAAATGTACCTTTGTTGGGTCTTTCTTTAACCTATGACCAACAATGCTTTAAGAACATACAAAATTTATATGTAAACTTATGTTATAAATCTAAAACAATGCTTTACGGCTCCCAAATTATGTAATGTTTCTTTTTTTTAGGTTAAAGGGGTTCTTTCTTTTTATTTATATTTGATAACATCCATTTTATTGGTCTTTTGGCTTTTCTTCTTTTTTGCCTTCTGGGACTATTGTCTTCACTCTGCAATTGGTCAAAACACAATGAAATCATTAACAAATAATACATGTTGACTTACCAGTAAATAAGTTATTTATAAAATATATTTGAGAAATAGCATTCAAAAGGAACTAATTTAAAAAAAATAATATGATTAGATAACATTAACTCCATATCTACAATGATTATATATTACAAATTATCAATATAGCTTATTTCTTTAAGATATAAAAATGCATTCACTAGTAATTCTTTAAATAACTATTGTATGTATATTCTTAATTATTAATTTATAACAGAACTTTTACACGTACTTGTTAGTGACAACAGACAGCTTGTCCATTGCAATTTTCATGTAAACATCAATTTGCTCTTTGTTGTTTTCATAAACTTTTGGCAGTGTGAACAAGAGAACTACACCTGTACAAAGAAGTTGTCAATTAGAAACTCTTATACAAATAAATAAGAATGTAAATTGATAAATTACCAAGGATGATGAGTGTAAGGCCGTTGAAGCAAGCTCCGACGTATGTGAGGACCCATAAAACGACAGCAAATTTGATCGAATCAACAATGTCCTCAACAAGGAAGAGTGATCTCAAAGTTGCCACACTCGAGTTGGTATATTGCACCAATGCCAAGCTCACCTCCTTCACTTTGTCCTCTGGTACTGTTAGGTCATAATCAAGAAATTCCCTTAAAATAAACAACAGGTTGCAATTTTAATTTGTTACAAACATGACTGAAGATATAATAATGTTAATGACATACTTAAAGGGATGCCCATCGGATGTTTTCTGCACAGCTTGCATAATACTTTTGTAGACTCTAAAGGAAATAGTACCAAGGACTGTAAGAAGGCATAAGTAAGCCAATACACTAATAAGTGAGTAAATAGTCAGAGCAATAAGGGTGAGCAAGGTGACTCCAAAAACGACTCCGGATTTCTTGGGGTCCCTCCAGTACACCAGCGACTCAACTAGAAACAAATAAAAAAGCAATTGTTACTTAGAATTTAGTGACAGTGTCATAGTTCAGTACAATAGTAGTCCAACAGGAAAATCCTAAATTTCATTGTTCTTCCTGTCTATTAACTTTTTTAAAAATTCACTACAGCATTTTATTATGTAATTTTCTACCAAAGGATGCAATAATTTAAACATCGGTGTAAATAACAATGTAAGCAAAACTGTTCATAATATCCTATCATGTATTGAAATTACAAGATGGAAATTTAAAAAAAACAAAGGTTTTAGAAAGCCAAATCAAAACTAGATATGTATAAGAAAAAAACACGTTTGGTCAGATAAAAATAAATTATTGACTGTAGAAATTCGCAACAGTGTACAAAATAAAACAAGGCCATGAAGATAATTACCACCCAGGGGCAAAACAAACGAAATATTTTTGAAAATATGAGGACGATCGTGGATTATAGTGAATTATCAATGTTATTGATCTTTGCATTCAAAAAATGTTGTGAGAAAAAAGATAGTGCTTCCACAGCTAAGCTAAAGCCAGGAACTAAAATAATAATAATAATTCATTATGTTTTAGTGGTCTAATTGACCAAATTACTTCTTTCAATTAATTATTCTTTGTGTGTAAGGTCTTGGTTGAGATGAAAAATAATTTAATAATTATAATAACTATAAACATAAAATTTGTTAGATTTTGTTATAGGTGCATGGATTTAATTTTTTATTTTGGCCTACCAAGACAAATCTTTCTAATGTAGGTTGGTTTGTAGGTTTGGGACCGGATTATCTGAAAATCGCCTAGGCGCTAAATATAATAATATAATCCCAATGTTATTTTAAACGTATTCAAGGACAGGAGGAAGGTTGGACTGTTTCGCGTAAATATGAAAAACAGTTTATTGGCTAAAAACAAATCAACGACCTAAACAAATAACGTTGGTTTTGAACGCGAGACCCGACGGATAAAAACGGCGCAGTAGATGCAGAAATTGCGTGGGCGAGGTCAATGATCAATGATAAGTGTGAATTAATTGGGCATCTGAACGATTGGATTCTCCTGGCCAATTCAGATTTTCCCTCGTTTCGGAAACGATTCTAATAAATAATTTGTTTGGAAAAAAAATTGAATAAGCGCAAATAATTTGGAATTAAGTAAGTACTTAGCGAAATTTTACCTGATCACCCAACACGAGATTTAAAAAACAACAAAACAGTGACAATGAAATGAAACGTAGATCGACCAAGAAACATGCATTTGTGTCTGTCAATTATTACCAATACATTTTATCACTTCAACATATAGAGAAAAACATAATCGTCATTACAAACCAAATCGGAGAAAAACATTTTTCATTATGGAAACTATAAAATTTAAAGGAGTGAGGGATGGATGGATATATAAACAAAATTTGAGGGGGAGGGAGAGAGAGAGAGAGAGAGAGAGAGAGAGAGAGAGAGAGAGAGAGAGAGAGAGAGAACAAGAAGAGAGAGCCAGAGAGTGGAAAAGAGATAGTGAGATAGAGAAAGGAAGGGAGAGACTGAGAGGAAGAGAGAAAAAGAGATAGATTTTCAGGATGGTAATGAGTGAATGAATGAGTGTTAGGGAGGAAAGGGTTGGATATACCAAAAAATGAGAAAGAGATAGAGAGTTAGAAAGAAAGATGGATAGATAGAGAGAGCCAGAGAGAGAAAGAGAGTGAGGGAGAGAGAGCGAGAAAAAGAGGCACTTAGGGCTTGAAATAGATTTTGACGGTGGGAGTGAGTGAATTAATGAATGTTAGGGAGGAAAGGTGGATGGATATAACAAAAAATGAGAAAGAGATAGAGAGTTACAAAGAAAGGTGGATAGATAGAGAGAGCCAGAGAGAGTGAGCTAGATAGAGGAAGAGGGAGTGTGATAAAGAAAGAGAGACCAGATAGAGAAAGAGAGTGAGGGAGAGAGAGCAAGAAAAAGAGGCATTTCGGGCTTGAAATAGATTTTGAGAGTGGGACTGAGTGAATGAATGTTAGGGAGGAAAGGTTGGATGGATAGATAGATATAAATGGAGAAAGAGATATATACATAGATAGATAGATAGATAGATAGAGATAGATAGATAGATAGATAGATAGATAGAGAGAGAGAGAGAGAGAGAGAGAGAGAGAGAGAGAGAGAGAGAGTGTGTGTGTTTTGTTGTAATTAACAGCACTAATAAAAACCATTTCTATATGTTTTATTTTACTACGTTAAATCGTTTGGGGAAAAAATATTGTACTTGTTTTTTCACTATCACCTCGTGCGAAATCAGAAATTATGCCCTATAACATTCTTTCAAAATCCCTTCTTACAGGTGGTATCTCCATTGAATCAAATGCAATTTTGTAATTTGCGACTGTAATTACCGTCGGTTTATTTACGTCGACTGTGGTTCAACCAAAGATTAGATAAAAGAAAAAGGGGAAAAAGATCAAAAATTTAAGAAAAAACGCACACGTTTGCTGATATTTCAATAAAAGTGTGATGTCTCTGCAACAAATGTTATCTAGTCGAAGAAGAAAATTAACCGATTGCAGCAATACAGTAAAGATAATTCACGAAATCTCTATTACCTCTGGCAAATTAATATATTAAACAACGTAATTATTTTTTATATTACTGGTAAAAGTCTTCCTTGTGTGTTCTACTGCTATAGTAAATAGTTATTAGCGTTACAATTATTTTGTTAAAGTAATGTACAAGAAGTACCTTCAAGTCTTTATAATTAGAAAAGAATATACAGAACAGTAACAACTATTATAAACCTAATCCATACCGTCTAACTGTGTACGAAATAATATAAAAAGTTGGGAAACTAATAAAGAAAATGGGATTTAAAAAAAAAGAAGAGGAAAATCTACTTTTCTCAGGTTTAATTAATCGCCTAGCTGGAGGTAGGGAGGAATAACCTGGCGAGACCTCATGTCAGTTTAAGAAAGTGGTCCAACATCGGGTTCCAACAGTGGCCAGTTGGCCTTATAGACCAGCTGTCAGTTGCTGATGTGGAGATTTTTAAAAGATATTTTTGTCAAATAACACTGACTCTTGGGCCTCATGAAACGACTGTAAAGTAAAAACAAACGGGATAACTTTCCAGTTTTAACAATACAAGAAGCGTACAAAAGACAGCACAGAAACGCAATATTTTGTGCAGAAACTCGACCCCACTAAAGAAACTGGAGGACCAATTGAATATTAAGTTCTAGCGTAACATACTAATCAAGTTCATGGTCGGGCTGGTTTCACTCCTCGCAGTAAAACGAGTAGGTGGTGCAAAAGAGTGGTTTCATTCTAGTCTTACAAAAAATGCAAAAAAAGTCAATTACGGAAAACGTTCAAATATATGTTTTATAGATCACCTAGTAGGAACATTTCAATAGAAGTTATTTCAACAGAAGAAAAAGGCCATATGTGCGAATAACTCAAGGAAATCCAATCTGGGGAGAGTTTAATGATCATAAGAACTCTTGAGTTAATATAAAATTTTTGATAAAATGCTGAAAGGCTTATACTAATATCTTTTTTGAAAGAATTTTTTAGTGTTAAATGTTATTTTTATGATTTCTAGGCAGACAGCCAAGGCTCAATGTAGTTTGAGTCGTTTTACCTGGACCCCTGGGGGGAAGATCCACTGCGACGTAACTACCGTTCTGTCTTGTCTTCTTCACCATCTTGTACCGCGGAACTACTACTAGCTTAAGCAAGAAAGGAGAAATGTTGAAGATAGTGCAACGTGTCTGCCGTCCTTCTCCCACCACGGTTCGAACCCCTCCAGATCCGAGAAAAAACCTGTTCGTTCTAAAGAGGGGGCCTGCTCTTAATCCGTAAACGGGGTTATCAGTGAAGCTCGACTGTGGGCTGGGTGGGAATCGTGGAATTATGCATTACCATCGATGGTGTCAAATACGAAGTAAGGGTAGAATAAATTGTGAAATTTCCTGCTCAGGTCCTGTAGGGGTGACGAACTTGTCAGTCCTAGTCCACCTATCCTCGCTGTTTTGGTCTGTCAGACGCGATTAGATACGCGGACCGACGTTTTCACTGCAATCCACTTCTTGTGATCGTAAAACCACAAATAATAAACGTGGTGTCGTCAAAAAAGTACAGGTGGGAGGAAATAACTACATATGCCAACCCAGAAAACATTATCCTCTAGGTCCTGTAGCCTCTAATCATACTGTTTTAAAACCAATTGCATTCAATATTGTATAATTAATTGAGGAAATGTGCTACGAATATGCTAATAACTATTAAAAGACATAGGATTCAATTTTTTAAATTTACCTGATATAAATATAAAAATTAAAATTATTATTAATTATTACCTCTGGGGATGGGGATAGGGTAAAGATAAAAGATACGGCCACAAGGGCCTTATGCACCTCGACCTGAGTAGGTCTATTGTGCTCCCGTTTTTTATAAATCACTGGCCAGGCTTCAGGTTGTTAATCAACCTCCATAGCCTTACCAGCGGCTCCTTAAAGTAGGATCTTGCTTGTGATTGCAAGAACCTGCACCTACATAGACCTTCATAGAAACATAAAATGTGTTCTGCGGTCTCCTCTTCCTGGCAGTATCTGCACAGTGTTTCATCTGTCTGTACTCCTATCCGGTGCAAATGCTTTCTTAGGTGGCAGTTCTCTGTCAGGATTTCAACCAGAATCCTGGAGCATTTGTGGTTGTCTTCCAGTAATTCATTTGTAAGTTTTGCGGATGGCCCTTCAACGAATCTTTTCGTGCCTCATCCATTTTAAAATATATTCTTTTTTGTAGGAATATGCTAAGGTAGGGGCACCTAGAGAGTCCATGTTGGCCCCGTCTTTGGCCAACGTATCAACCTTTCGTTATTATATTTAGAACCTCTCATTTATCATTCTCACTGAATTGAAGAAGGCTTTTAATACTAAGACGAAATAATATCAATCTAGAATTTTATGGAACGTACTCAAACTTATCAGGTACAGGTTTTCAACATCAAACTGC